TTCTCCAGACGTGTGGACGCTCGTTTGCGTGCTCAAAGCTTGTGGAAGCTCAGTAGCCTTGAGGCTTGGCCGGATACTTCACGAAGAGATCACGAGCTTGGGGTTCCAGTTCCAGGGAGCCGTGATCTCTTCGTTGGTAGATTTCTACAGCAGATGTGGGAGCATGGACGAAGCGGAGCTGGTTTTCAACTCGGTCTCGAGGAAGGATGCTGTGAGTTGGAGCTCACTTATCGCGGGCTACAGCCGCCAGGGAGACAACGATCGAGTGATCCAGCTCTTTGAGAAGATGTGTGACGAGGGTGTCAAGCCGGACGGTGTAACTTATGTCTCGGTGCTCGCGACTTGCAGCCGGGCTGGGATGATCGAGCAAGGCAAGAAATTTTTCCAGGAGATGACGTCTAGGTGTGGATTAGATCCGGGCATTGAGCACTACCACTGCATGATCGACATGCTCGGACGAGCAAAGCAGCTCGAGGAAGCTCTGGAGATGGTGGAAGCTATGCCGTTCGAAGCCACAATGGTCACTTGGACGAGTTTGCTGGCTGCTTGCTCGAAGTGGAAGAATGGGAGAGTGGAGAAGATTGCTTGTGACAACATCGTCTCTCTCCTGCGGCAGATTTCTCCGTAGCTCATTACACGGGCTTTTCAAAAGAGATCACGTCGATCGATCACGTCAATGATAGCTTATAGTCAGCGCGATTCGATTGATTCCTTTCTTACTTTAGTGTCATCTTCAAGATGAATGGCAATCGCCTCTGCAAAGGAAGACAATTCCAAAAGCTGTGGGCAAACGGATGATCCCGACATCTCGCGTTACAAAAAATAGAAAATCTATATGCGAGAAGAACTGCTAAAATGCAATTGTGCATTATATCTTTAGCTTAATTTTTATTTGATGGCTTAGTTGAAATATTTTTCTTGAAAAATTTTATAAAATTAAAACTCTTCAAGCCTAAATTTTTATAAAAAATTTTGTTGCAAAATGCTTTTTCTTATTTAAAAACACCATCCTTCACTAAAAATTGCATATGAATGTTAAATTGCATATGCATATTTGCAAGTAGATGACTGAGCAGAAAAGCAAATTACTATGCCAGGAGCTTGAAACAGCTATCCGCTCTTGTCACACCCTCCCTCAAGCCCATCAAATTCATGCGAAACTATCCTTAATAGACTTGAATGACACTTCCTCATTGGTCTTTCTTTCCAATATTTCCATCCAGATGTTTGGACGATGCGGCAGCATCAGTCATGCTTACCAAATCTTTTGCAGAATTGTCACCAAAGACTGCTTCTCCTGGGTGATGATGTTGCAAGCATTTGCCACAAATGGTCATCTCCATGAAGCGGAACATCTCTTTTTCAAAATCCCGCAAACCAACCTCGTTGTTTGGAACGCAATGATAGCTGCTTACATCACAAACAACGCTCTTCTCAAGGCACAGTCACTTTATGAATCAATGCCAGAATGGAATCTCATTTCATCTACCACAATTCTTACTGCACTTGCTTGTTCTGGGGATTTGGAGAAAGCGAAGGTAGTTTTTGATTCGATGGAGGAACGTGATCTCATCGCCTGGAACGCAATGCTCGCTGCCTATACACACAGTGACAATATGGACGAACTCACCGCTGTCGCCCAGCAGATGCGAGAACTTGATATTGTCTCGTGGAACACAATTCTGTCAGCATACGCCCGATCTGGGGATTCTCACACCACAGAACAAATCTTCCATCGCATGACTGAAGTTGATCTTGTCTCCTGCACCACAATGCTCAAATCTTATGCGGAGAGCGGCCAAATAGGTCAAGCCCAACATGTCTTTGATGGATTGCCACACCGCGATGCCACCTCTTGGACAGTGATGATCGAAGCATATAGCGCTGTAGGAAGCTTAACCGAAGCTGTTGATCTCTTTAACAAAGCCAACAGCAAGGATATAGTGACGTGGAACGCCATGCTTTCATTATATGCCCAGTCTGGGCATCTGGAACAGTCAAAGCACTTTTTTGATTCCATGCCTCTACAAGATGCCGCTACGTGGAATACCCTCTTGGCAGCATATGCTCAACGCGGGCACTTGATATATGCTCAAGAGCTGTTCGATAAGATGCCTTGCGCAGATTCCATCACTTGGAGCGTCATGATACACGGGTATGCCATGAACGGGCAAATGGCGGAGGCAAAGAGCTTGTTTAGCACTTCTCTGATTCGATTCCAGGTCGCGCGAGTGATGCTTGGCGCCTATGCGAGCAATGGGCTCTTGGACGAGGCAAAGGGCTTCTTCGATTCCATGCCGGAGAGAGATGGAGAGACGAGCGCGGCCATGGCGGCGGCCATGGCACAGGGCGGTCGATTCAACGACGCGACGGCGTTCTTCCACGAGGCTAAGATTGAAGGATTCAAGCCCGGTGCTATTTCTTTCGCGTGTGCCATCGTGGGCTGTAGCTACAGGGGCGACTTGGAAGCTGGGATCCAGTGCTTCAATTCGATGATCGCAGATTTCGGGATCCGGCCCAACAAGCAGCACTACTGCTGTGTGATCGATTTGCTGGGTCGCGCTGGTCATCTGGAAGCCGCGGAGGAGCTCATCGCCAACATGCCCTTCGTTCCCGATCAGTCCGACTGGAAATGCCTGCTCGCGGCGTGCCGATTCCACGGCGGCGGTGGCGATGCCCGAGAGACCGCGGCTCTCTCCGCCGCTCGGGAGGATCCACACGACCCAGCGCCGTATGTATTGCTCGCCAATCCATAGTACTTTCAAAGAGATAGAAGAAGAGCGAATATACTTGTTTGGTGGCAAATATTTCTTTCAGCCCTAATAAAAGGAATAGACAGGATATTCCAAACTGTTAGCCTGGAGGCGAGAAAATAGGGAGGGTTAAACGCAAAGGGAAAGGGGGTGCTAGCATCGCCATGGATCAGGGCAGCGGCGGCGGCGAGGCGAGCGACGAGAAGCTGGCTCACTTCCAGAGCTTGACGGGCATGGAGGACATGGCCGTGTGCACGCGCATTCTAGAGCGCCATGGCTGGGATCTGGACTCGGCGGTCACGGCGGCGGTGTCGGACGATTCGCACAGCCATGCCCGGGAGTATTCTCGCCAAAATCTCCAGCCGCAGCGCCTCAGTCCCAGGTACTCGCCCTCTCTGCCCCATCGCAACAGTGGCACAGCTCCACCGCTAGGGCTCGCGCAATTGGCCACGACGAGCGGCGACGAGGACATGCTCGTGGATCACCAGCCCCGCCCGGGGCCGATTCCCCCTAGCAACGACGCCACCGCCACTAACAGCGGGAATCTGGTGTGGAAGATCGTCACGCTCCCCTTCTCGATCGTTCGTGGGGGGCTTTTCATGGTTTCCGGCGCCATGGGGCTTGGTGTTTGGGTGGCTGGATCGCTCCTTTCGTACTCTCTAGGGGCTCTTGGCATTGGCAACCAGCAAGGTGGTGGTGGTAGATTAACGGAGGCGAGAGATCGTTTCCTTCCAGTTCCTACTGCCGGAGCTGTCCAGGCAATCCAGTTCATCCGGAGCTTTGAGCAAGAGTATGGGAGCGTCCGCCCGGACTTCCAGGCTCTCAGCTTCATGGAGGCGCTGCGGCGGTCGACGGAGGGGTTTAAGTTCCTCTTCGTCTACTTGCACTCGCCGGAGCACGTCGACACGCCCGCGTTTTGCCAGGCTACGCTCTGCTCGGAGCCGGTCAGCCAGTTCTTGAGCCAGAACTTCGTCGTGTGGGGGGCGGACGTGAGGAACACCGAGGGGTTCCAGATGTTTAACAGCTTGAAGGCGTCGACGTTTCCCTTCTGCGCGGTCGTCATGGCTTCTTCCAACCAACGGATAGCTCTCTTGCAACAGGTTCTTCTCTCCTGTTTGTTTTCGCTTTTGTGGTGGATTTTTCATGGTTTTCTTTGCTTTCGTTTCCTTTCTTGCAGGTGGAAGGATTCAAATCTCCAGAGACATTGCTCTCGCTGCTGCAAAGAGTTTTGGAGGAGCAAGGTGCCGCTTTGGTGGCGATGCGTGTCGAGGACGAGGAGAGAAGGCGCAACAGGCAATTGCGCGAGGAGCAAGACGCAGCATATCAGGCCGCCTTGCTAGCAGACCAGGTGATCCTCGTTTCGCGCTCGTCCATTTCTTAAAAGCGCTGCTTTCATTCGCAGGAACGGGAGAGGAAAAGAGTGGAAGAAGCCGAGAGGGTGGCCAGGGAGGCCGCCGAGTCGGAGAGGCAAATGCGAGAGAAGGAGCTTGCGGCGCAAAGAGCTGCGCAGGTGGCCGCCGAGAAGCAAGCGGCCATGGACAAGCTCCGAAAGGAGAAGGCCCTGGCCCTGGGAGCCGAGCCGGAGAGAGGCCCACAAGTCACACAGGTTAGTCTTGCCCTCCCATAGCTTGTTTGTTTCAATCACCTTCATCTCTTCGCTTTCTTCGTAGCTTGTTTCGATCATCCCTTTGCTTCCTTCCTTCTAGCTTGTTTCAACCACCCTTTGCTTCTTTCGTGGAAATGTTTTGACATGTTGGTCCTTGGTGTTGTTGGTTTGATAGGTGCTAGTTCGGTTTCCAAATGGTGAACGCAAAGAGCGAAGGTTTAGCTGCACGTCCGCCGTGCAGTGTGTGTACGATTTCGTGGACTCTCTGGGCAGCCTTGGAGATGCTCGCTACAGTCTCGTGTCCAATTTTCCCAGAAAGGTGTACGGCGCGGACAAGCTCCACATGTCCTTGGCCGACGCAGGGCTCCACCCGCACGCCAGCCTTTTTGTCCAGGTGGACACTCCATAGCTTTTCTTGTGTGTAGGAGAGGAAGAGAGAGAGGAAGAGAGAGAGAGAGCGGGAGCTACTCTTATCATATTAATAACACTTTTGTACTTTCTGGGGATGGAGAAATGGTCAACTTGTACAAATTTTAATTAATACTACCACTGTAAAGTTGACAAAGAAGATTCCTTTAAATTCTAAATTTTAACTGATTTTTTAAAAAAAATTAAAAGAAAATTACTATAGTATTGTTTTTGGTTTTGAAGTCTTTTGCGCGGTCAAGCACGAGATTGTGCAGTGGAAGACTGGTGTTGACGTGAGAAGTTTCCAAGGGCAAAGCGTAAATCGACCGGCAAAGTTGCCACTTCGGTTGGGCTACTCTAGAGCTGTGCTACAAAGCACTTCTTGTCGCAATGCTCGATCAATGGAGAGCTTCCAGCGCGCCATCGATGCGCTCGACGCCCTTCTCACCGCGCCTGGATCTCTTTCGCCGCTCGAGTCCCATCTCCAGATCACTTCACAGCATCTCAGGGTATAAAACGCAGTTTTTCGTGAGTGCTTTCAAGCAAACCATAGAACTTTTGCTGTGTGCTAGCATTTGGATTTGGAAGAACCACTGTCCGAGCTCAGTGTCATTCATGTGGCCGGGACCAAAGGCAAAGTAGAATGGATCATAAATTCCTAGTTTTTCTTTCCAACGCTCTCGCTGTGAATTTAGGGGTCGACATGCGCTTTCGTGGAGGAGATACTGAGAGCTTCCGGGTTCCGGACGGGACTTTTCACTTCACCGCATCTACTGGACGTTAGAGAACGATTTCGTTTCGATGGGTACTGCATCGTTTTGAATTTGTTCCGACTTGTTTCTAAGTAGCGCTTATGCCAGGCAACCAGTCTCGCAGGAGCTCTTTGCCAAGTACTTTTGGTGGTGCTGGGAACGTCTACAGGTCTGGATTAAGCTACAGTTCACTTCTAAAACTGCAATTATCAGGCTCTCCCAGGAGATAGTTTCCACAGTGGAGTTTCGATAGCGCGGGTTTCAAGGTTTCTCACTGTTCTAGCATTCAAGATGTTTATCTCCGAGAAAGTATGGTTGTTGTCGGTTTCTTCTTCTTCTTCTTCTTCTGCTCTAGTCATGGGCTTATTATTTCTTGTATTTTGTAGGTGGATGTTGCAATTCTAGAAGTTGGTCTTGGTGGTCGATACGACACCACCAACGTCGTAATACCTTCGCCTTTCATTCTTGGGAAAGAACAGTGTCTAACGAATTCTTGTGTTTTTTATTCATAGGTGAAATCCCCGGTTGTCTGCGGAGTAACTTCTCTTGGTTACGATCATATGGAAGTCCTGGGTAGGCTTTTCTAACACAAAAGTTTTTGATATTTAACACACTGGTGCAGGAAGTACTCTTGGAGAAATCGCTTCCGAAAAGGCTGGAATTTTCAAGGTACTTCAAAAAGTTTGTGAAGTTTCTAAATTCCACTGTAGGCAGGTGTTCCAGCCATAACCGTGCCACAGGCGAGCGAAGCTTTAGATTCTTTGCAAAAACGAGCAAAGGAACTCAATGTAATGCCACTTTTTGTTCTTCCGATATTCTCTAATGTTGCTGGACAGATTTGCTTGGAAGTGGCAGCCCCTTTGACAGCGTATGGCCTTGGAGACTTAGAACTGGGGCTCAAAGGCGAGCATCAGCGCGTAAACGCTGCACTCGCCGTAGCTCTTTGCAAACGCTGGGCCGGGAGTTCCGGACACAACGAGCACAAACTTCTCGTAGAAAATGTCCATCGAGACTCTTCCGTTCTTTAAAGGCAAACTTACAGTTTCTGTTTTTCTAAATCGCAGGCTATCGAGCATGCTCGTCTGCCTGATTCTTACATCACTGGCCTCGTCCAAGCTCGCTGGGAAGGAAGAGCACAAGTCATCCATGACAAGCTTTGCAGCAACCTTAGCTTTTACATCGATGGAGCTCACAGCCCCGAGAGCATGGAAGTTTGCGGCAAATGGTTCTCTTCAGCGTCCAAAGCTGATGCTTCTCCGTGTGGAGATCAGTGCAAGGTTTGTGAGAAACTCTCTCATTTTGACGATCTCTCGTATAATGCGCTCTTCGCTCGCTACCGCACAGATCCTTCTTTTCAACTGCATGCCCAAGCGTGATCCACAGCTTCTCTTGCCACGCCTGAAGGAAGCCTGTGCTCGGGAGGAATCACCAATTCAGCTGGCTCTCTTTGTGCCACCATACTCGAGCAGCTTCTCGGTGAAGCACATTTGCACCGGGAGAGCTGACACTTCCTGGCAGGAGATCTTGTGGCAGCACTGGGAAGCACTGGAAGCAAGCAAAGATGATCACTGCTTCATCAACTCCAGCGAAAGCTCCAGCATCGTCCAACAGCTGAAAGACGACGAAGGCTTTTCTCGAGACACGAGTTTGATGATTGGATCCTCCAGCGCAGTATTGCCTTCGCTGCCATCATCGATACAATGGCTACAGCGTATTGCAAAAGGCTATCCTCAGCTACACTTGCAGGTACTCCAACGTTTTAGTCTAATTGTTCCTCTTTCTTTTTTCCCTTTCATTCCATAGCATGTAATCTTCCAGGTTCTTGTCACTGGCTCTTTGCACTTGGTCGGAGATGTCTTAAAACTTATCAAGTATACTTGATAAGCTATGCATACTTGTACAGGTTTGCTTAAGCAAACCAATTAGTTTGCTTAATGTAATCATGTCAATAACCACGTGATTTTTATTGGCTACCTACATTTCTCGCCATCATCCAAATGTATGGCCATAACCAAGATAGCAACGACTAGACGTTCAACCTGGATGTAGATTAAGAATTCCCAACCAGCGGAGCTGACAAGTCTGCTTCTTAGTTTCTGTGATATGACCAGCTATGGCCCATCCTATATTCTCGATTACTCTGGTCCAGATCGTGGCACCACCAAGTACTTTCAGTATGAGTTCCATGAGCAGGACTCCAAAGCTATAGATTGTTAAAAAAGCTTGTATTGTGATAAGAAAAAAACTGAGGTTCATAGGTGTTTCAACCTAATGCAATGAGAGAGTTCCTTTTGAAATTTGATTTAGAGCCTCTAATTGTCTTTTCCCAAAGTGTTCTAAGAGAAAGTTTTCCTTTGTAAAAGATGTTAAAAAGCTTGTACTATGATATGATAAAAACAGATGTTCACAAGAGTTTTGATTTTATGCAATGAGAGAGTTCCACTGGAAATTTGATTGAGAGCATCCAATCCAAAGTGTTCTAGAGAAAATTGCCTTTGTAAAAGATTCAAATTGAAGCTTTGTTCTTTTTGTCTTGAGAATGTATGTCATGACATGGGAAGTCTGGTAGAAAATTTTTTCGATGACCTGGTATTCAGTGGGATCTTGATAGATACACTTTGTCACAAGATCTTCAAAGCATTTTGATGAGGGTGCTTCAGCTTCTCAGTTGCAACAGGTTGAGAGATTAACCGGCTGTGGTTCACAGGAGTTTTGATTTTATTAGATTGCCAATTTTTACTCCAATCCATTATCCTGCAAGAATGTCTTCACCTGGACCATCCTCATCATTGCTCACACCCACAACAGCCTCTTCTTAACCCCATTTATGTGTCTGACGTGTGAGCAAACATTGATGCTTTCTTTTAGATGACATAGATATTGTATGATAAAGGTTAGTGATATGAACATTCAGGTAGGCAATAAAATCAAAACTCTTGTGAACCTTAGTTTTCTTTTTATCACAGTACAAGCTTTTTTAACAAGAGGCATCTATAGTTTTGGAGTCCTACTCATGGAACTCATACTCAAAGTATTTGGTGGTGCCACGATCACAGCATGATAATGATAAAGTAGAAAAGGTTAGCGAAGAAAATAAACAATGCTCATGATGCTGGTAGAGGATCAACTCCATCACTTATTTGAACTTTAGCAGCTAGTAAGGGATTTTAAACCTTTTGGGTTCAAGGGATAGAGGGGTTCATAGGAGTTTGATTTTATGAATGTTTGTATCGATAGCCTTTATCAATGTTAGCCTTTATCCATCAAAGTTTATTTTAATTTTTAATCTAATGATAATATGATGCTATGCTATTGGAAATTTAATTTTTTTTGGAAAAAAAACATAAAAGGAAAACATTAAAGAGGTTAGAACAATATAGATACTTGTGGCCAATTTCACAAATGAAACTTCCTTAAAGTAGCTTTTAAAGAATGTATTAGTCAAATAAGCCCTTGGACAGGCCAAGATAAAATGAGTCAATGTGGAGTTTGATAGTATATTGCAAGCATGCAAGTGAGGAATGGCAACAACTCAAACTCATGCTTACTAGCAATAATCTCTGAAAAAGGTGGTAGAATATAAGTAGGATCTGAAATAAATGTAATATGGTTCTAATAAAGAAACATGAAACACCAAATAAAAGCCCATGGTAGAGAAAGATTAAGCTAATAAGTCATCTCAAAGGTTGTCTTAAATGTGATTATAAGTATTAAAAGTTACATATCAATTAATTCTTTTAGATATTCTATTATTGTCACATTGTTGGTATTGCTAGTTCCTTATGTTAGTCCTTTTTGTTTTTTGTTGAACTGTTACGAAACTAAGTTTAAGTAGAATAGGAATTGAAAGAATAGAAAGTGTCAAATATATTTAGTCTTGTTAGTTCTCTTTTGCTTTTTCATGTATTGGCTTGGCAAAAAGCTTTGTATATGGAGTATTAATCCCTTAAAATTGTTATATGATAACTTACTATATTTTCTATCTGTAACTTTGATCTTAAAGCACCTTTAAATTGATATTTATTCATTTATTTGTGATTGTAATTTGAGGAAAAGCTTTAAGGATAATTTTTTTTATCACTACATTATTTATTTTATTAGTTTTGTTAGGAGTTTGTCATTGAGAGAAGAAAGGACGACTAAAGCAATGAAGAAAAAAGGATAGGATTTATAATTAACACTTTGAGTACACTGAAATCCCTAAGTTTATAGGGGCTTTTAATTTTATTCAAGCTAATAAAGAAACCTATTAATCTCAAATTGTATTAGACACTTAAGGTTTGATTCTTACTGTGGCTAGTAATGGTGAATATACTCTTAATAAATATAAAGAAATGATAAATATATAACATTATGGCCCCCCTTTTTTATATAGAAATTTGCAACCATCTTAGAAGTATGAACAAGATAATAAACAAATGCTCAACTATTATCTCTATGAGAATATCCAAGCCAATTAACCAAATAATAAAGTTTGTGATACTAGTACTTTGAGTCAAGAATGACAACAACCTCAAACTCATGCTTGCCAATAATAATATCTAGAGAAGGTGCTAAAGACTAGAGAGAGATGTATTGAAAAATGCTAAAAATTATTATAAATAAACTTAGTATAAGTAAGGAGAAGATATTGCTCAAGAGTTTGAATAGTATGCTTTGTTTACTTATCAGTCTAAGGATGGTAAAAAATAAATGATTTACTTTTGACATAGATAAAGGAAAGAAATTTGTCCTAAAAGGTCAAAACAAATTAATGCCTTTAATCATTAATAATATTATCTAACAATACATGAAAGCTTAAAATCTTCTTATCAACAAATTTAGTTAAATTTTCTCTATCTTGACATGGTAACAAATGTGTCATTTTAGAAAATTGATGGACTATAACAAAAACATTATTAACAAAGACACTTGAGATTGGTAATAAATCTATAAAATTAAATTTCTAATGCAATTAAGTAAGAGGAGTTGAAAAAGACCATATGGAAGATGTCAAGGCATCTTAATTTATCGATAATTATCACAAATATATACAAATTTTTATTTATATATATGCATATAGGGGCCACCAAAATTCTTGTTGAATTAGTTTAAGTGCTATGCTGTTAGAGTGTTATAGCATACTTAAATCACACACAATTTCATTATGCAATCAGATAAATATAATTGAGTATATTAATAAAGGTCTATCCCAAAATAAAAAAACTTGATAATCACTATGTTAGGCTGAAGAAACACTAAGAAAAAAACTTGCCAAGATTCATAAGCAAATGAATTAGTAGTTTAAATTACTTAAATTTATAATTTAAGGGAGTGATCAAGAGGAACAAAATATTATGTAAGGGAATTGATTTTAAATTAACAGGATTTAATGAAAGTTTGGTGTTAAAAGTCAAATACAAAGTTTGAAGATGAGGGTGTAATATAACTATATCGAGTAAAAGTATCAACTTTTCTATTTACTTTTTCTAGGTGATGTATAATTATAAATTAAAAATAGGATAATGATTGCGATTATCGAGTTTGATACTAAGGACACATACCAAGGCAATATTAAAGGTTTTTGCAATTATTATATATAGTAGTCATGTGCAGAAATGATACCAAGCTTCAAAAGGGTTTATAATTGCAATTAATTGTTTTGTTGAAGATATTATAATTGAATTGTGTAATTATACACTTTTGAAAGTGGAAACAATAAGGTGAATTTTGCTATTATGTCCCTTTGTGACAATACAATGCCCAAAATAGAATCTAAAATATTTATCTCAACAAAATATAATTTCATATTGTTTAGATGGATAAGAACTAAAATGGAAGGAAATGTAAGCTTTATAAGATAGTAAAACGTTTGGCCAATAAAAAGCCATATAAAAAAAGCATTTTTTATAGTGAGTCTCCTCATCAAATGAAAATGAATTTAGAAAAGTTTTGAATGAAGTGTTAATAAAAGTTTGCAAAACTAAGAAAATATTAAATATCATGAATAAAGTTTAGGTGTTGTTACTCAAGAATTCTTGGAAGGATCCATAATGATGACATAAAAAGAAATAATGTAATTTAAAATCTTTATTGAATCTTGATTAAAATATAAAAAAATGATCTTAGTGGAATATTAATATGAAAAGGCTTGGAAATTTAAAGTTAAGATGTGAAAACAATGAATCATCCTTAATTAAATTTAATATTTTTTATTTTTCAAAATATAGATGTTGCCTCCACTATACAACCCTAAGGGCAAATGCAAAAACAAAAACATTGCTCCAAGAAGTGGTTTGCATCACTATAAATTGTTCTCAATTTAACATTGTCATTCGGCATTGAAAAGACATTATTGATATATGGCTCCAATCTCCATTAAAAATATACTTTATTCATATGCTAGTTACTGTAAGATTTAAGTCATTAGACAAAGGAATAAAGATTTATTTATGATGTTCCAATTGACATTATTGCAATTAATTGTTACAATGAACAATAAGATTAATAATAGTTGTGAGAGATGTTAAATCTACATAAAAAAGCATAAGATCTTTGACATTTTTACAAAAGTAAAGATGGAAATATTTTTAAAGAGTTGCATTATCCCATGAAAAATTAGTGGCAAACATCTAGAAGTCTAATATATAGATGGATGTAAATTTGAGCCTTGGTGTAAAAGAGTGGTCCTATTTGCAAATGATTTTAAAATAGTTTGTTCATAATTGCCACAAATGTTGCAAGAGCATTAGTGAGTCCAAAGGGCATGACTAAATGAATGATACACTCATCTACACTAAAACTGAAGAAGAACACGTCCACTTGCTATATAATGTGCTTGATCTGCTCAAGAAAAATGAGTTTTATTTAAATCTAAATAAAAGTTTCTTCTTTCAAGATCATAGTATCTTGGGCCCTCTAGAGGGATCACAATGGATGTTCATAAGGTTGAGGCCATGAGGACGTGGTTAACTCCTCACAATCCACATGACAGTTACTCATTTTTGGGCTTTATAAGGTTTGGTTCTAGGGTTGTTAGGGATTTTTTTGTGATGTAATTTGCTTCTTTTAAGTGGAATGAAATAGAAGCTTCTATAGTGATGACAAATGCAAGTGATGCTAGAATTGGTGTTGTGCTCATGCAAGACAATCATATAATCACTTTTGAAAGCCACAAAAATTCAAGTGCTAATTCTCATTACTCAGTTTATGATAAAGAATTTCTTACCATGATTTATACTTTGCAAAAGTGGAAACACTTTCTCATAGGGGTGGATCTTGAAATGCATACCAATCATAATGCACTACAACATTACCTCTCTCAGCCAGTTATGAATAAGTAATAGGCTCACTGGGTGGCCTTCTTTGCTAATTTTTGTTTTAAGACCATTTTTATTCTTAGCAATAAGAATTTAGTGGCTGATGTGCTAAGTCAGAGGGCACATACACACACACATTAATGCTATTTTGGTGGTTTTCATTAATTTTGCAGTGTCTTTTCCATATAAGTATATGACTGATTATTATTTTAAGCTTATATATGAGAGTTTAAAACATGAGTAATGTTCAGAGACTAAAATCTCTTTGTAAGACTTATTCTCTTTCTGAGTATTTGCTTTATTTCCATGATTGTCTTTGTGTTCTTTTGTGTAAGGATACTTGGACTAAAAACAGGATATGTGACATTTCTTTATTGGTTCAGAAAGAATATTCAAAGTATAAAATTGGATATTCTCCTAGTGAAAACGCATATTCCCCATGTTACTCCAGATGAAAACTCACCAATTGAAATTAATTTTATTGAAGACTGGATCCCGATCATGGACCATGTATGGCAAGTGCTCCAGGCAGGCAGAAAGTCTTCCATGCTATCATTCCCAACACGCCCTAGAAATCGTCCAAGAAATGATCGCTGTAGAGGCTTCCCGATACAATGTAGCTCGCAGACGATTCATTGAGAAGGACGTGATCTCTTTTGAAAAAACCAGCGTAATGAGCTCTCGAGAAATCTTCCGCAGGAGAGAGAGGATGTTGTCACAAGCAATCTTCTCCCTTGAAGCAAGCAGCCAGCAAACTCGTCCAAGTGACCATTGTGGCTTCGAACGGCATAGCTTCCACCATCTCCAGAGCTTCCTCGTGCTGCTTTGGTCGTCCAGCGTGTAGTGGTAGTGCTCAATGCCCGGATCTATAGACGTCATCTCCTAGAAAAACTTCTTGCCTTGCTCGATCATCCCAGCCCGGCTGCAAGTCGCGAGCACCGAGACATAAGTTACACCGTCCGGCTTGACACCCTCGTCACACATCTTCTCAAAGAGCTGGATCACTCGATCGCTGTCTCCCTAGCGGCTGTAGCCCGCGATAAGTGAGCTCCAACTCACAGCATCCTTCCTCGAGACCGAGTTGAAAACCAGCTCCGCTTCGTCCATGCTCCCACATCTGCTGTAGAAATCTACCAACGAAGAGATCACGGCTCCCTGGAACTGGAACCCCAAGCTCGTGATCTCTTCGTGAAGTATCCGGCCAAGCTTCAAGGCTACCGAGCTTCCACAAGCTTTGAGCGCGCAAACGAGAGTCCAGACGTCTGGAGAACATCCCTCCAGTTGCATTAGCAAGAAAAAATGTAGCGTTGTTTCGGCCTGACTGTTTTCAACGTACCCGAGCATCAATGCCGTCCAGCAGACTTGATTTGGCTGGAAAATGGTGCTAAACACTCCAAGAGCATTGCCCATGCTGCCACAAGCCGCGTACATTTGGATCAAGCAGCTATGGAGAAAGATATCCAAGAGATGGTTGGTAATTCGCAAGGCTTGCGCGTGAAAAGCCATACCTCTTTCCAGAGACTTCAGCTTGAGTATCCTTCCATGGATAGTTTCTTCTCCTCGTTCCCTCTTTGCTAAAGAAGTGATGGCCTGGAACACCGCAACAAAGGTTCTGGCATTTGCTCCACTGCTTTCTCGTTGCATTTCCACGAAGAGCTCAAGCACCACCTCGCTCTGCCCATTCTCCACAAAACCCTGCATCAAAGAAGTCCATAGAACTACGTCACGCTTTGGAGCTCCATGAAAAACCTTCCACGCATCCACCACGCTTCCACACCGAGCATACATTTCCACCAGGCTGCTAGCTACCAAAGCGTTTGTGTCGATTCCCCTTGCAGTGGCAAGGGAGTGAAGAGCCATTCCTCTGTCAAGAGAAGAAAACTTCACGACGAGCTCTAGATCTTCCAAAACCTTCCCATTCTCCTTCTCTGCGAGGCTCGCGCAGGCCATGAGCAATCCAATAAACGTGACAGAATTCCCTTGCAAGCCCCGCGATTCCATGTCCAGGAAGAGCTGGAGCGCAACCCCGCCATGCCCATTCACGGCATAGCCCAGAATGAGAGAATTCCACGCGACGAGGTCGGGGCAATTCATCCGGTCGAAAGCCCTGCGCGCCTCGTCCATGCAGCCGCACTTGCCATAGAGATTCACCAGGCTGCTCGCCACGAACGCATTGGAATCGAGGCCGCAGCACTCCGCCTCGGCGTGGATTTGCTTACCCCAATCCAGATCCCGGGATCGCGAGCATTCCTTGAGCGACGCAAGGAATCTCCTCACCTCGCAATCGCTGGAGTGGGCGCGGTCAAGCTTGGAACGGAAAGATCGAGGTCGGGAAGTGGAAGAACTAGGACTCATTTGATTCTTTATATTAAACGGAACCCATGTCTTATAAACGATATTCGCGGTCCGTACTAGATTTTGATTTGATTGCATTTTTTGTTACCATATAAAAGGCCCTTTAGGATTCACACAATCAGGGTTTAATGGCAGTGATCGAGAGCGTGGACAAGAAGGCTAGCGCTGTGGCGGCGATGGGCGCAATCAAGAAGGGAAAGAAGAGGCAGCGAGACAAGGACGGACAAGCTGATACCAAGACTAGTGTTCCAAAAAGAAGGCGTGAGCTTCAGGAGGAGCCTCCCATGGTCCCCAAGAAAAATTCGAGCAGCAAGGTAACATACAAGATTGATGGGTTAGTTATCACTTCCCACAGTGACTTTCATGATTTCTGGCCGCGATCGGCATCCAAGCTACTGGCACCAGACTTCCTCCACTGTGCTAGAGCTCAAGAGCTTCACAGCCTCCTCACCCAAGAGCTCTGCAGTAGAGACCGTGATGATTGTGCCCCGAGGAACGCCCAGCTCTTGGTGGTGATTGGCGGGACGAGATGCCACATGATGAGGCGACTCGAGGACTTGTGCCACTCGACTAGATGTGCTGGAGACAAGATCTGGTATGGAGTCCAGATTAAGGAAGGTGGAAGCTTGTGCACGCTGTTCAAGTATATGTTTGATGGGAGGAGCGCAAGCATGAGCCGGGACATGTCCAAGGAAATCCATGCCAAGGATTGCAGAAACAAGACAAACAACATGATTCAAGAGATCCTCTCCCATGTCTCTGGGAACAAGAGCAACAGTTACTTCTCTCCAATCCGTGTGGAGAGCGTCCACCATTGACTGTAAGAATCACTCCTGTGTGTAAAAGCTTTAGAGTACATCAAAATGGAGAACAATTAAAAGTAGCGTGTTATTCCTCCCGATCGACATTGGTTTTGCTTCTTAGATTCCTGGTCCATTGCTTCACCAATATTGGCTGGCGATTCTATAACCGTGACATCCACAGATTTCAGTCTATTGATTTTGTTCTGGGCGGTGCCTGGAGAAATATTTAAAGGGCGTTAGTCCTTAATGGGTATGATTCTCGTTTTGGGTGCGAGAGGTCGCGAGCCCGATTCTCACAATGCCCCTGTATTTTCAACAAATGCGAAATTACTCGGCCGCCATCACCGTGCTCGGAATCGAAGAAGCCTTTTGCCTCGTCCAAGACCCCATTGCTCGCATAGGCGCCAAGCATCACTCGCGCGACCTTCATGGCATACCCGTGGATCATGACGCTTCAAGTGATGGTCTTATTGAACATATGCTGGCACGAGGGTTGTAGCGGGCATGGAATAAAAAATTTGTTTAGCCATCCCGGCCTTGGTATATACGCATAGCATAGCTTCCCACATCACTGCTGCTGGCTTTGTTAAAGAGATCAAAGCATGGGTTAAGGTCCTTGCAGCCCTATATGCTTTGATCATCACTGTCCATGAGATGTCATTGCAATGTGGCAATCCATCAGAGACTTGTTGGGCTTGATCTGTCTCGCGGCTCTCTGCATAAGATTTGAGCAAAAGTGGAAACACTTTCTCATAGGGGTGAATCTTGAAATGCATACCAACTACAACATTACCTCACTCAGCCAGTTATGAATAAGTAATAGGCTCACTGGTTGGCCTTCTTTGCTAATTTTTGTTTTAAGACCATTTATATTCTTAGCAATAAGAATTTAGTGGCTGATGTGCTAAGTCAAAGGGCACATACACACACACATTAATGGTATTTTGGTGGTTTTCATTAATTTTGCAGTGTCTTTTCCATATAAGTATATGACTGATTATTCTTTTAAGCTTATTTATGAGAGTTTTAAGCATGAGTAATGTTCAGAGACTAAAATCTCTTTGTATAAGACTTATTCTCTTTCTGAGTATTTGCTTTATTTCCATGATTGTCTTTGTGTTCTCTTGTGTAAGGATACTTGGACTATGCTTTTACTATGGCATGTTATTCGTAAACCAGTGTTGCATGATAAAAGACTATACTATGTGAAAAACAGGATATGTGACATTTCTTTATTGGTTCAGAAAGAATATTCTAAGTGTAAAATTGGATATTCTCCTAGTGAAAACGCATATTCCCCATGTTACTCCAGATGAAAACTCATTAAATATTCCCTATAAATACTTGAAAAATATTCCCCAGAATCTAATGCATTATGGGGTGTTCATGGCCATGTAAATGACCTCTTACACAGCCATCCAATGCAATCATAGCATACCTAACATTCTTTCTTTGTGACTTAGATTTGGATTTCTTGAATTTTTTTGACCATGATCAAGAAAAGCTCAGAGTTTCTCAAATTCATGAACTTACATACTATTTGTCATGACTTTCACATTTCAGAAGCTGATTTTTTTCACAAATATTAGAAAACAAAAGTTTACTACATAGGAAGAGGATTACATTGCAAGTAACTTTCTAGTTAATCATCTAGTAGTTCTTCCAGATCTTGCATTGGCTCCTAGTCTTGACTTCAATGAGGAAGATCATCTTCACCATGGCATCAGGAAATTATTGGAGTTTTGTTTAAGGCTTATGTCTAAGAGTGTTCCATGTACGACTGTCCATGTATTGCGAATGGAATAGAAGCCTTAGAGTGTCTCCAAATTTAGTAGACAAATGCTGTTGGGAAGGAGCTCGAAATGCTCTCCTCTCAAGTTCCTGTATAATTTTCTCAAAGATCTTTTGCTTCACTTGCATTGCTGGCTATGGCGGCCAATTCCAATCCCTCCTCTCTTTCCAGTGATTACCAAAACGGTGGCATGAATTCCAGCTTACAGTTGATCAGAAACACAATCAAAATGTGTCATGGATTCTCAACCAGGCTGATCACCTGGTGCTCATGATCGACAAGGCTGAGCACGAGCCTTGGAGATTTGTGGGTAAGGTTGACAGGTTAGGCAATCTAGACATAGAGCAGCAGCTATGGATCAACTACAGATTCATGCAAATGCAATTGATCTTTGGAGTAGAGGGCGAAAGCAATGAACAACTAGAAAATGCTGCTTATGGGTAACTGCTGGAGTGCAGAAGATCTGTCCCCCTGGAACCATTTGGCTGCTTTTTCTGAAGGATCACCACCAGCAAGAAAACGGTTTCTACTCCCATCATCACAGTGATGTGTTCGTGAGCCGATCTAAATAAGAATTGAGAGCCACATTGACCATGGTGGAGCCGTGGGTGAAGTGGAGGTTGTTGATTCTCGCTGCTCGCTCATCAATATGGCTGGAAATGAAGGCATGCTTCTTCGTGCATGTTCACACTACCACACTCAATCTAATTGTAAGAGGAGAATTTTCTATTGATTTCGAAATCTTTATCTCGGTAGGGAAGATGAAGCTATGGAAGTAGGAGACTAGAGTGCTGGCCGTGTGAATGCTCTGCTGGAGTAATAGCTGTTGTTGAAGGTGTCTGGATGGGGTTGAGGGATGCCACATCCAGTGACCAAGATCCATATCCCCTCCACATTGCAGTTCTATAGCAAAGAGATATTAAGTACAAATTTACGTGGTCCAATTACATATTGCCACGTGGAAGATAAATATTGTTTGGATAGACAAATAACACACCATATTTAACACTTATCTATCAAAGTAGATTTCTATAACTCAATCGTGGATAGTTATAGATTTTTTGACATTCACCTTACATATTGTAAGTAGTTTCTTATCATATTTGTTTAAAAAAGAAATATGGAATAAAATATAAACCAAAGGAAGGACCAGATGCCAATGATATGAGAATGGTCATGCATAGATTCAAGTGAACTCATTATTAAATCTATATAAAAATAATTGATATTATTTACTAAAAGATAGGATGAAGAAAATGTTAATTTTTTTATCATTTGTATTAAGCTGGAAAAATATAAAAATATTTAAAAAGAAAAAGTAAAATCTAAAACTAAATACATCACTCTTATTAATTTAGCTAATATTTAAAGTAAATGTACTTATAATAGAATAGTACTTATTTATAATATACATATGAATATTAATTTGATATTTAAATAAAAGGATTATATAATAAGTGAAAAATATTATACTAAGTGAATTTGACTTAAGAAAAACAATAAAATGCATTGCAGTAATTATGACATCATATGATAAGGTAATAGAAGAGAACATAGCCACACTTCTAAAAGAAATGATTGAGTTTAATGTTAAGTTGAATTTTTGAAAAAATTATAATTTTATTTTATACTAGAAAATATCATTCAAAACATAATATCTCATTTTGAAATTACTTAATAGTTAATTCATAAAGCCTTAGCTATTTTGTATAAAAATGTTTTTTCACATTCTTTTAAAAGAATAAAATTATAGCTAACAAATTTTTACAATATATAAGTGTTTAAGATCCACTCAAATGCATAATTACATTTAAAAAATAACCTTATGACATTTTGAAATTATTTTATTTTATCTTAGATGAAATATTCATTGTTGTGTTTGTATCGCTACTGTGTGGTATTAGTTTCTCAAAATAATCCAAGTAATTTCTCTTTTGTAAAAGCAATAATTCATTTTTGATTCCATGATCACATGCGCTACACTCACCCCCCCCTTCAGAGATGTCAATGTCCTCATTGATTATTGACTAGCAACCCCTACTAAGCCAAGAGGAACTAGCATCTTCATTTCCGCACTCAATCTACCAATCCTTCCATTGTGTAAATTAGCTATTCCATGTGAGGTAACTAGTTATCCACCCGTACCACAGTCCCACAGTGAATACCTTCATCTGTGGATACTCCACACAAGAGGAAGGATGTACGCATGGATGTCCAATACGTACAATTTCAAATTTTAGGGGTAGGAATATACCTTACTCAAGGGTCACTGTGCCACAGTGGATACCTTCATCTGTGGATATTCCACAAGAGGAAGGATGTACGCATGGATGTCCAATACATACGATTTCAAAATGTCCAATACGTACGATTTCAAATTTTAGGGGTAGGAATATACCTTGCTCAAGGGTATATTATATTTTTTTAAGTAGCCACTAATCAATGGAAATCAAACCTGTGCCATTTGCTTCGATACCAACTATAGCGCACCTTTTATCTCTCTCCCCTTAAACCAACTGGAAAAAGGGCAATTGCTTGATGAGAGAGCCCTTAGTGGCTATTTTATCCCCATTTATCCCCTAAGGTTCCAAGGATCCATGGTGATAGTATATCCAAATCTCATCCCATGATCACATGCGCTACATAAATTAAGGAAAAAAGATCTTTATAGTGCATGTGTGTTTGATATTTTATATTTTTTTATAAAAAATAAAATACAATATAATGTGTATATTTTATTATTTAATTTCCTACTTGACTCAATATATAGCTTCAATAGCACTTGAATTTACTTTTAATATATAACCAATTTAAAATAAGAACATAAAAAATAGAATCACGAAGATGTGGATTTCAAGTTTAGTAAATAAATAAGTGGCAAATAATCTAGGTCATAGCTGTTTAGCAAGGCACTAGTGGATCCTTTCAAAATTTGAAGTCCATTTTTGATAATTTTGAAATCAATTTATTTACTAAACTTGAAATCCACATCTTCGTGATTCTATTTTTCATATTCTCATTTTAAATTGGTTATATATTAAAATAATAAAATAAAAAATAAAAACTTTACATGATAAACCACCCAGTTCATTAATTGAAATTAATTTTATTGAAGACTGGATCCCGATCATGGACCATGTATGGCAAGTGCTCCAGCCGTCTTCCATGCTATCATTCCCAACACGCCCTAGAAATCGTCCAAGAAATGATCGCTGTAGAGGCTTCCCGATACAATGTAGCTCGCAGACGATTCATTGAGAAGGACGTGATCTCTTTTGAAAAAACCAGCGTAATGAGCTCTCGAGAAATCTTCCGCAGGAGAGAGAGGATGTTGTCACAAGCAATCTTCTCCCTTGAAGCAAGCAGCCAGCAAACTCGTCCAAGTGACCATTGTGGCTTCGAACGGCATAGCTTCCACCATCTCCAGAGCTTCCTCGTGCTGCTTTGGTCGTCCAGCGTGTAGTGGTAGTGCTCAATGCCCGGATCTATAGACGTCATCTCCTAGAAAAACTTCTTGCCTTGCTCGATCATCCCAGCCCGGCTGCAAGTCGCGAGCACCGAGACATAAGTTACACCGTCCGGCTTGACACCCTCGTCACACATCTTCTCAAAGAGCTGGATCACTCGATCGTTGTCTCCCTGGCGGCTGTAGCCCGCGATAAGTGAGCTCCAACTCACAGCATCCTTCCTCGAGACCGAGTTGAAAACCAGCTCCGCTTCGTCCATGCTCCCACATCTGCTGTAGAAATCTACCAACGAAGAGATCACGGCTCCCTGGAACTGGAACCCCAAGCTCGTGATCTCTTCGTGAAGTATCCGGCCAAGCCTCAAGGCTACTGAGCTTCCACAAGCTTTGAGCACGCAAACGAGCGTCCACACGTCTGGAGAACATCCCTCGAGCTGCATTAGCAAGAAAAAATGTAGCGCTGTTTCGGCCTGGCTGTTTTCAACGTACCCGAGCATCAATGCCGTCCAGCAGACTTGATTTGGCTGGAAAATGGTGCTAAACACTCCAAGAGCATCGCCCATGCTGCCACAAGCCGCGTACATTTGGATCAAGCAGCTGTGAAGAAAGATATCCAAGCGATGGTTAGTAATTCGCAAGGCTTGCGCGTGAAAAGCCATACCTCTTTCCAGAGACTTCAGCTTGAGTATCCTTCCATGGATAGTTTCTTCTCCTCGTTCCCTCTTTGCTAAAGAAGTGATGGCCTGGAACACCGCAACAAAGGTTCTGGCATTTGCTCCACCGCTTTCTCGTTGCATTTCCACGAAGAGCTCAAGCACCACCTCGCTCTGCCCATTCTCTACAAAACCCTGCATCAAAGAAGTCCATAGAACTACGTCACGCTTTGGAGCTCCATGAAAAACCTTCCACGCATCCACCACGCTTCCACACCGAGCATACATTTCCACCAGGCTGCTAGCTACCAAAGCGTTTGTGTCGATTCCCCTTGCAGTGGCAAGGGAGTGAAGAGCCATTCCTCTGTCAAGAGAAGAAAACTTCACGACGAGCTCTAGATCTTCTAAAACCTTCCCATTCTCCTTCTCTGTGAGGCTCGCGCAGGCCTTGAGCAAACCAATAAACGTGACAGAATTCCCTTGCAAGCCCCGCGATTCCATGTCCAGGAAGAGCTGGAGCGCAACCCCGCCGTGCCCATTCACGGCATAGCCCAGAATGAGAGAATTCCACGCGACGAGGTCGGGGCAATTCATCCGGTCGAAAGCCCTGCGCGCCTCGTCCATGCAGCCGCACTTGCCATAGAGATTCACCAGGCTGCTCGCCACGAACGCATTGGAATCGAGGCCGCAGCACTCCGCCTCGGCGTGGATTTGCTTACCCCAATCCAGATCCCGGGATCGCGAGCATTCCTTGAGCGACGCAAGGAATCTCCTCACCTCGCAATCGCTGGAGTGGGCGCGGTCAAGCTTGGAACGGAAAGATCGAGGTCGGGAAGTGGAAGAACTAGGACTCATTTGATTCTTTATATTAAACGGAACATGTCTAATAAAATATTCGCGGTCCGTACTAGATTTTGATTTGATTGCATTTTTTGTTACCATATAAAAGGCCCTTTAGGATTCACACAATCAGGGTTTAATGGCAGTGATCGAGAGCGTCGACAAGAAGGCTAGCGCTGTGGCAGCGATGGATGCAATCAAGAAGGGAAAGAAGAGGCAGCGAGACAAGGACGGACAAGCTGATACCAAGACTAGTGTTCCAAAAAGAAGGCGTGAGCTTCAGGAGGAGCCTCCCATGGTCCCCAAGAAAAATTCGAGCAGCAAGGTAACATACAAGATTGATGGGTTAGTTATCACTTCCCACAGTGACTTTTATGATTTCTGGCCGCGATCGGCATCCAAGCTACTGGCACCAGACTTCCTCCACTGTGCTAGAGCTCAAGAGCTTCACAGCCTGCTCACCCAAGAGCTCTGCAGTAGAGACCGTGATGATTGTGCCCCGAGGAACGCCCAGCTCTTGGTGGTGATTGGCGGGACGAGATGCCACATGATGAGGCGACTCGAGGACTTGTGCCACTCGACTAGATGTGCTGGAGACAAGATCTGGTATGGAGTCCAGATTAAGGAAGGTGGAAGCTTGTGCACGCTGTTCAAGTATATGTTTGATGGGAGGAGCGCAAGCATGAGCCGGGACATGTCCAAGGAAATCCATGCCAAGGATTGCAGAAACAAGACAAACAACATGATTCAAGAGATCCTCTCCCATGTCTCTGGGAACAAGAGTAACAGTTACTTCTCTCCAATCCGTGTGGAGAGCGTCCACCATTGACTGTAAGAATCACTCCTGTGATCAAAACCTTAGAACAATTGTGTTATATTTTCGTCTATCCCTGTCGATTGACACTGGTTTTGTAATCTTGTCTGCCGATTCTACAACCGTGACTCCCACCCACAGCTTTCAGTCTCGTGACTTGTTTTTACCTTAAACACACAGATTATTCATGTTATTCGATATTTCAATGGAAAAGAGACCAGGCACTGCGGTTTCCTGGAGGAAAATGCGCGTTAATGCTTCTTAATATTGTAATGGGCATTTGGTCTAGTGGTATGATTCTCGCTTTGGGTGTGAGAGGTCGCGAGTTCGATTCTCGCAATGCCCCCCCATTTAATTTGATTTAATTCCATTTAATTTGACTTAATTCCATTTGTGGTACAATTTATTCAAATCATGTTCAGATTAGAAATGCGAAATTGATTATTCAATTTTACAGTCAGAAAGGAAACAAACGAAAGAAAACAAAGAATTACTGTCACGCTTGCACTGCCCGTGACGATGAAACGGCAAACTTCCGGGTGGAGCTTGGATCTGTGAACGAGGCCTTCTTTCCGTCCGGGTCGAGCATCATCGGCCCCGAAAACCTCTCGTTCTTCCTGGGAGCGTTGCTGGATCCTCCTCCTCCTCCTGCTTCTGTAGAGATCGAGAACGCCCTCGAGGTAGTAGCAGTAACCGTGGTGCGCGGATATGGTGGAAGAATGCCCTCGGCTACGTGGGATTCCGGGACGACCTGGCCGTTTCTCACGTTGAAAGACGAGCCGTGCCTCCTTGACTGGGTCATCAGCGTCGGGACCGAGTTCTCGTAGTATGACTGGTAGATGGAGCGCATCATCGAGCGCGGAATGCAAGCCTCGAGAGTGCTCCTCGGAAGATAGTTTGAAAGATCACAGAGCTGGTCCAAGAATATCAGCTTTGCTACGAGGCCGCCCCTGAAAGGAGTACAAAACAAAACAGTGAGATTGCCAGAGCAACAAAGAAGAAAAACCTGGCTCCATCAGATGACAAATCCAATGCGGTCACCGCAGCGCCTTGCAGGAATGTTTTCATCATCGCCTTGATTGACATCTCGATGTTCTCCAGAATCCGCGAGTCCGAGTCCTCAATCTTTCGCTCGGGATGCTGCTGAGCAATCATCCTTCTCTGGAGCTCTCTGCGCTCGAAGCGGACCAGCTCGCTCGCAGCCACAACAGCATGTATGCACCTGACGTCGCAAGCCAACAGCGTAGATCAGAACAAGCGAGAGGAAAAATCGCGACGTACCTCGCTAAGCAGTGAACGTTATTGTTAAAGCCTCCGGCATGGATGTCAAAGCTACTGTCGTCCCAGACACTGGACGTCATGAGAGCAACGTACAAGTATGGAACGAGTGCCCAGGTAGAATCGCCAGCTCCTCCCAAGTTCAAGAGAATGGACTGGACGACCTTTGAGTCCTGGTCTTTGCTTGCTCCAAACTGGCACGCTAGCATCTTCACCTTTGAGACTGCTGGCTTCTCCGGAAAAGATGGCGGTGCGTGCCTTGCAAAGTCCGAGACGAGTGAAGCCAGCAAAGGTGCGCTTGATTCGAGGACTTGCGAGGCCGCTTCGGCGAGGAGGCATCGGAAGCTCAAGATATGGCCGGCTTGGAGCGAGAAGTTCATGAGCGTCTCAAGCTCGGTCATGCTCTTCAGCGCAGCGTCTCGGTCCCTTTTGCTGTGGAGACTGGTCGCAAGGTTCTCCAGAGCCTCTTTATTGGAGCGTAAGGTGATGTCGATGCAGTTTAATAGCACCGCGAGCTGTTCCCTGAGATCGTTGTCCAGCTTATCAGCTCCATAAGGCCCGAAAATTCGAACGAATGCTTTGAGCTCCGTCACGTCCGCTACCATGTGTGCTGCTGTTTTACCCACGGGCCTCGCACTCCTGAAGCTTTTCTCCGATGGTGTGAATATAACTCCCACATTATTGACATCCTTGATGATGTTCTCAATGTACCAGTCGCAGATAGTCGATGCTGCTGAGCCACCGACTTTAGCATCAGGCACGTAGTTCGGAATGAAGGTCTGCGGATGTCCCGAGATCGCCTCCTTGAGCAGGACTTCCCGAACGGATTGAGTTAAGTCCATGCCAACGTGCTGCTCAATTATATGGATTATAGTCATGTGGCGCTGGATGGAAGCTTCAATTACTGACGGCCGTTGCAAGTCTTTTTCAATGAGTGGAATCTTTAGCAATTGGGAGCGAAAGTTGCCGAGTATCCGGTCCCTCATGTACTGCAATAAAAGGTTACAAGATCATGCCATTACTTTTTATTTTCAAGCCTTCTTTACCTCTCTAGGAACAAATACATGATTGACGACACGGACAGGCTCCATCTCGTTTATCACGGAACAAAACGTAGTCAACCTTTGAACGGCTGCGTCGATCCTGCAGATTTTAACAATAGATTCAGCAAGAAGCGTTTGTAATAACACGGAAACACCCACAGTTTCATCGACTCCTTATTGGAAGGCTTGCTTTCAAAACCAGGTAAATCAAGGCTCACTCTTACCGACTTGTTGGAAGAAAATCCAGCTCTTGCTACCTGGTTCAAGCGCGAAGCTGCTTGCTCAGGAAGAAGCTGTAAGACAAAATGTGTTTTATTTTACAATCCTCTAGAAGCGATAGAAACATACCTGCTGATCAAGGCGTCCGAATCCTTCTTCTGAGTCGAGAAGGTTGATAAGTCCTTCGAATCCTTTCATTATGTAGTTAAGGAGCGTTTCGGCGTATGAAATCGCATCCTCCGCAAGCTTTGCAGGCTGCAACAATAAAGCTGTTAGAGAATAGAAACATTGCTGATCTGTTTCACTTCATCGGCCACACTATAGTGGGCATTTTCCGGGAAGGTGCTCGCGATGCTCAACCAGGCGCAGCAGTTATGAGGTCGTCCTTCAGGCCCATACATAGTATGACGAAACACCTGCAGAAAATATACGAGTCACGGATATAAGTCATACTCAAGCTCACCATGTTGAGATGTTCTCTGTAAAAACATAAAGTTTTCAGGGATCCGTGTTGAGATAGCACCTTTTGCATATCATCCACACTCCTACAAGACGAACGGGACGTCAGCAAATCAGAACTTAAAATTCAAACAGCTACCTGGACCACACGTAAGCCATGTTTCCTTCGGTTATTATGCTATCTTTTCCAGTTGAGATTGTGGCCTTCTCCAAGTGCCTAAAATTTATTGAAGATCGCGACGATGAAACTGTCATTATAATCCTTAGCCAGTCTTGGCGAAATACCTGTAGTAAAAAAGTTTGAAATCACGAGACTTTTCACACATTAACAAACCTACAGATAGATCAAAGTTGCTGTGCCTGAGCTTCTCAGTTTGTAGTTTAGGCAGTGTCTCCAACCGTTCCATAACAGCGAGAAAACTGTTACGCAAGTCACTTTCAAAATCTAGAGCAACAGCACCAGGGCTTTCAAAAAGTAATCGCATCCTTTGTGCTATGCCGGTGAGATGTCCCAGCGAAAATGCTCTTATGGCTGTCAAAACACATTTTTTTTCTTTCATGCAAGTAAAGACATTAACGACGAACCTGAGGCGTACTTCCGAATAAGCACAATAAGCTTGTCCATACTTTTTAAAAGATAGCCTATTGTATGATCAGAAGGATCAACAGTAACGGGCATAACACGATTTCCTTTGGCCCTTCCGACTACGAGGCCCGCGTGACTAAAATACCAAAGTGCTTCTGCTCGAGCCACAGCTAATGCAGCATACGCCATCTTCGAAGTACAACTGGTATCAGATCATGTTTACAGAAACTAAAATACAAACTAAAACAGCGTACCTGGACATTTGGAGCAAGTAGACTTGGCTGGTCCGTAAAAAACACGATCATTCTCCTAAGTTCAAGTTTCAAAGTTACTCGATGCTCTCTGTGAATGCCATCTGATTGAAGGATGGCCACGTCGTGCGCATCACTTGAGATACGCATCTGGGTAAGTGTCATGCTTTGATACACAAACATACTCACATGATTGTTTTTTCGACTTGTTTAGCAAGGTTGTACTCCATGTCCGCGTCCTTTTGTTTCACACGACCAACTTTTGCAAGTTTTCTTGATTCTGATATCTTGGGTAAAACGGAATGCTGGTATTCCTCATGTAGAGATAGGTACTGCGTTCAGACCGATAGTGAAGTAAGACCAAAATATAACAAAATTGTATTTTACCTCATCTCGAAACAATGGAAGCACTAGCGTATTTTTAAGGACTGCCTGCATTATTAGAAATTATTTAAAATCGTGTAAACTGTGCTCTAACCAAGATGTCATTTTACCATCACAATGTCGATTGCACCTATTCGTAAAAGTTCGCTGGGGCAAACTAAGTATCCTAAAAGCACCCACTCACGATAAGAATAAATGTTGGCCAGCTCCTGTGCCCTCTGTATTGTCCCGAACGAATAAAACTTAAGAGAGTACACTTGCATTTGTCACAAGCTTACCGCTGGATGAGCCGAGTTTGTAAGCTTTTCTGGATAGCGAGGATGATAAGGACTGAGAAAACCTTCACTTCTAATGCGCTCAAAATCAGATCCAAGATATATCGTCGGACCAATTGCATCCAGTATCTGCGACTTTAGTGGTTAAGAGACAAGCCAATGAGAGTATAATTTAATGCTATACCTCTCCCACCCTATGGCTCACAAAATTCAAATCTTCGTGCAAACCTTTCAGTGGGGGGTCGAACGAGTCGACAAACTGAACGAGTCTGCAGATCAACGTTGTTTGTAATAGTTAAGATTTGTGTAAACATACCTGTGGTAAAACTCGTAGTCTCTCCCGCTTTTTAAGATTGTGTGTGTTAGATTGTATAGCTGGAGTAGCATTTTCCTTGGAATCTAATTGGCAAGTAGCGATAGTTTAAAACTACAAATGAACAATTCGAGACGCTACCTTGTCGGCATACAAGTTGACTTTGACGAAAGCACAAAAAAGGTTCATAAAAGCATGTAGAACTATTGGATTCTGGTGTGGCTGGAACAGCCAAGAAAAGTTTCTAAGCACGATGAAACAAGGATTTACAATTTGTGCATACCATAAGCGTGACAACGGTGCTGCTCATGTCAAGGATCACCCGCAGCGCTTGCTCACGAAATGTCATCAAGTCAAGCAGTACCTGCGAAATAGAGACTTTACCGTACAGGCCGAAAAACAATTGTAAACTCTTACCAGCAACCACGGCTCCAGCGCCGTAAGATAGCTCTCAGCATTGTCTCGAAGCAAGTCTAATCCCGGCTTATCGACCTGACTAACTCACAGAAAACACATTGAGAATCACGCAAAACAAAGAAGAAAAGATCATTCACCTTCTCGGGTAGAAGCTTCACGGGGTGCTCTGGAAACTTTCGGAGGAGATGTGTGCAAAGCTTGGGAGCATTTGGGAAGAGCCCGGACTGCCAGAACGCATCCGAGAACTGCTGGTTGCCATTGTCGTTGAGCTCCAGGATTTCGCGAAGCCGATAGATTTTGGTCATGAGACCCTCGGCAACGTCTTGGAGCTGGAAAACCCATTCAATCTGCCGAAACTTTTGAGCGTTCACTGCGCTGGAGCCTTTGGCACCGTAGCCACGCCCTGCTGCCGGAGAGCTCGACATTGCTTTCTTCCAGTGTGGAGAGGACGTCGATGGCGACGCGGCTGCGCTGCTCGACTCGTTGTTCTTCACATCGTCCCAGTCGCTGCCGTGTTTGTCCGGGGAGTTGATTCGAATGTCTGGCCTCGAGAAGCCCTGGAGCTTCTTTTCGAGCAATTGACTCTCCGTCCCCATCTCCCTCCCTCCTGGAAAGAAACCAAGAACTCCGCTTTAGTCGAGACACACGAAATTTCTCAAGAACACCGGGCTCTAGAAACGCGCGGCGCCATAGAAACGCACAGATTTCGGAGAGCGCCATACCTGGATTGGAATGCCGGCGCGGTCGGCCGCGCTCCAGATCCAGGCCTCGCTCGCCTAGGGCATCCAGAAATCCCCGGGCGCGTATTTCACCTGTGATCCCTTCCCCGTCGCAGCTACGAGAGATCCCGTCGAAGGAGTGGCAACGATGGCGATGGAAGAGAGACGACGCGCGCTACGGTGGAATCTCGCCCCACGGCCCAGCTAGAATAGCCAGGCTTTCGGCCACAGCGATATAGCTTATACCTCCTCTACACATTCACAGTTGTGCACAGTGTTTTTCCTGGCCCAATTCACAGTACGATGATGGTCACCCGTGGCCGTACATATGGCCACGCAAAGAATGAGCCCACAACGGAATCACGGCAGTAACAGTGGTAACTAAATCATACTTACCCCGCCATCATGGTAACTTGCATTACATTTCAAGGATAGAAAGTAGCTGGGCAGGCATCGGACGGTCGAGATTCCACCAGTACGGACGGCCTGGATAAGACGAAAATAGAATATACCCTATTTTGACCCGTGCAGATTCTTTTGGAAGAACCCTAGGATTGATTGGAGCGAGCGCGATGGCGGGCGTAGCGGCGGTGGCGAGAGCGGCGACCAGGACGATCGCGCAGTCCTCGCAGCTAGCTTGTAAGTGACTCGCATTCTCTCGCGATCGATTAGGGCTTTCTTTTTCTCCTCTTTCTTGTTCTTCCAGCGACGAGGAGCTTCCAGACGGGCGCGCCGAGGCAGTGCTACTACGATTACGAGCACCGGGAGCATATGTATGAGATCTGGAACATGAAGAACCGGAACCTCAAATTTGGGCTGCTGGTGTGGGGCGGGATCGTCGGGCTGGGGATCGCGATTCCGATCTATGTCGTCAGGTTCCAAATGAAGAAGGCGCAGGCTTAGACGACGAAGACGAACTCCCGCGTCGAGCAGCAAGAAAACTCCTCTAGGTAGGAGTCTCTTCGTCTTTTTTCTTCTTTCATTGTTTCTCTTCTCTTTCTTTTTTCTGCTCATTGCTCTTCCTCCTCCCAGCTAAATGCATTGGTCAGGGCATGCAACGCCAGGCATCTTCCCCGTATAAAAAGACATCGTTTTTTAGCTCTTTGTCTAAAGGAATCTCTTCACGAATAAAAATGTTCCTTGAAAACTTTTAGGTTGAGCAAACACACACACAAAAGTGTGACGTGTCAGCCGATATGGCCTCCACGTCAAGAGAATCACACGTCACCGGCCAGGCTAAACGCTTTTAACTAATCAAAGCACGAACTTTTCACAGATGTTAAGGCTAATTCAAGCGATTCACTATATAACAGTGAAACCGAATTTCCGGGTTCGAATCCTGGCACTCTCAACTCAAAAGTTTTTATTTTTTCACCTAACCGCAGGTTAAACATATATTATCTTCATGGTTTCACTTTGGTTTGGTTCGAGTGACCTGCGCGATGAGGCCCGAGAGCGCAGCGCAGTGCTTGGATCGATTCTCACACTCGTCGCAGCACTTCTGAAGATTGAGTATCACTTGTCGGCAGCTAGAAAGGCAAAATTGGAAACACGAGGCAAATAAGTGACCGATCCTCGTACCTTTCCATGACGTAGTGGTTTCTCTGGAGGCACGCTTGGATGTCGCAAGCGTGCTGATTACACGGGTCTTTGCTCTTGGGCATTTCTGGGAGAAAGAGGATCCAAGAACGAGGTGGCCTAGAAAGATAAATCGAGATCGCTACCTTACTTGCAGGAAAATAGAAGTAACCTACACAGAGGAGGACGATTTCTACTTGGCAACTTCGGCGGATTTTTGGGCCCTCTTCTTCTTGTCAAAGCTCGCGATCAGCCCCGACAGCGCTCCACAGTGCTTGGATTTATAATCGCAGTCCTCGCAGCACTGCTGGAGGTCCATGATCACGCCGCGGCATCTGCCAGAGATCAAATCTCCAGAGGAATTGGAGCTTGCGTTTGGGATTTGTTACCTTTGGATCACATAATCCTTCTTCTTGAGGCAATCCTGGATGTCGCACGCGTTCTGGTTGCAAGGACTGGCGCCAGCCGCGGGGACCCCAGTTCCTTGCATTGGAGCCCAAGAACCCTAGAATATGGCTTCAAACGAATGGAATGTTTAGAAAAGTGGCAGGCTATTTGGGAAGCGAATGGCGAGCCAGTGCTTCTCGTACTCCACCCAGTGCTTCAATCCCATCTCTTCCAGGATCCGGATTCGCAGCTCAAACAGTGGCTTCTGCGGCGGCTTGGAATCGTCTTGGATGAGCTCGTTGAGTGCCTGGAGAGAAATCGATCCAAAAGTCGTGAGAAAAAAAAAAAAAAAAAACACGATCGAAATGAAGCTATGACATACCTTCAATGCGTTCCCGTAGCGTTTGAGCTTTCTCTCTCGCTTGACGTTGAAGAGCGCGTACTTGGACGATGTTATGTCGACCCACTTTCGCAGCTCAGCGAATGTGGCCTCGTACTCGCTACTGTCTTCTTGTTTCTTGTCCTCTTCTTTCACGACCTCGCTCGAGCCTTCTCCGCTTTCGTCTTGTGGAGTTTCAATGCTCTCTTGCTTGGCCGATTCGAAGACGCCGGCCTTGTTTTGCTGTTCTTCTTTTTCTGCAATCGCAGTCAGCTTTTTACACAGCGCGTCCAGGAATGCGTCGCGCTGCATTTCCATGTCCTTTTTGGCTTGCTGCAAATGGAGTGCTTAGTCTCGGCCAAGTTTGTGCAACACTACAAACGTACCACAGCATCAGCGTCTTCTGGTTCGTTCTTCATGGCAATAAACTTTGCGAGAGCGTCTTTCTCAATGCAACTGATGAGCTCGTCCGCAGCTGCGATCACCTGAAACGTCAAAAAGGCCTCGTCAGCCACAATGCTCATCGTGTTTTCGGATACCTCGTCGTAATCTTGCTCACTGTCCTTGGATGCTGCAAGCTTCTGCAAAATTTCGGACAGGAGCGGTATGTAGTTTGTAAACTCCGCCTGGCAGCATATCAGAAGGGCAAAATAAGCAAAACCAATTTCAGTTGAGAAAGGAATTACCTTTAAAGAATTTGCTTGACTAGACCATTCAGCGCGCTCTTCTTTTGTGGTTCTTGGGAGAAGCGATAGCAATTTGATCTTAACGTCTCTAACCTGCAGCGAGACGACAATGAAAAACACCGACAGCTTTGACATTGCAACTTACTTCCTCCTCAATTTTCTTGAAAGGAGACTTTTGTTGCTCTGGCTCCTTGTCTTTGGCCTTTTCATCATTCTAAAAGAACTCACAAATTACAACGGCAATAGAAAAAAAAATCATAATTACCTTGGCAGCGGGAGCAATCGGGACCACAACCCGTGACACCGCAGGGCACGCCTGTCCATTTTCTTCACCTTTGTTGTTCGCGAATGAAGTCTTTCCCAACGTCATTTTTCCCATTAACAATGTTCCAATAGGCGCGTCCTGGAAAACTGCTGGTAAGAAAACTTTGTTTGCTGGAAAACTCCATTACCTTTGGAGCTTTATCGTCTCCAGGAGATGCAACATAAAAAGCACGTTTTTCTCTAACACAAATAACAAAAAGGATAAGTCAAGCAACGCTTTTCTTAGACATACCCGGGAGCCAGCACTGTAGGTTTGAGGCCGTTCGTACCAGTGATAGCACCATCGATATTTGAATAGGAGCTCAATTTTATGTAATTCTGCACAGAACACCGCCCGTGAGCTCATTTACAGTGAAAAATAAGCACACCTTTTCTTCAAGTCCACGATCAATGAATAATACTGCCTTCTTTAACTTCTCTAGGAAACTTGAATTGTCATGCCTACAAAAATATCGTTGAAGCTGATTTTAAAAGGAAATATTTAGTACCTAATGAGCAAACGAATGGTGTATTCTCCCTTGGAAAGCTTCACGCCTTTGGGATAAACATCCCCCATTGAAAGTACTCTCTGCAAAATTCACACCATAAATGGGTAAAAGCAAAAAGCTGTGCCATACCTTGTTAGCATCATAAATCATATAAAACTGCGATTCAAATTCATTGTCATAAACTCGACCATTCAAGGCGGGAAATCTTGGAGTATATTTACCCCCTTCTGAAAGGTTGACCTTATATCTGGACAAGCGTAAGTTATTAACAGACACAATGACAGAGAACTCACATCAGTGTTAGACCATGTATTTGTCGTCCATCTGGTAAATTGTCTCGCTCTGCAGATAAGGCTTCTAACTTCCATTCGGAGGGCCGGTAAGGAGTTCGCACCTGTAACATCATTCAGAATTAACGTTGACTAAAATAAGATCCTTACCCTTGTTAAGGTTATTGAAGGAGTCAGTCTTTCACTAGAAAGAGGAGACATAACGTTGACTCGTGTCGCTACATCCGCTCCGTTTAAGAACAGATCACCGCTACAGCGAGTTAAGCCACGAAATTCAATCTGCACACAAATATAAGATGGGAACATTATAACATAACGTACAAAAATACCTCCACATCTACATGGGCGGCAGCATGACTACCACTGCCGCTAGACCAAAATTGCGATATAGTCAACTCCATCGTTAGGCCCTCGCAAACAGAAAAGGCAAAACTTTTAGAGCAAGGTGCAGTTAGAGTAAGAATGCTTTCCCAAACGGATGGTCTCGCACTCCTTTGAAGCTGGAAATTTTTTTTAAGTTACCACCAAGAAGTATAAAAAGACTAGTACCTGAACAGCGTTAAGGAAAAATTTCCTAGGTGTATCAAAATTGGAAGTTCGGACAGTCATCTCGGCCCACGTAGCACCTTCGGGAACGGCTATGAATCTCCTCTCAACATGACCTTGATGAAAAAACATGAGTGCAATTCATAAAAATGAGGTTTCGAGCGAGGATTTACCAGGTGAGAATATCAATTTTAAGAAAGATACCGCTGGTGGCACTTCGGTTACTTGAACGGGCTTGACAATTGTGACCGGGACACGAAACAATGGACCTCGCCACGGTGCCATACAATCTATGCCAACAACTTCAGCATAATGAACACCCGGCTTAAGATTTGTTGGGTCGACTATCACACTGTAAATCAATTATTAACAACGTGGCTAGTAGAATGACGTAACGTACTTGAAGGTTCGCCCATTGTGCGTGAGCAACAAATACTCGGGGCATTTAACGATTGATACGTCAGTGCTCTCGAGTTGAAGACGTTCTTCGAACGGTGCAAGCACATCTAGTTTGTCTACTCCCTCCTGAAACTTGGTCTTCACTTGCACCGTCCACTGCAATTTTTTACGCTTGTCAATAACGGAAGTTGAAAAAAACAAGAGCTGAAAACAAGACGACACATCACCTCACTTGCACGCTGAGATTCACACGCATCTCTCAGATAAATGCCACGCATTGTAGGACCTGGATTAGCCGCCCGAGTTACTTGCACTGGATACCAAAGGGAAGGTAGCTCCTTGCACTTTTGCAAATACTCATAGGCCCTTAACGCAGAAAAGAGATGAAGAGATTATTAGATTAGTGCGCTCACAGATCTTACTTGTCCACTTGAAGAAGTCCTCTTCCAGTCGTCAAACATTCTTCAGGAGAATTGCGTATTCGCGCCGCTGTATTCTCCAATGCCTTCCTCACAACGTATGGACTTATAGGCCTGCCTTCTTCCTGAACTGACATTTAGTCAATATACAAGGCATCTAGAAAAACCTTACTTTCAAGGAGCTGAGCACGAGTGCTATGCCTCCACAAGCACACGGCGACGCCATGGAAGTTCCATTCATCAACATACGATGCTGCAGTGTCCATTTGGGAACAGGTGCAACAGCACCACCCGGTGCACTTAAACAAACGCCCAGATCACCGTCCGAAGTAGGACCACGGCTGGACCTGTCCAGAATCACGTTCATGAGTATGGAAACAAGGAAATAGCGAGCAAACTTTACCATGTGTATTGCATCCCCTCAGATGGTGGTTCTAAGATCGAATGAGCAGCGGCAGCCATCACCGGCGATACATATGCACCAATCCCCAAAATGCAAGACGAAGTACCACCAGGTGCTCCCACTGTAGTTAGTGAAGGTCCATTGTTCCCAGCACTACTCACAAAAATCACACCGTGCTTATGTACCACCTATAAAACATAAAACTTGTTCAGAAACAACAGAACAAGCTACAAGTGTTTGCATGATACCTCATTCGCCAGTCTGGTGAAGCGACCATAATCAGGAAATCTCGTTGGCTCCCCGTAGCTCATATTGATCAAGTCACATTTGTTCTGTCAGGCGAAAGTAAGTCACTATATAGAACGAAAAACTGAACGACGCCAGGAGTTTCGCACAAGCAACACGGGTGCAGTAATACAGTCTATCAGGAGAAAAGGATACAAGGCTTGCATTGGCATGAGAAAGCTGTTACATATGAGCTCCGTTGAACAGTACCATTTCGTAAGTACCTCAATTACAGCAATGAGTGCACGAGTGAGGCCGGTGCCTGTTTCCATGGAGCCAAGTCTCGTATCTCCGATTTTACAGGAAACTAGCTGGGCTCCAGGAGCAATCCCATTCAACAATGGCTCCTATAAGTACGTCACAGCTTTAGTACGCATCATAGAAGTAAGATAAACAACCTTCGGATCGTGAGCTGCCGTGATCCCAGCCACATGAGTACCATGAGGGGAGCAATCAGTCACGATGCTAAGGATATCTCCATTGTCGTAGACATTAGTCACGAAGCTGCACGCATCCGTTCGAGAAAAAATGCCGTATTTCTTCTCAATCCTACAAAAAAGTGGTCAGTAACAAACAAATTATACGCCTGTGTTACTTGTAGTTGGTCATTGGAGTAAAATCCTCAAGCTTTCCAATCCCATCATCATCTTCCATCTCTGATGTATCAAGTGCAACGCGCCAAACCTCTCCATCGTGCCATACCACGGCGTCTATAATAGGACCTTTGTCCTCGTAGCTCTAGAACAAAGCAGCGAATCAGAAGGGACGATTCACAAAAAAGAAAAACTTTTGCTCACATCCATTAGCTTCTGAAGGATATCCACTTTATTCTGAAGGTCCTCTCTTTGCTTCTTCAAGTTTGAATCCGAAGGCTTTGGATATTTCTGTAGAATGCATCAGTGTTTAGGAGTAAAGCCGAAAAAAAGGAAACGGGAAAGGAAGCACAAGGAAAAAAGATGAAAAACAAAAAAAAGAGATGAGCTCTTACAAGGTCAAATGCCTGGAGTTGCCGGATAGCATCGGTAATGGCCTCCCTGTGATTTTTGTCCCAGTGTTTCCTTCGCTCCCTCTGAAAACATATTTCGAACTCATGCCGGAGACACAGACTATTACCTTCAGACGAGTAGACAGTCTCTCTGGAAAGAGCTCATACACAAATTTGCAGCCGACTCGCCAATCTCCTGATGGATTTACCCAGGATTCATTGAGCCGCAACGTGGCACCTGGTTGGAAAGAGAAATATCGAACCGAGCATAGTCGTGATCAATTTTCATACCAGAAGCTCCAATAATGCATCCCTTGTCATCTTGACGTACAACTTTGGATGTATCAACGTCTCCACTTCCAGTGCTACAAGAATTTTGTTGGTGCACGTAAACACACACTAGGAAGTACTGAAACTAGACTCACCAATCAACGATGTCTATGATTTTTGGCTTGCCATCCGATGTGATTTGTAGCCCAGCTGCGGCAGGATCTACACCAGAATCTGCAAACAGAGAGCATAAGAAATGCAAAAACTACCAATCAAACGAACCAAATATCGCAATCACGACTCCTCTCCCATCATACTCGGGATGCTCTTCCAGGAACCGATCGGCGCCAATCTCCTTCTTGGGCATCAATCCGGCCAGGAACGTGGACGCATCAATCGTCTCGTAGGACGCCAGATCCTCGAATTTCGACCCAGCGCTGTGGAAGGCGGGCATTGCCGACGCGCTCCTCGCCCGGAGCCTTACCCTAGACGACGACGACGATCGCCGGAGGAGCCTGCTGTGGCGCCGGATTTCGAGGTGAATCGACGAGATCCAATGCTGGCGCCCGCGATGGCGCTGCTGATCCGCCGGCGGCGATGGCGACCAACAGCGCGAGAGGACGAGCACTTGCGCACGGCACGAATAGAGATGCATAAATGGTGACCCTAGAGCACTATATATTCTTCTCGATGGAGGGAATACATTCCGGGAATGATCCCCCTCAACTCATACGTATGGGTAAAACGCATGGATAAGTGGTAAATGTAGAATCTCTGGTTTTACTTTTTACTATCGGCAGCGGTGCTAGCGACCGCGATATCGAAGGTCTTGGGCTGGTGGGGCTCTGGAGGTGGGATCTTGGGCACAGTGACGGTGAGGATTCCATCCTGGCAAGACGCCGCCACCGCCTCTAGGTTGGCATTGGCGGGAAGATTAAATTTCCTCATGAATTTGCCCACGGCGCGCTCCACCCTCACGTATTTGATGTCATAGCTTGGATTGTCCTCGCGCTTGCGCTCGCCGCTGATCTTGAGGATGCTATCGTTCTCGATTTGGACCTGGATTGGATAGGATCACACACACAGAGAGAGTTGATCGAGAGAGGATTCGCCCCAGGGCTGCATTTGGTGTGAAATTCCTTCGATCGCGTTTGTTTAGGTAATTTTACCTTGATGTCCGTGTTCTTGAGCCCCGGGACATCGGCCACAAACACGTATGATGCTGGGAGCTCCTTGACATCCACTGACGCGGTCGCCATTTCTTTTGGTTCTTTCTCTCTCTCTCTCTCTCTCTCTCGCTTCCAAAGAGAGGAAGAAGAAAGCTTTTGCTCGCGAGCTGGGCTTGATGACAGGGCCCAAAGGGCGTGACCTTTCGTACGCGAATGGCTGTACGATGGGGTGGCCAAAACGTCGACCCAAAATAAGTGAAAGGCAGAATATTCGGAGGATCTTTGGAAAGTACCTTGGGTGTATTTTTTTCCTTCTTCTTTTCCCTCCTTTCTTTGGTCCCAGCACCAAGCGTCTTACTTTAGGGTTTTTCATTTCGTCCAGCTCTGGGATGGGGGAGCTCCACTGAGGCGCCCGGATCCGCGCCCGAGGTTAGTAGCTCCGCGCGGCATTTGCGAGATCTGGAGATTGGTAGCTGCAAGAATTGGCCCGCTGCGTGTGAGATTTCGAAGCGATGGCTCCCGGATTTAGGGGTGGGACGCGATTCCAGCAGCATAATGCGATGGGGGATGCGCATATCGCGCATCGAACAGTGTACTGCAATGATCCGGAGCAAAATGCGCCCTTCAAGTTCAAGGTGGAGTTACTGGAATTTGGTTTTCTCTTGTCTGATTCCTTGCTTGGGGGTTTTGCGATCCAGGGTAACGTGATATCAACGACGAAGTATAATTTGATCACTTTTCTGCCCAAGGGCTTGTTTGAACAGGTTCATAGCGCTCTACTCATCCTTTTTCTTAAACTTTTCTTCTTCATTCTCCTATGCAGTTCCGACGTGTTGCAAACCTCTATTTTCTTATGATCGCCATCCTTTCAGCAACACCTGTAAGGTCTGAGCTTAGTTCTTTGTTTGCTGGTATCATTTTTCCAACGTTGTGTTGAAATTTGCAGCCCTGTTCAGCCCATCACGAACATCGTACCACTGTCGCTAGTGCTTGCAGTATCTTTGATCAAGGAGGCTTTCGAGGATCAGGTGGGCATTATGAAAGCTTCTAGACACACGCGTTTTAATTCTACAGTCGTATAGAGGCGCTATCAAAGCGATAAAATAGTCAACGCGAGCCCCGTCGAAGTCTGTAGAGGAAACGAGTGGAGGAATGTTGCGTGGAAGGATTTGAATGTAGGAGATGTTATCAGGGTACGTAATTCTCGTGTTTTAGGCATTTCACGGAGCGTTCTTAACAGGTTAACCAAGACCAATACTTTCCAGCAGACTTGCTTTTCCTAGCAAGTACCAATGCTGATGGGATCTGTTACATCGAGGTACTGTTTACATCTTGACGTCTAGAGTTCGTTGATTCACTGAAGTTTCTTTCATCTGGTCCAGACATCTAACCTTGATGGAGAAACTAATTTGAAGATTCGCAAAGCACTAGAAAAAACCTGGGATTACATGTATCCCGATAAGGCGCCAGACTTTAGAGGTAATCTCGAACTCCAGAAAAGCTATTCTGAGCGTTTGCGATGCGCAGGCGTAATAGAATGCGAGCAGCCTAATAACTCTTTATACACGTTCACTGGGAATCTAGTCATGGGAAAGCAAACACTGCCGTTATCACCGAATCAGATTTTGCTGAGGGTAACACTGGTGTACTTGGAGTTTGCGTCCGCTGATATCGATGTGATGCGCAGGGTTGTAGCCTGCGGAACACGGAGTGGGTTGTTGGCGTCGTTCTTTTTACTGGTCATGAGACAAAGGTACACAAGTGCATTTTACTTGACAATTTTCAAACTTTAATCCAGGTGATGATGAATGCAATGGCCGTACCTTCTAAACGCAGTACTCTAGAACGAAGGCTTGACAAGCTGATTCTCCTTTTATTCTGTATATTGTTTGTCCTATGTGTGATTGGCGCCATTGGAAGGTAAGTTGAGAGAAATGCTATATTGTTTCTAACACTTTCTGGATGGATGACAGTGCAGCTTTTATCGATCGCAAGTACTGGTATCTCAATCTCAGTAATGACGTGGAACAGCAATACAACCCCAGCAACAAATTTGTGGTATTATCTTTTGGCTATTTTTGCTGGCCTGGTTTTAAAACCGACTCTACAGGTTGCGATTCTCAATCTGTTCACTTTTGTCACCCTCTATTCGCCCATTATTCCAATTTCTTTATATGTGTCTATTGAGGTGATTACCTTCGTTCTATTCAATCTCTGCCTGAACCGATTCTTCTGGCAGATGATCAAGTTTATCCAGTCAACACAGTTTATCAATAATGATCGTAATATGTACCATGCTCCCAGTAAAACATACGCGATGGCTCGTACATCAAACCTTAACGAGGAACTTGGCCAGGTAAACTATTTTGTCTTAAGTCAAATTCACGCAAGAACATGTCTGCTCACTATTTGCAGATCGAGTACATCTTCTCAGATAAGACTGGTACACTAACAAGAAACTTGATGGAATTTTTCAAATGCTCGATCGCCGGAGTAATGTACGGAACAGGAATAACGGAAATTCAAAGAGCAGCTGCTCGACGCACTGGGACTACTATTGAAGAGGTATTTTATCTGATAGTTTTTTCATGATCTGGAAGGCTTAACGATGGCAATAGGTAAAACCTTCCGAATATGCCATCCGAGAGAAGGGGTTCAACTTTGACGATAGAAGGTTGATGAAGGGAGCATGGAAAAACGAAACTCAACCTGAAATGTGCATGGTGGGCTTAGTTTGGTACCAAGTTCTAGCTTATATCACTTGTGGTGCAGGAGTTTTTTAGGTGTCTTGCAATTTGCCATACGGTGTTGCCTGAAGGGGATGAGATGCCGGACAAAATAGTTTATCAAGCCGCCTCTCCGGACGAGGCTGCTCTTGTGCAAGCTGCTAAAAATTTTGGCTTTTTCTTTTACCGGTAAGTTGAAACAGCAATTTAATTTTGTATAAATATATCTGGTTGGTGCTTGCAGGAGGTCACCCACAACGATCAAAGTTCGAGAATCATACCTCGAGAAGGCTGGTCGTGTCCAAGACGCTGAATACGAAATTTTAAATGTTTTGGAGTTCAACAGGTGAAGAAAGTTAATTCTAGGCGCTAGTTTCTTAACAGTCTTTGTTAGTGATATAGCACAAGGAAACGTCAGTCTGTCATTTGCCGCTATCCAAACGGGAGGCTCGTCTTGTACTGCAAGGTTTGTAGACCATGAAGATGCTTTTTTTTTTTTTCTAACGTTTTTGCATCTGCTAGGGAGCCGATAATGTTATTTATGAAAGATTGTCCGACAAGAATACTGAGATCAAAGAAGTGACGAGAGAACACCTCGAGAAGTTTGGAGCAGATGGACTTCGAACCTTGTGCTTGGCGTATCGTGATCTGGATCCGCAGCTCTATGATGCGTGGAACGAGAAATTCGTGCAAGCAAAATCAGCTTTACGAGATCGAGAAAAGAAGCTCGACGAGGTTTTCATTGCAGTCCCTAAAATGACGGTCTTCTGATGCTGTTTTCGAATATAGGTTGCGGAACTTATTGAGAAAGAGCTAATGTTGATTGGAGCAACAGCCATTGAAGATAAGTTGCAGGAAGGAGTCCCAACGTGCATAGAAACTCTTGCGAGGGCTGGAATTAAAATCTGGGTGTTAACCGGGGACAAAATGGAGACAGCTATCAATATTGCCTACGGTATGGTATTGTTTTTCGTTGTTAAACAGCTCGCAAGATTTGCATTTTGATCAGCTTGCAACCTCGTCAACAACGAAATGAAGCAGTTTGTTATTGGTTCTGAAACAAAGGCAATCCGAGAGGTCGAAGAGAGGGTGAGTGAGAGCTGCTCTACAGTTCGTTAAAGTATGGTATTGACCTTCTTTCCAGGGAGATCCTGCTGCCACTGCTCGCACAATCGAGTCTTGGGTGAGAGACCAATTGTTTTCCTCTTTAACAGAGGCGGAAGACAATGAACGTGCAAGGACAGGGCTTGATATGGCGCTAGTAATCGACGGTAAATGCTTAATGTTTGCGCTGGATTCTCCGTTACGCGCCACTCTCTTGAAACTGGGAATTAAGTGCAAGGCTGTTGTGTGCTGTCGAGTTTCTCCATTGCAGAAAGCTCAAGTAAGTGTTTCCTTTCCATTTGTGTGTTTTGATCTTGTAATTCTATTGGCAGGTAACGAAACTAGTGAAAGACGGAGCCAAGAAAATAACTTTAAGCATTGGTGATGGTGCTAACGACGTGAGCATGATTCAAGCTGCTCATATCGGGGTTGGAATCAGTGGGCAGGAAGGAATGCAAGCAGTGATGGCCAGCGATTTTGCTATAGCACAGTTTCGATTTCTTACTGATCTGCTCCTGGTGCATGGACGGTGGTCATATATTCGGATAACAAAGGTTCGTATGGTTCAAATGTCTCGTTTTATCAGTCCTCTAATGCTGCCGCTTTCAGGTCGTGAGCTATTTCTTTTACAAGAATCTTACGTTCACCTTGACGCAGTTCTGGTTCAATTGCTACACTGGTTTTTCTGGCCAACGGTTCTACGACGACTGGTTTCAGTCTTTATACAATGTGTTGTTCACAGCACTGCCAGTCATCGTTGTTGGAATTTTCGACCAGGTAACCGATACACTACTTCGCTCTGTTTCATTTTCACGGTGTTTGTTTGAGGCAGGATGTCAGTGCGACCAAGTCCAAGCTAAATCCTCAACTTTATATGGCTGGAATAAGAAATGCGTATTTCAGATGGCGTGTCTTAGCGGTTTGGTTCATCTCGGGAATTTACCAGTCCATCATTCTATTCGCTTTCCCCGTTCACGCCGGAAGGATTGGTCAAAACAGCTCTGGTATGCTACTTGGCCTGTGGGATCTAGGCACGATGGCTTTCACATGTATCGTCATCACGGTTAACTTGCGGCTCCTAATGGCATCGACGTACTTGACCATCTGGCACCATATAAGCGTTGGATGCAGCATCCTGGCGTGGTTCGTCTTTGTTTTCATATACTCGGCTCTTAGAACAAACTGGACTAGTCAGGTGCGTCCTCGCAAACCGATTTCGCTGCTAGCTCTCGTCTTACGCTTGCTTTGTTGCGTGCCTTTCCAGCTAAACATCCGTTTCGTGATATTCGTTCTCATGGGGACTTTCTACTTTTGGTTCACGTTAGTCTTAGTTCCAGTGGTAGCTTTACTTGGCGATTTCCTCTACAGCGGGTAAGCCTACTTTTCCACCATCTGTCTTAGCATTTCTCTCGACTGTTTTGGCTTTGCAGACTCAGGCGCTGGTTCGCTCCTTACGACTACGAGATCATAGAAGAAGACGAGAAGTATCACCTGCGATCCTCCCCGACCTTCTCGTCCGAGGACGCGTACGAGATGCACCTGCTAGACGGGGAGCAGTCACTGACCGAGGAGGAGCGTCGGACTCTGGCCATGGCTCAGCTCCCCCGCGAGAGGTCCCGGCACACGGGCTTCTCCTTCGACTCTCCGGGTTTCGACTCCTTCTTTGCGCTGCAAGAGGGCGTGAGCACCCCTCACAGGTCGTGGGACGTGGCCAGGCGAGCCAGCATGCATCCTCGGAGAAGGCTGGGAGATGGCTCCTCATCTTCGCGTTACAATGATATGTAAAATAGCTATTGTCTTGGTTTCGCTCACTTGGTTTTGTAGCTCTCTCGTGTATAGAGAAAACCTCCCAGACGTACATATATGAGTCCATTTTTCACGCCATTGTCTTGCAATTGCGGTATAATTATTGCTATTTTCCAGAAAAGCGTTTAATTTAAATTAAAAAAACCAACGGTTAAAAACATCATATAAATCTTGACCGTTAAAAGAGCACAAAACAGAGAATGTTCTTAAAGCCCACTAAACATTATTGTTTTGATTGCGAAACCAAGTAAGTTGGCGTAACAAACAAAGCGACTGTTGGAGTTAGAAACCGAGGGGCTGTTTTGTTAGGTAGCTCGTCATCACTAAACGCACTCTACATAGACAGCTACCACAATGGAATAATTCCCTCCACAATCTCTCCAGGTGCAAGCAAGGATTGCTTGAAAAGCCAGCCAGTTCATCCAAAAATCTATCAATCTTACCATCAAACTTTGGGAATAAAAAACTTAGAACTCCAAGCTGAGTGTAAGAATGACCAAAGCAAAGCACGTCTCTACAACAATAAACCTCGATCAATATAATACTCAAACCTAACCACGATCGCACGTTGCGCTCACCGCAAAGTCAAGGTAGAAACACGTGGCACATCGTGGTTGGGTGGAGGCGCCCTGAGCTGGCGGGCAGCACGTCAAGTATGAGTGAGGGGTTTATTTGTTTTTTCGCCGGAGAGAAGAAGCTTCTTCTTTCCGCGTGTTCCCAATTCTGACCGGTGCTCGTCACAGCCAGCTATGGCGGAGGCGCCGAGCTGGGCTGGGCTGGCGTCGACGCTCTGCGATTGCAAGAAATTTCGGTAAGCTGAGCGGCATTCCTTGACTTCTTTCCAAGATCGTCCAGCGTCTTGCTGGAGATATTTCGATCGGGCAAAGCGTGCGTTACAGGTCGCAAGAATCGCCGCCGCCACACTTTCTTGGCAAGATTCTAGCCGCATTGCGTCGATTGCCGGCCGGGCACGCCAATTTCTGGTCAGCGCCGCGATCGATCGATCGCCATGTACCATAATTCATGGGGCGGCCCCCTGGAGCTGGATCCTTCCGTGAACGAGGAGGATCAGAGCAACAGGAGCATGGATTTGGACAGGGCGGCCTTGCAGAAGCTGGAGGAGACGCAGCAGAGCTGGCTTCTCGGGGCCGGGGAGAAGAAAAGGAAGAAAACGATCGATCTGGGATGCATCGTTTGTAGCCAGAAGCTCTTCCTCGGGATCGTCTACGCCATCCTCGCGGTGGGATTCATCGCCGGATTCACGGTTCTCATCGTCAAGACAGCTCCCAGGCACCACCGCCATTCGTCCCCTCCGGACAACTACACGATCGCTCTACACAAAGCTCTCAAGTTTTTCAACGCCCAAAAATGTGAGTATACCCTTTTCTTCTTTTGGCTTTCTAGGAGGAGGAAGTTTGAAGTTGTTTTCTTCTTCCAGCTGGGAAACTCCCGCATGGGAACAACATCTCGTACCGAGGTGACTCGGGTCTTAAGGATGGATCGGACAACCAGGCCGATTTGGTTGGAGGATACTACGACGCCGGCGACAATATCAAGTTCCACTTTCCACAGGCGTTCGCTATGACGCTGCTAAGTTGGAGCGTGATTGAGTACAGTAGCAAGTATGAGGCGGTGGGCGAGCTCGGTCACGTTAAAGACTTGATTAAATGGGGGACTGACTATCTGCTCAAGACGTTTAATGCCTCTGCGCCAAGCGTGAATTCGATCTATGCTCAGGTATGGTTGTTAAGTTGAAAGAGCTGTCAAGAGAAAAGTGTTTTTCTTTTCTTTTTCTGACCAGGTAGGCAAGGGACGTGGGGATTCTCCTGATGATCATTTCTGCTGGGAGAGGCCAGAGGACATGGACTACCCGCGGCCATCGATGCAGACTGGCACGGCATCAGACTTGGCTGCGGAAATGGCAGCCGCCTTGGCCGCGGCATCTATAGTTTTTAAAGGAAACAGTGCTTACTCCCAGAAGCTGGTTCACGGTGCGGACATCTTGTTCAAGATGTCCAGGGATCGACGCGGTCGCTACAGTGCAAGCGTGCCTGATGCAGCGGGATTTTACAACTCGAGTGGATACTACGACGAGTATTTGTGGGGTGGAGCTTGGCTGTACTACGCAACGGGAAATATCAGCTACCTCCAACTTGTGACAACTTATGGAATAGGACGGCATGCCGGGGCATACAGCAACAGCCAGTTTTATGGAGTTTTCAATTGGGACAACAAACTTATCGGTGCTCAGGTATGTACACTCTAGTTTTTTTCGTTTTGGTCTGTTTTTGTTCTTTTTGAGCAAGTCGACTTGAAATACAAAACTCCGGAATGTACAGGTGTTGCTAACCAGACTAAGGATGCTCCAGGGTCCTGGATATCCATATGAAACCGTCCTTAAGAGCTTTCACAATCAGACAGACATCGTTATGTGCTCGTACTTGCCAGTGTATAAAATATTTCCAAAGACGCCAGGTACATCCCAGCAAACAGAAAAGAATCTATATAATCAGTTCCATAACTCGCATTTTCCAGGAGGACTCGTGCTCTTCAACAGAGGCGGCCCGGCACCATTGCAATACTCCGTCAATGCTGCATTCCTAGCGACGCTTTACAGTGACTACTTACTGGCGGCGGACATTCCTGGCTGGTCATGCGGTCCGCAGCTCTACAAGGCTGACAAGCTACGCGAATTTGCAAAGTCTCAGGCAAGCATCGATAGTTTCCCAGTTTTCCTTCGAGTTATAACTAGTTTCCTATCCAGATGGACTACATTCTCGGGAAGAACCCACGGCATATGAGCTACGTTGTGGGATTCGGCAACAAGTATCCCAAGTACGTCCACCACCGAGCAGCATCGGTTCCCAAGAATCGCAAGACTGCTTGCGATGTGTCTGGATTCAAGTGGAGGGATAGCAAGCAGCCCAATCCCAATGTTATCGATGGCGCTCTAGTCGGGGGCCCCGATCCCAAGGACAGGTTCCAAGACAAGAGAGGGAACTACAACTTCACGGAGCCGACCATCGCTGGAAATGCGGGTTTAGTCGCAGCTTTGATCGCACTCTCTGGCAAAGACGACGCTGGTATTGATGCAATGACGATATTTTCTGCGATACCTCCTATGTTTCCAGCTCCACCACCACCCTCCCCTCCATGGACTCCATAGATTTTATATATTTCATTTTTTCGATTGAACTAATATTTTAGTTCGCATTAATAATATATCTAGCATCAAACACTATTTCTAGCTGCTGTAGCATTAAAAATATTGTGAACCGTAAAAAAATTATATTATATATGGTTTATTATCGTTTTATATAAATCAGAAAATATAGTTCAATATTTGTCAAAAGTCAAAATGTTTAAGTTAGCTGCAACTGTTCTTGTGTTGAGTTTGATCTTCGTTCCATGCATTGTCTGCGACGAGAGACATCAATCCGTGATAAATGCTGACAATCATCCAATTTATATTTTTGTTGATCCAAATTATACTTCTGATGCTAACAGTCCAATGCGTGCTTATACCTTCCAAAATATTAGCTCTGCAATCGATTGGATTCCTTATAATGCATCAAATCGATTTGTGATTTTGGTTGAGCCAGGTGTCTACCGGTACGTAATATTTGTCATTATATTATGTTTTCTGATTTTTTTTTGTTTCTGGAATGCAGTGAAAAGATCACAATACCAAAATTTAAAGATTATATCACATTGCAAGGCCAAACCAAGTATATATTTGATACTGTGATTGTTTATAATGCAAATCATGGATCAGCTAATGGAACTGGTAAAAGTGCAACTTTTGAAGTATTTTCTAGATATTTTATTGCTCAATACATCACCTTCCAAGTAAGTCATTTCTATAGTTTCCTCTTTTATAATTTTTGGTTTGATGTTTTGGTAGAACGATGCACCATTCGCAAATCCAGGAGCCCATGACATGCAAGCCGTGGCCTTGAAATTAAGTGGCGATTTTGCAAGGATTTCTGATTGCTTCATCCTGTCAAGCCAGGACACCCTCTACGACGATCGTGGGAGGCACTACTTCAAGAACACATACATCGAGGGGAACATCGATTTCATATTTGGCCTTGGAAGGTCACTCTACGAGGTAAGGAAAACTTTGTCTTTCAGTTCCTACACTACAACTCTCTTCTCCCCTCGCACAGAGATGTAATCTCATCTCGAATGTCAATGCCACAACCAGTGGATCCTTGACGGCACAAGGAAAAGCCGCGCTCACTAATTTCACTTCTGGGTACTCCTTCCACAATTGCTATCTTGGTGGGACTGGAAAGATGACGCTGGGCCGACCTTGGGGGAGCAACGCATTTGTGGTTTTTAGCAATTGTTACATGGAGGCAGTGGTAGATCCCGTTGGCTGGACTCACTGGACTGATTCTTACGGCCCATCCAACAGGTAAATTATAGTAACTTCACACCTGTTTACTAACTTTTTTTTATCGCTCTCTTACAGCACTGCCTTTTTCGTGGAGTATCAAAATTACGGTCCCGGTGCTCATTCGTTGAAACGCGCAAACTGGACCAGAACGATAAAGCCAGACGTTGCTGAATTTTACGCAAGCACGGATTTTATAGACGGATCGGAGTGGCTGTGATGGTTCTTGTTCCTACGTTTCATCCAAAAGCTTTTTTATCAAGTGTAATAGGGATTTTCTTTTCTTTATTTTCGCAAATCTGAAGTTTTCAGCTCCTACGCTTCTCTAGTCTAGTTTAGTTTGTCTCGTTACCTCGTCAGAGTCTTTGTTTCCATCAAATATCTTACTGTGATGACTCTTCGCTTATCTTAGGACTCGGAGCGTGCATCTGGAGACATCAAATATGGAAAAACTGAGGGGTGAAAAAAACAAGAGTACCTCTAGAAGCCTGGGATGCTTGAGATGAGGTTGGATGTGGTGGTGATTGGTGCGGGAGCCAAGGCTTGCTTGCCTCAAGAGCTTCTGGAACTCACGCAAGCTGATCCGGCCATCGCCATCAGTATCAGCTTCGTCCAGCAGTGTATCTAGCGATCCTTTGAGCCCTGTGTACTGCACAGCGAGAAATGTTTCTAAACTCGAAATAATATGGTTTTCCTGTACCTCTTTGATCTCGTCTGGAGATATGAATCCGTCACCGTCTTTGTCGAACTTGTCAAACGCGCACTTTGTCCGCAGCTGCCACTTTTCAGAATCCAGCTCCTCGAGTTGACGAACATGGAGCGTGGCAGCAACAAACTCGTCGAAGTCTATGAATCCGTCCATATTGGCGTCCATCTGCGGGCATGCATCGTCAATCTAGCTGCGCCAGAACGTAAGTAGTAGACTTACAGCTTGGAGGATTTCTAATACTTTTGATTCTTTCAACGTCCATGGACGGTCCTTCAAGAGTGCCTAGCTAACCAGCACAGAACTCAAGCTCAACATTAGAAAATGCCGGATATAACCTGTCGTATTTCTTCTAGAGTGATTGTGCCACTCCCATCAACGTCAATGATGTTGAATTGGTCACGAAGATTGTGAATTTCTTCCGGTTCTAAGGTTGTAGCCAGAGCCTAGACAATAAAAATCAGAATGGAAATTGCAGTTTGACAAAACAGCGTGATACACTTACCCGAAAAGCAAATTGCTTTAATCGACTGAACTTGACAAACTCTCTCATGTTAGAGAGAACAATGATGTCCAGTGGGAAATCAGGTGCACACCCGCCCTCTCTGACCCATGGATGAGCTGCAAAAGAGAACAAAAAAAGAAGGTCCGAGTGAACTATAACTAAACTCCACTTGCTTACATAGTGCTTGAGCGGCAGTCGGCCTCGCCCGTGGATCCTTCACGAGCAAGCGTTTCACGAAATCCTTGGCATTGGCACTTATAGACGGCCAAGGCTTATTTTGAAACTGCGGTTTCTTCTTCAGCACCTGTACTTACAAGACGACATAAGAAGAATTATACAGACAACACGTTTACCCACGAAACGAACCTCGTTAAATATTCCAGCCTCTGTCTTATCCCAGAACGGCCGTTTGCCGCATAACAGAATGTAGGTAATAACCCCGATGCTCCAGACGTCGGACTCCGGCCCAGACTTCCTCTTGAGAACTTCGGGGGCAACGTAATACGCGCTTCCAACAATATCATGGAATCTCCTCCCTGTATGTTCGGAGCTGTCAACCACAAACGAAGGCTCTGTACAAGCAACATTACCAGGTCTGATAAAGTCTGACAAGCCAAAATCTGTTGCCTTGAGCGGTGTGTTGTCCCTCTGCGATTTGAACAAGAAATTCTGCAAACTGGTACAGCATTAGCACTACAAACCTTTCGTGAGATGCAGTACCTCTGGCTTCAAGTCCCGGTGAACAACGCCGTGAAGGTGGCAACGAGCAACGACTTTGAGCATTTGCCTCACAAGCTCCGCGGCATCTTTCTCCGAGTAGCAGCCATTTTTCCTGATGACAATACACACAGTGTCTCAGAACAACACAAAGTTTCTAAGAGATCGATCATACTTGGACAAGATCCGATCCAAAAGCTCGCCACCCTCGCACAACCTGTTCAGCAAATCTTAGCCTCGACACACAAGAGCCTGTTTCCAGGACGGGGTCTAAACTCACTCCATAACGATGTAGACGTAGTCGTCATCCTCAAATGACGCATAGAACTGTACAACGTTCTCGTGGCCGCTTAGAAGCTGTAAGATCCTCACTTCCCGCCTAACATCCTCCACAGAAATTGGGAGTAGCATCTGGAAAAACCGCACGAAAACATTGGTCTAGACAAGCATAGAAAAACTTCCAATCGATAGATCAAACCTTCTTCTTCTCGATGCGTTTCACAGCGACATTCTCCCCTGATCCAATCTTTGTAGCGGCATAAGTGTAGCCGAATTGCCCGTGGCCCAGGAGCTTGCCGAGCTTGTACTTGGCCTGGAAATCCCTCCCATACCCGAAATTGGTCCTCTTTCCAAGAGGAACCACATGAGCCGACTGGTTCTTTGAGCGCTGCTCCTTGGTCTTGACTTGGTCTTTAGCAGCGTGATCCCCGTGCTTCTTGTTCTTCTCCTTCTCCGCCTTCTCGGATCGATCAGCAGAGAAACAGATCCCCATCCTAGCAGCAATCTAGCATCGCCGCGCCATGGACAGGAGCCGGCTACAACGCCGGCGAGGGGATTTCTCGCGGAAGCATTGGCCGAAATATCGCTGGAGACCCCGAGATCCTACGCAATGCGCTGGAATTCCGAGTGAAATCCTCCGAATTCTTCGCGGCCCGACCCTAGCGATCGAGACGCGCGGTGATCGAATTTCGATTGCCCGGATCGAAAGAGCTGACCTGGAGAAGCGAAGCGCTATAAGGCGCTGGCTGGAGCGAGTGAAACCGAAGAAAACGCTCCAGTGTATGGGGAGAAGAACAAGGTAAAAGAGATAACTCATCGACACTCCGCGTGACGGGCGTGACGGGCGAGGTGAAACTTTCCCCTGTGACGTTTTCACCTCAAGCTCCAAATATTTACCACCCCCAACTCCATAGTATAATCGATCAAAGCACATCTATTGATCACAATCACGGACACTTCTTGACTATCTCTCGTGCTATTAAATTGCGTGACTGACTTCCTTCAATCTTTGGATAGAATATCTCCAGGAATCTTAGTAGGACGATCGCATTTCTAGATTCTTTTCGTACAAATATGGTACGGAGCCAAGATTTTTCTAGGGCTCCTGGCATTTTGCCAGGCATGGCGGCAACGCAATATCCTCCGTGCGCCGTCTTCTCTTCATCGACGAATCGATGCCGCCGAGCTGGAGGAGGGAAGAGGAGGATTGCGAGGATCAATGTGGCCGCCGCGCTTGCGTATGGCGATTGGAGCGGTGCGTTGCCAGGTGAATTGCCCGGCTCTTCGTCCGCGAGGCTGGATTCCATCAGCGATTTCACTCGCTTCTTGGACAAGGGGGATCAAGGCGCGGAGCTTCAGACAGCGATTGTGAGCTATGCTGCGCCCAAGAAGAATATGTGGTCACTGTTCCAGCCTCAAGTCCAGGTAAGAGCGATTGCTTGAGTTTTTTCTCGTGAATTTGATTCACTTTTCAGATTGATCTCGTGGCAGCAGTACACATTGCTGATAAAGAGTAAGCGCTGGAACTCTAGCAGCGCTAGTGACATTGGTCTCAATTTTTTTCGTTCCAGGTATTTTCGTGCTCTCCAAAATGAATTGGATGCTTACGACGCGGTTCTATATGAGATGGTAGCGGAGAAAGGAAAGAACTGGAAAGGCCGTGGAAGATGGAAGCCTCCAAATCGCAAGTCACAAGGCAAGAATAGTAGGAAAAATCGGAGCTTTAGTTTCGTTGGCGCGATCCAGCGTCTCATGGCTCAAGTTCTCAGCTTGGATTTTCAGCTGGAATGCATGGACTACCAAAATGATAACTGGTACCATGCAGACCTCGACTTTGAAACTTTCCAAGATCTCCAGGTGCTTAAAAATTTGATTTTCTGGAGAACTAAACTCTAGTTTGGCCTTCCTTTTTTTTTTCCAGCGTAGGAAAGGAGAGAGCCTCTTTGGATTTGCAACTGAAATGACAAAGATCTCGACGGCTGCTCTCTCGGCAGCTGCTCTCGCGCGAACCGACTTGGATCAATGGCGAGGGAAGCTTTTGTGGGCTTCTCGAGTCTTTCCAATGCCGCTGCTGGGACTATTCGTGATCGAGGGAGTCTGTGCTCCACCAGACGCACCTCTCTCAAGCTCTCCAGAAATGAAGGCCTTGTTCAACTTGGAGCTTGCAGCGGCAACAAAACTCTTCCTCGCAAAGCAGCTATCCACCGAGTAAGCTTGAGAACAAGTTCTCGTTTTCGTTTTTTCGCTTGACAAAGAGGATTTCCTGGAACAGCTTAACAGAAGGAGCGTTCTCGTTGCTCAAGGACTCGGTGATAATCGGTGAAAGGAACAGCGTTGCGATGAGAGAGCTGGAAGCTGCCATAGCCGAAGGCTGCGAGAAGATAGCCATCTTCTACGGCAGTGGACATCTCCCCGACATGGATTCTCGCCTGCGAAGCTTGGGCTTCTTTCCACAGAGATTAAAGTGGCAGACTGCCTGGTCGATCCAATCTACGGCGAGAAGATCAAGCTCCGAGAAGAATGACAACGTGTTCTCTCTAGCAACTCTTACGAAGATCACAAACTGGCCGCTCAATCGATACGAAACGCTAGCGCTCATCCTCTTCTCGTCAGTGTTGGCTGTGGATCTTTGGTTCTGGGAGGCGTGCTTGGAAACGATAAACGAGTCGGGCAACCATCTCCTCCAGTTGATAGCTGCGTCCGTACAGATATAAGTGAACTTTACAGTCACGAGGATCAAAGAATATGCTCTAGAAGATAGTGCGAATATGCTCAAGGGCTTTGTAGGGTTTCTGGGAAATGCGCTTGTGCTCGCGGGCGATGGGAGCTGCGATTCGTCGAGGATGAGCTCTCTGAATCGCTCGTGGTGAGATTTTGCCGCATATTTTGCCAGCGCCAGGGACGGGATGTGTGCATCTGGTGGTGTTCTTCCCACAGCGACGCTCTCTTGCAGCAGGACTTACGCGCTCTTGCCGGCGAGGAGGACTGCCCGGCCGGGTCTGCGCCATGCGAAGCTGCTCGTCGCGGAGCTGCGAAGCCGTGAGTGCTGCCATAGCCATCGTAGGCGCGGAGGGTTACAGGCAACAGCTTGTTCTTCGTCTGCCGATCCAGGGAAAGGGATTCCCAATCGTTCTCAGCCGCTGCCTCTAGAGAGAGACGTCCAGATTGACCAGCTCCAGGCGTGGTTTTGTCACGGTAGAACTTTTCTGCTATGCAGCGGGATCTTATGGATGGTATGGAACGGCAAGGCGAGTCCAGCTTATGGAGCAGTCACGGCGGTGGATCTGGCAGGAAAGTCGAGAGCTCTTCTACAGGGTGCCTGGCCCAAGATCTTGCAAGTTTTGGGCATGCTCAAGGAACAAGGACTTCTGCTATCGGTTCTCCTCGGACTGTCGGCGTTCTTCTCCATGTCCGAGACGGCGATCACGACGCTGTGGCCCTGGAAGGTAATGCCATCCTTGTCATTACTCTCTCACAGTATAACTCTCAAACTGAATAGGTGAGGCCTCGTTAAGATGTCTATAGGTCAGGGAATTGGCTGAGAAGGAGAGTGAGGGAGGCGTGTTCCAGCTGCTGCGCCAGGACGTGACGCGGTTCCTCACGACCATTTTGATTGGCACTACGTGAGTTTTCTCATTTCTTCTCTCTTTTCTCTCGACTGAAATTTTTTATGTGCGTTTTAGAATCGCAAACATCGCTGCGACGGCCCTCGTAACTGATGCTGCCACGGCGCTATTCGGTGAAGCCGGAGTCACTGCAGCCACTGGAGTTATGACGGTGCGTGGTAGCATTACTCGTTCGTGGTTTTGATATACACTCAAAACTTTGCAGGTGGTTGTGCTACTACTTACGGAGATTGCTCCAAAGAGTATAGCTGTGCATAATGCCACTGAAGTCGCCCGTTTTGTAGTAAGTGATTGTAAGTTTTGGTGGAAGAAAAACATAATCGACTTTCATCGTTTTATTTGTAGGTCCGTCCTGTGGCATGGTTGTCAGTGGTTCTGTATCCAGTGGGACGGATAGTCACCATTCTTTCCACAGCGATGCTGAAATTTTTTGGCCTCAAAAGCAGTGGGTAAGTTTGATAATCTGTGGCGAGGTGCTGTTTTTGTACTGAATTTCTTTTCTTTTCGCAGCGAGCCGTTTGTTACAGAGGAAGAGCTTAAACTTATGCTGCGAGGGGCAGAGTTGAGCGGCGCTATTGAAGAGGAAGAACAGGTCTAATTTACATCATGGCCTTTGGACACAGTACTGAAAAATTACTATGCAGGATATGATAGAAAATGTCTTGGACATTAAAGATACATACGTTCGGGAGGTAATGACTCCCTTAGTCGACGTTGTGGCCATTGACGGGGGTGCGACCTTGATGGAATTCCGAAATTTCTGGGTGAAGCACCAGTACTCAAGGTACTTCCACCTTGAAACAGAGATAATGTTCTGAAACTGATTGCTTACAGGGTTCCCGTGTTTGAACGTCGTGTTGATAACATTGTAGGAATAGCTTATGCTATGGATATGCTTGACTATGTAGAGCAGGTTTGTACTTTTAACACTTATCTTGCGATTGCTAATACGAGCGATATGCAGTCGGAGCTGTTGCAGAAAATCACGGTGGCAAGGGTTGCTCATAGGCCAGCTTATTTTGTTCCCGGTAAGCTCTTGCTTTGATGCGTATTTGTGAGCAAACGATTATTACAGATTCCATGTCCGTATGGAATTTACTGAGAGAATTTCGTATTAGAAAAGTACATATGGCTATTGTGCTGAACGAGTATGGTGGCACCGTTGGGGTACGTTTCATAGTTCTTTTCGGGAGTATAATACACTTCTATTGCAGATTGTAACACTGGAAGATGTTGTTGAGGAGATTGTTGGAGAAATTTTTGACGAAAACGATTCCAAGGTTTTGCTTTGTTCTTATTGCTGATGTTTTCTGAAGCTTATAAATGGTCTTTTTATGACGATAGGAAGAGATACGACGAAAGACCGGCTATGTAGTCCAAAGAGCTGAAGGTGTATTTGATGTTGATGCTAATACATCAATCGAGGATCTGTCCGAGGCTTTGCAAGTGAAATTCCCGGAGGTCAGTACTCTTTTGTTCAGCGTGACAGATTTTTACGTGGTTTTCTCCAGGAGCACCACTATGAAACCGTCTCTGGATTCGTCTGTGAAGCATTCGGCTACATTCCACGCACAGGAGAGAGCGTTAAAGTGGTTCTACGAAAGCAAGACTCGGAAGAAAACCAAGAGGGGGAAACAGAAAACCAGGAAGAAAAAAAAGAAAAGTTTCAAACTTACAAACTCGAGGTATGGTTTTCTATGGGCACTGCTGGAGAAGATTCATTGAAGACTGTTTTTTGCACCAGATTTTAGCTGGCAACGCTAGGAAAGTTGGTGCGACGCGCTTTGAGGTACTGGATTCATCGAAGTCCAACGAAGACGTAGCTCGTCCGCTGCCTCGTTTCGTGAGGCGTGCCTGGGAGGAGCAGTGCGAGGCGAATGACTCGGACAAGGTTGCCATAATCTGGGACGGCAAGACGGTTCCTTGCGCCAAGGGAGACAACGAGCTTTGCAGCACCGAGGACTCGGAATCGGAGGAGAACGGGACCAACAACGCGATCGAGGTGGTTTCCTCGGACGTGATCGAGGCCGTGGAATGGACAGTGACGAGCAGAGATGGCGAGAACGAGAACGAGACTGATATCGAGGAACTGGAGCCTTCAAACGCGATGGAGAGATATATCGATCGAAGGCGGCAGAGACGAAGGAAGCAAGCGCTGGAAGCCACTGCCGAGCTCACCAGGCAGAGAAAGCTCGAGATCCAGCGAAAAAAAGAGGCCGAGAGAACGATGCTAAGCTCGAGGAAATCCGTGAAGAACGAAAAATCGGGTGATACTAAGGACAGTTTTTAATGAAGGCTTCTCATTCCCGTTCGTGGTATTCGTTTGGTGATCTGACGGCTGTGGTTTGAGATATCCGACGGCTGTGGCTGGACACGCCATTGATGTGAGTTGTTTTGTGTGTGTGGGTTTTGGCGCTCGGTTTTCCTCTTGCGGGGAAAGAATGTAACGTAGGGCGTCTGCGCGCAGGGCTGGATTCCACGCGATGACGAAGAAATCACAGCGATTGCCACCGCGATCGGGCGCCAAAGCGCTGGGAGCGGGGAAAATTGCGTATTCGCGGCCGGATGTACACAGGCTCTTCGGTCACTACAATGATCTCTACTTCGCGAGCGAGCTTGCAGGGTGTAGCGTCGAATGGAGCTCCCGGAGAACAAGGTGCGATGGTTTGTCTTCCTTCCTTCTTCTTCTCGAGCATAAACCCTAAGTCTCGGTTCGTTCCAGCGAAGCTGGAGAGTGCTTCTACGGTCCAGGAAGGTGCCAGATTCGGCTGTCGGAGCCGATTCTAAAATCGCGAAGCTTGGGCGAGGTGAAATCGACGCTGCTCCACGAAATGATCCACGCGCATTTGTTCGTCACTAAAGAGAACGCGAATCACAAGTATGTTGCCACTGCCTTCTAGCTTCTCTTTGTGATTCCTCGCTTTTTTCTTTTCTTTGATACAGTGATCACGGGGATTTGTTTAGGATGAAAGTGGACCAGATCAAAGAATCTCAGCTTCAAGATGAAGAGGTGGTGATACTTTGTCTCTTTCTCTTGCTTGACTCTGCTAAAAAAATGTGTTTTTTAGAGGCCCGAGGATGGCTATGGTATTCGTCTCCAACATTCTTTCTTGGAGGGGAGCTGCTCGGAGGTGAACACCATTATCTTTCACAGAAAGTTTTCTAATTCTATTGTTGCGATTTGCAGTCTCGAGAGTGCGAGGACGTTCAAGAATTTCTTCCGGATGCTACTGTCAGCGCTCGTGTCATGTCAGGCATATTTTTTTTTCTTTGCTTTTTCTCTCTTCGTTTTTCTGTGAAGTAAGAATCTAAAACTTCTTTCGTTGATTGTAGCAAGACGAAGAAAAGCGGTGAAAGCAGTGATCTTCTCACGAAAGGTATCTATAAACTTGTGAAGGAATGTTTAAATTCCTGTTTTTTCTTGTGTAGATGTCAAGGAACCACCAACGGAGTCATTCAAACGCACGAATAACAGCGTTGATAAACACGTAAGCTTCAAAATTCCCCGACTGGATTCGTTTTTCGGGAAAAGCCGGGGCCTGGAGAAGAAAGGAAAGCTCCGGAAAGCAAGCTTGGTTCCTAAAGACACTAGGATACTTCAGAATGTTCAGACCGCGGGAAAACCGATGCCTGACGTGATAATCGGCTGGAAAAACTGGTGTGCCTCGGAACCAGAAGAAGAGGAGGAGCGTCTTATCGACAGGAGGCGAGAAAGGAGGCTGCTAGAAAACGCAAGGATATCCGAGAAGTTACACCAGACCGGATCGAGTAAACAATCTACACACGAGATGGTCGATCCGGGAATGCATGCTCGAAGCAATTCGAATCAAGCCGATGAGACGGTGTATCAAGACAGGATCTCTTCCGGGGGTCTAGAACTGGAAGCTTGCAGGGACAGGGTCTCTTCAGGGGGTCTAGAACTGGAAGTTTACCAAGGTGACATGGAGATGGTGGATCTAAAACTAGAAACTAGCCGGGAGATCGTCTCGCCAGGGAGTCTAGTGGTTTTCCAGGGACGCATGGAGAGAGGGGAACCGTCACACGGCTATAGAGATGATCCAGGGACGAGTTTGATCGACTTGGATCCCGAGCAAGGAGATCACTCGCGAGCTCTGGTAGTGGCGCCGCTCAAAGTCTACGAGAGGAGGAGGGATCGCGAGAGGAAGAAGAAGGCTCAGCTGGAGAGGGAGAGGAGGACCGTGGAGAGCAAAGCACCAGGTATGAAGCTCTCGATTGGTTCTATTCTTTCTTCTTGGATTGATCTTCTTGTTCTTCGTGGTCTTCCTTTGTTCTTGTGTTTTGTCACAGTGACACTATCGACTTTCTGTCCAATTTGCTCGCAAGTGTTTTCGTTTGACACCACCAAGCCGGAGGACAATGCGAAGTTTAACACTCACATCGACCTTTGTTTAAATGGTAGAGCTTTGTAAATACTTTTCTATATGAAAGCTTCTTTCGCGCCATTGGTTGGGCTAGGTTTCTTCTAGCGAGGGTTTGGTTCGCAGGTAGCTATGGCGGCCACGGCGCCGGCGTTCCAGCTCGCGCCGCGCTGCCCGTCCGGCCGGATTTCGCGATCAGCGCGGGGGCGCGCGATTCTGATCAATTGCTGTGCGGATCGTAGCAGCAATGGGAGTGTAGCTACATGGCCGCGGATCGAGCAGGAGCATTCCAATGCGGTGATCAGGGCGTCGGCGGAGTCGCTGCAGTACGAAGCTGGATTTCTAGGTGGGATTTCGGAGAAGACGAGGCTTGGTGGATCTAGCGAGAGGGATTCCATGGCCTACTTGACGAAGATCTTGACGGCTAATGTGTATGATGTGGCGATCGAGTCGCCACTGGAGCCGGCGGTGAAGCTGAGCGAAAAGCTTGGTGTCCAGGTTTTGCTCAAGCGAGAGGATCTCCAGCCGGTAGAGTTCTTGCAAAACTTTTCCATGGTAGACTCACTTTGGATCGTCAGGTTTTTTCTTTCAAGCTGCGAGGGGCGTACAATATGATGGTCCAGCTCACAAAAGAGCAACTTGACAAGGGAGTGATCTGCTCTTCCGCGGGAAACCACGCGCAAGGAGTTGCACTGTCCGCTCAAAGGCTTGGTTGCGATGCGGTCATAGCGATGCCTGTCACAACACCAGAAATCAAGGTAAGATCCTTTCTTTTTCAGAGATAATCGAACAGCGTTATTGTGAGTTGCAGTGGCAATCAGTCAAGCGTCTCGGTGCCACCGTTGTACTCGTCGGTGATTCATACGATGAAGCTCAAGCGTATGCAAAGCAACGGAGCCTGGAGGAAGGACGGATTTTTATTCCACCCTTCGATAATCCAGAGATAATTGCTGGCCAGGGAACTGTCGGCATGGAGATCGTTAGACAACACCAAGGGCCGCTCCATGCAGTTTTCGTTCCAGTTGGAGGAGGGGGACTTATAGCTGGTATAGCGGCCTATATGAAACGCATAAGACCTGAAGTAAGTCGATTTGCAGTCTTAGCTACTATTTGTTCGTGTTCTAACTTTTGCTTTCTGTCCAGGTTCAAATAATTGGAGTTGAGCCCACGGATGCCAACGCCATGGCATTGTCCCTCCACCACGGAACTCGGGTGCAGCTAGATCACTGTGGGATTTTTGCAGATGGTGTCGCCGTAAAGCTCGTTGGAGAAGAGACATTCAGGCTTTGCAGGGAATACGTGGATGGCATTGTCCTTGTGAGCCGTGATGCCATTTGTGCTGCTATCAAGGTAAGCTGTATCGCATGCTTGCGAGTCCAACTCTAACTAAGAAAACATATGGAAATCGTTGGTTTTTAGGACATGTTTGAAGAGAAGAGAAGCATTCTAGAACCTGCGGGAGCTTTGGCAATTGCTGGTGCCAAGGCGTACTGTAACTACTATGGTTTGAAAAAGGAAGCAGTGGTTGCTGTTACTAGTGGTGCAAACATGAACTTTGACAGGCTAAGGATTGTAACGGAGCTTGCCGACGTCGGTGCTTCTAAGGAGGCTGTTCTTGCGATTATCATGGCGGAAATACCTGGATCGTTCAAGAGACTCGTTGAAGAAGTGAGTCTTTCAATTTCCTATGTTTGATTGATGCTAATATCGTTTTGCAGGTCGGGCCTGTGAACATCACTGAGTTTCGATATCGCTATTCTGATTCGCGAACAGCCCTTGTCCTCTGCAGGTATGTGTCTCTCAATCTCGCGGCTGCCACTAACAAGCATTGTCTCAGCGTGAGTGTTCACAAGGAGCAAGAGCTTCAGGCTTTGAAACGGCGATTGAAAGAGGCCGGTCTTATGGTAATTGACATGACTTCGAATGACCTTGTCAAGGATCATCTCCGGCATTTGGTAAGCATCCTCTTCACAGATGTGATCTTTCTATACAGTTACTCTTGTTTTGTAGATCGGTGGCCGCGCCATTCTCAAGGACGAGCTCTTGTACCGATTTATATTTCCAGAGAGGCCCGGGGCGCTGAGAAAATTTCTGGACACGTTTACACCACGCTGGAACATCAGTCTCTTCCATTACAGGGCGCAGGTGAGCTTGATCTTTGGTTTGCTCGTGCTTTTGTGGGTTTGACGCTGCGCCGCCTTGCAGGGCCAAGTTGGGGCCAACGTTTTGATCGGCATCCAGGTCCCTCCGGAAGACGAGCAAGAGTTCAAGCGCTGTGCCGTAGAATTGGGCTACGAGTTCCAAGACGAGTGCAAAAACGAAGCTTTTCAGCTCATGATGTCCACATGAGATGGCTCCAAGGTTTTTGTGTTCACAGTAAATGTTTTCGTGAACTTCAGGCAATTGTTGGGTGTTGTGTGTGCTTCCAGCGTCTTGCTTGATCGAACTAAAGAAAAACTTCGTTTCTCCTCTCAAATGATCTTCGCGTTTGTTTGAATCGAAAATCCCATTTAAACTCTTTCCCGCCAATGTGTGGTTTAGGGTTTGCTAGGGTTTGGCGGTCGAGAGTGTAGCAGATCGAGCAGGACAATTCGCTGTGGCGCAAGCTCAGAACGAAGTGGAGAAGTTTCCAGTCTCTTCGGAAATGCATGGTGTCTCGCTTTGAGGATGATCGCGATGGGAGCGAGAGAGGATCTTGACTGAATCAGGTAAGCTCTAGTCGCAAATTTTCTTTCTTGATCTCGTTTTGATTCAGGGGAACAGTCGCAATGGAGATTCGTTTGAACCCAGTTGGAGGTTGCTGGTACATGAAGTAGGACGAAGTAAGTATTGTTGTAAGTATTTTCTTTAGGCTATCACCACGTTCAAGTGAATAGTTGCCGAGTTGATGCTCGTAAGGAAACTGGAAAAATCTTATGATTATTATTCTACCTGCATGTAAGTGAGAATGAGAATTCTTCCCCCTTTTTTTTCATGCTATGCACGAGTTTTATTTCTTTTCACAGTTCGATTCTTCCGCACTGCGACCCCACTGTAAAGGAGGATTCGCCAGTGGGTTGCTCGTCAAATCAAAAATTCATTTCTCACAGGCTAAGCCGGAATTTTGCCGATCCCGTCCTGGAACAAGAAAAACAGAAGTGATTAAAGCTAATGTTTTGCAGAACTGAATTTTCTATTTTGTTGTTCCAGGTGTTTGTCTCTTGGTTTTCTGTTGCCATTGCCTCAGCGTGAGCATAAAGAGCAAGAGCTCCAGGCCGCGGGACTTGACTCTGTGTCAAAGATGATCCTTGCCATTTGGTAAGCATCCTACGTCTTCTTTACCTCTGCCTGATGAGCTATTATACCAAAAGAAGTCGTTAACCATGTTTACATACACCAGGTTGGATTGTAACTTCGGCAATTTTTTTTCTTTTTTCACTGCAGCCCGCAAGTAGACTTGCTCCTGTGAATTTTTTTCCTACTCTTTTGGCTTGACTCTGCCAACGTGATGGTCAGGAAACGAGCAGGAGTTTTTAAGCGCTGCGCCGTTGAACTGGTTCCAAGTCGAGTGCAAGAAAGAAGCTTTTTTAGCTCATGATGTCCACATAACACGGAGCAGCGCATGCATTTTACTCACGTTATCAGGTACCGGTTTTTATGCTGTCGAGCTGGGTACTTGTGAATTTGTATTTATCACCGCTTTTCCTTTCAAGGCTGGCAGCAAAGTTTTTCGTTAACTCCATTCTCCAGGCGAGTAAATAACAGAACTTTTTGTACCGCAGGTGGGAGAGCTTTACTGCTTCGTTATTCAAGGTGATCCTCTCACGGACTATTGTACAACGGGTACACTGTCGAAGATTCAAACTTTCAAGTCAGGGGCGTGTGCGTAAGACGACGCCTGGTGACAGAATCGACGACCGACTGTGGACAGAAACAGCATCGAACTGAGCCGTGCAGCGGGGACGAGAAAAGAAAGACAGAAAAAAAAAATTCAAGTGGTGGTGGAATTAGAAGCGGTTTTACATGTCATCGAGGATGGCAGCCAGCCTCTGGAGCTCCTCTTGGCAAGAGTGTGGGTAGCGGACGCCTTCCTCTTGAGGCTGGTGCTGGCTTTCAACAAAGGCTGGGTGCGAACGCCAGGGATCATGTGAACTTGAGGCATTGGCGACGGTCACGGGGTGCTGAGCAGCACCAAGAGCCGCAGAGTGGCTCCATTGCTGGAAGTAACTCGGCGAGCAGGCCGACTCGTCGTCGAGGAAGCTGCTGGGGCCGTTGATGATCTCCCACAGGGACGGCGACGATGAGACTTCCCGCTTCACGCATGCAACAGTTGTACTCGTGGATTGCTGCTGCTGCTCGCTGGAGTCCGTCTCCTGCTTTTGGAGACAGCACGGGAGCTGTGCTGCGGCCTCTGGCTGCGGGAAGCGAGGGGGAGGCATGAGCATTGCCAGTTGCTGCCAGGAACTCCCGGAGGAAGAAGAAGAGGAAGCGGACGAGGAGGGTGGCACGACCAGATACTCGTGAGCGGAGGTGTCAGCGCCTGGCATCTCCTGGACGAGCAGGTTCATCATGGTCTCCGCTAAGTTCTCCTGCGCTTGCTGACTGCTGGTGAATTGGATGGTCGCAGGTGTGGACGAGGATGGCGACGCGGCCTGCGACGCCTCCTCGGTGACGCAGCTCAGGCCGCTGGCGGTGCTGCTGCTGATGGCCTGATGAGTCATTGGATCGATCCCCATCTGCCGGAGCTTCTTCTTGATCCTGGTGTTCCAGTAGTTTTTTATCTCGTTGTCCGTCCGGCCGGGGAGCTGTGCCGCAATGCGAGACCACCTGAGACACAAAATTTCATGCCAACCGGTGACTATGCTTTTCAAAGCTCGTTTTTGGATTTCTCCTGATAGATGGTACCTGTTTCCCATGACAGCGTGCAGATCGATGATCATCTGCTCCTCTTGCTCCGTGAGAACACCGCGTTTGAGATCGGGGCGGAGATAATTCGTCCACCGCAAGCGGCAGCTCTTTCCGCAGCGTAGGAGTCCTGCGAATTTCGTCGAGTGAGAGATGAGAGATCGATCAATTCAGCTACAAAGAGGTAAGGTTTTGTTCCTTTTTCTCTTGGCAATGCCTTCTTTGCTTACCAGCTAGCTTAGGAACTGCACGCCAGCATCCGTGTCCATGGCTGGTGATGTAGTGTATGAGCTTCCTGTCCTCCTCTGCAGTCCATGGCCCCTTTTTAAGTCCTACTTTCTCACAGCATGGCTGCCTTCCCATGGCTAGATAGAGGGGAAGAACTAGAAGAGAGGGAAGAGGTGGAGTGATGAATTCTACTATGAATTGTTCGAGTCTTTCGTACTTTGAGAGACTGGGAGAGAAAGAATTGCTTGCTCGCGATCGACGATACTTTTTTAATATTCGTCTTCTGTCTTCTCGCAGAAGATTAAATGACGCAAACGGACAGCAGCAGCAGCAGCGGCATTGAATCTAGCAAGGCTCGAGTCAGAGAGAAAGAGCATGGAGGAGGAATGGGTTGATTCGTGGAGAGCGGGGGAGGAGGGGGATATTACCCGAGTGCCAGGAAAAATGCCTAAAGGAAGAACACGAGACCACCGGATTTATATACATACTCCATTAAAGGCGATCATCTCTTTGCTGATTGATTGATCCGCGAGCTATTTAACCGGGTAAGCAGCATTTTCTTTTCCTCTCTCTCTCTTTCGTTGCGTAGATAATCACTCTCGACGATCATTCTCTCTTGTGCATATAGTTTTTCCGCTCCAGCGCGACGTTGACAGAGACGAGACGAAAGGAAGGATTGGCACACACTACTCGAAGGTGGATTATTCCATCTATAAGTAGTGTGGGCTTATTCCTCTCTGGAGTTCTCGATGACAAGCTCGCGAAAAAGAAGAAGAAGAAGAAGAAGAAGAAGAAAAATGTGTCGGCTGAGCATGACAGATCCAAGCGATTGATGTAAACACCGGCCCCTTTGATTACAAGCAAGGCAATTGCGGGGGCGAGCAGGAGATTCGTTGCGAAGATGCTACAAGAAGAATAGGATGTTCTAGAATACACATAGATTGATCAAAACTGGAGAAGCTTAATTGTTTGTTTGCATTCGCGCATATAATAACTGGAGCCAACGTGGGCCATGGTGAAATTATAAAAGCGTGCACCGTCCGCGTGGGGGTATATGCGACAAGATGCCCCCAGTACCGTACGAGAGAGAGAAAAGGTGGTGGGCATGGGCATGGGGGAAAGAATGAATGGCAGCATAGCTTTTAGATTGTGTGGTGTGGTGCTAAAATGGAGGAGAAAAGAGAGTGAAGAGACCCCACGCCTTTGAGATGGCATCATGGGCTGCTGATGATGCCATGCATGGCGTGCACGCATCATTTCACATACGCAACTTTGAAGGGGTTTGTTGTTTGTTTGTACAAGGAGGAACTGTCCAGTGTGTTTGATGTTGAAGCTCCAACTTCCATCTTTTCCATCTTCCATCTCTTCCATCCTCCATCCAGCCAGAGAGGGGTCTACTAGCAAAATAAATTCGATTAAACTTGGCTTGTGATGCAATAGTCTAGAGACATGGAGCTCAAGATTCCATGATCGACAACAATTCCCCATAGTTGGTTGTTTCGTTTCTCTCTTGGAAGTCACTCTCTCGATCCAGCTTGGAACGGGGTCTCTCTCTCTCTCTCTCTCGCGCGCGCGGTTATCCCTGTAGCAAGCTCGAGATGCTTAGCTTGGACGAGTCCTTGCGACAGAGGCTGGACGAATGCTCGCGTCGCGTCTCTGCGCGTTACACTTTGTCGTCCAGTCTTGCGTCAGGAGTAGACATACGGAAGAATCACAAGGACGCCAGGCCGGAGTGAGAGCAAAAAGAGAGGAAAAGAATCGTGTAAGGACATGACAAGCGCATAGCTAACGGCCATGCTTATGTCATACTGTGACGCTTATCAGTAGTACACAGCTTATGTGGAGAGAGAGACGACACTATGGTGAGAAAAAAGAAAAAGACGAAGGATGAGAGATGAGAGACGAAAGACGAAGACGAGAAAGAAAAAAAAAAGAGAAACGCTCGAAGTTTCGGAGAGAGGAAGAGTTTTTTTTACCTCTCAAGAAGCTGCGAATGATGATGGCGTCCCACGTTGGTACGTCTCGCCGGCTATTTCTCAGGCGTCCACTCGGAGCTGATCGTCGAGAGAAGCGATCTCTTGGAAGAAAGCTCGGAAGTGGCGGAAGGCGGCGTCAATATCTTCCGTGCCGCACATCTCTCGCACGCTGCAAAGCCCCCAGAGAGTCAGCCAGCGCGAAAGATATAATTCCCAATCATGGAGCAAACCTGTGCATCGCGAGCTGTGGAAGACCGCAATCCACCAAACGGATGCCATATCCTGCCGCCAGCACTGAATCGATGGTCGAGCAGCATCCAACGTCACTGACCACGGAATAGTTCTGCGCGCAAGAGAAAGCGTTAAAAATGAGAGACACAGAGCGTGGACGAGTCGAGGCTGACCTGTGTCGGAATACAATTCCGCTTGGCGACCTCCTTGAACAGAAACGCAGAGATCGCGTCTGTCGCATTGTTCTGTGTTAGATTGTGTTTGATTACGAGACCGTCGTGGAGTTTTGGCTGGTTGTGCTCCACATCATTCTCGGCATTGTTGGGATGCAAAGCATGAGCCATGTCTGCAGATACTGCCACACAACACAAGGAAAAGAAAAGAACAAAAAGTTAAACACAACCCTTCCTCAGACTCTGTATGATGCGTACCAACAAACGAGCGTCGGATTGCTCGCTCTACAACGCCTTCGCTTGTAGAACCGCGAGCCAGCCATCGTGATATCCTCATCATGGCCTGGAACATGGTCTGTGGACCAGCTCCTTGAACGGCTTCTGATCCAACCTGAAATCTCCCATGTAAAGTCAAAGTTCGAAAAAAAGAAATACAAAAACAATACCTCTCCATTGTCGAAGAGTGCAACCATGCGGATGTAATCCTCATCCAGCATCGACAGCGGTTCAGAAGACGTATCCAGCAGAGCCCAGAGAGCGCAGAAAGCCGACGCCAGGTTGTCCAGCCTTCCCGAAAACACAAACTCTTGACGAGCACCTCCGATGCATGCAGGCTGAGTGTCGTAAATGCTCAGCTCAAAATCCGCGATTTCACTGACATCGCAGTGAAGCTCGTCTGCGAGCACCTGAAAAAGTGTGACTGGCTGAATGCCAGGGCAAAGAGTTACCTGCAAAAGAAGAGGGTGGTGGACGTCGTTGCTTTGGTTTCCTTCATGCTCACCCGGCGACTCCGAGTCACAAGAAACAGCCAGTTCTGCTTCAATTTGAGTAGCAAGGACTGGAGCTAGTTGGGACTCCAAATCTTGCTTCATACTGTCTGACCTGTAGAGAAAATAGTTTGAGCAAGAGTGTCAAGAAAGACGAGACAGACCTGTCCATATGAAACGCCAAACTCGGGATCCGCAATATTGGCCTTCGAACACGAACAAGATCATGAATAAGCTCTCCATTTTTTGTTCTACGTAAAACCCGCCCGGCGACACTTAAATCCCTGTCAAACCAGGTATTCCATAGTCCAGTCCCATAAGCTTGGACTCTAACACGTAGAAAACCACCTTTAGTAGCCGCAGATACTGGTTTAAGCTTTGGACAGGGACTATCTGTATGAGCAGCCAATACATGAAAGCCACCACCGGGTTTATACCTGCACATTGACATCAAGCCATGCATTAGTAAATGGAAAAGGAACAAAGATGAGAAGAAGATGCGTACTTCCGACCAATGGCGAAAGCAAATATCGAGGACATATTTCGCGTGAAGAAATAGCGACCACCTGGCTGTAACTCCCACTCTTCACACTCGTTCAGCTGCTGGAAGCCTGATTCCAGCAAATGCCTCCTTGCCTCCACTGATATAAGTAAAACCCCGCATCAGTACCGGGAGAGAACTTACACGAAGTCACCAGATGGTGCTCTCACAAGTGGCATGAAAAGGTGTCGTAGAGTTGTTCAAGAACTCTATGAGATTTGGAACAACTGATAACGCGTCGCGACCAAGGAGAGCCTGGAGAAAAACAAAACAAGGTGAGTAAGAAACAAGATCCAGTCGCGAAACAATACCTGCCTTTTCCGGAAAAAAACCTCTCTGATGGCTCGGCCCAGCGCCAGCCAAGAAGCGAAGATCGGCCATGGTGGGAGTCGGCTGCGAGAGCGCCAAGTTTGGGTGAACCTCGGCCTGGAAGCTACTTTCATCCACATCGACACCTTCCGGCTGCTTGGCATCACCATTCACTCCATCGTAGTGCACGTCCCCGGATCCTCCGAGCATGGCCATCCCATTCCCGAGCTGTGGAGACGCGAGCAAGGTCCGGGGCAGCCCCAGAGCAGTGGTGGCGGACGACTCCCTCGCGCGCTTGGGCCTCTTGGCGTTCTTCTGTGGACAATTCACGCACATCGCCTCCCCGGTCTTGGCTCGGCAGTGCCAGCAGTAGAGATTTGGTATCTGGATCCACTTCCCCTGGATCTCGTCAAGCTGGAAGAAGCTCTTGAGATCCACGTTGAGGTGGCGATTGATGCAAAACCGGCAAAACCACCGCCTCCGGCGCTCCCCCTTGGTGTTGGAGTGGCCCGAGCAGTCGGGCGCCGGGCAGATGAAGAGGCCGCCGAATTGCCGGGTGGAGTTCTTCACCTTCCTGGAGATCCAGTCGCGAGGCCAGCCCTCACCGCGCTCCAGCTGCTTGGCCGCCTCGGCTGGAGTGGTGGTGTGGTGGTGCGTGCACCAGTGGCACGCCGCGCGGAGCTCCGTGTTGAGCTTGTTCCACAGGCCGTCGTCAATGAGGAAGGACGGCGCGCGCAGCACCTCCTCCATTGGGCCGAGAGAAAATATTTTCTTGTTCTTTGATTCTTCTTCCCTGATCGATCGATCGGAGAAGAAGAGGGATCTTTGCTGCTGCTACCAGTCGCGAAATTCCGCGCAGAATTCCGTTTGCTGCTGGATTTGCCACGCGAAGACGCTGCTCGTCGCAGTCCAGAGGCTCCCGGAAGGCGGCAATGCCATTCTTCTTGGCGCCGGGAGAGAAGATCTGGAGCGCGCTTACCTATAATGCGGTCATGGAATCCGCGTCTAGCCGGATTGAAGCGCTGCACTCCAGCCCAGAGAAGAGATCCAAGAACCCTAAAATCCTGGGAACATATTTTAGGGCTCCAGAGTTCTTGGAGAAGAGAATCGCATGGCGGCCGCGGTGAAGGAGCTCCAGCGGCAGCTGGAATTGCGAGCGTCTGAGCTCAACAAGATTCAGAAAGGTATGGTGATCGCGATCGCGATTGTTGCAGGGATTCCAGCTCTAACAAGACCGATCGGGCGATACAGACATTAGCAAGAATCACCAAGTGAGGAGGCAGTACACGATCCAGCAAGGGGAGAATGAGATGGTGATCAAGGTCCGTGCTTAGGAATCGCATTTCTCTTCTAGAACTTGAAAGTTTCTTCTCGTGAATCATGCTTGCCAGGAACTAGAGCTTCTCAAAGAGGACGCCAATGTGTTTAAGCTCATTGGACCAGTGCTCGTGAAGCAAGACCTGGTGGAAGCCAAGGCCAACGTGAACAAGCGCATCGAGTATATCACAGGAGAACTGTCAGTCCAAGCACATCCTCCATAGCTCGGAGCTTTCTTCTCACTTTTTCTTTTCTCTTTTCTTTTCCTCATAGGAGGAGACTTGACGGATCATTGAAAAGCCTAGAGGATCAACAAGGCTCCAAAAGAGAAGAGGTAGAGCATTGCAAAATCTTTGTTCTTCTCGTTTTCTTTTCCAATCAAACTCCTTTTTTTTCTCTCGTCTTTCAGGTTCTAAAGTTGCAGCAACGCTTGCAATCGAGTAAAGCTAAAGCCTCAGCGTGAGCGATTGTCAATGGAAAAAGAGAAAAACTGTTTGGCAAATCGGCACACTCTATCCTTTAAGAACCGGAGCACTCAGGTAGACTTTTGTGTTGCTGTATTCGTCCAGCAACGGATTAAAGCCACTCTTGGTCTTGACTTGGTTCACGTACGCAAAGCGGCTCATGAAGTTGCTGGAACTCATCTGATGGAAATGCAAGAACAGTTAGAAATCGCATTGACGCAACGTTGTCACTTACGATTGCGCTCCCGCGGTAGACTCCAAATTTGTTGGGAACAATCTTTCCTTCCGATTGCGATATAGCGCACTCGTTGTCGAGAATGAGAAGCTGATCAAAGTCTGTAGGGAAAAATATGTCCGCTTCTCCCTGTGGTTGAATTCAAGCTCTCCTTAAGAAAAAAAATACATTTTTTTCTTTCCAAACCTTTGCATCGAGATATGACGAGTAGTCCGTGGTTACACCATCTTTCTACAAAAACGAAGATCAAAAATCGAAAATTGAAAACCATTGACTCCTACTTTGCTTGAAACCAATGGAGCTCCACGTCCAGGAATTTTTACTTCGGGAAGGAAGCTAAAGTCCGACACCACCATCACCATATTGGGGCGTGCGTAATGAAGAGACTCTAGGAGTTCCTGCCAGAGACGAGAAGCTGATAAGGAGAAACCATCAAGAAAAGGTCATTACCATGCATCCAGTCGGTATCCACCACTTTTCAGGCGATGGAAGAACCCTGGAGAAAATCGACTTCACTGACTTAGTTAGCTTGCGAACGACGTCGACGCTATCGCCATCCCGTTCCTTGCCAAGAATCTCAAGGCAGCGAGAAACCAGCGAGTCTTCTACGGGTCTGTGATGCTCGACAAATCTCGATCTAGAGGAAATGCTGATCAGCGAAGAAAGGAAGAAAGGATAATGACTTACTCGCTAGAATCATACTGGACGTAAGTTTCCATCCAAGGTGATTTGGAGCTCTCCCTGAACAGGAGATCATGAGGCATGTTGTCTAAAACCTGTACAGGAGAACTCTGGGTTTAACCATGAAAACACGAGTAGCAAACTGAAGCAGACAACCGGGATTTCGAGAATAAGATTTGTAAGCAAGAAAGAGAGGGTCATACTGGCAAAGATGCTCCACCTCAAGCATGACGACGTAACAAGGCGACTCGTCCTGCTCACCTGTAAAAAAGATATTAAAAAGCAAGTAAAAACGAAAGCATTCCAGACCCCATCCAGATTTATCGCGTGCGTTGCGGCATTCCACCGAGAACTTGTCACCGTGCTCCTCCTCTTCGCATAAACGATGACGCTGTTTGTTCGCCAGGCCCTCGCTGACATCTACGGAACTATCTAAATCCATGGAAATCAGCACAGTAACTTGCAAAGGTCACTGCCGCAACACTTACGTGTAATGCATCGTCTTGTAGACGTCGCCTTGCCTCTCCCTGATGTAGCCCAGGACGTTGCTCGCGCAAGTGCCTGTTCCACCTCCAATCTCGTAAATCTACAAAATAAGCTTGTCAGATATCTCGCGCTTTTTCTCTTTTCCAGCTTTCCTACTTTCAGGGGAAATTGCGGATTCATGGTTTGGAGAATGTACTCCGCGACAGCAAATCCATACCACGGCTGTAGAGAAAAAGAATCAAAGGAAACGATGAGAAAGGTCATGCAGATACTTCGATTGTTTTACCTGGAAGAGTTCCACTGGAGTAAACCACGACATATCATTCTGCTTGTAGAGCTCGGCTATATGCTTCCTGTACGCGAAACGTCCTGGAGAAAAGGATAGAAATTAGTCACGAAAGATTTTCCTAGAGAAAGAAGAACTCGAGAAAAAAAAAACACCACCGCTTATCCCACTGAAGTCAAGAGGCTCACGCATAGATCCAACAACATCCGGCCTGGACGAGAAGTATCCAAACTTGGGATGATACAAGGCCTGCCTGATGTAATCGCGAACCTGGAAGACGAGACAGCATTTTTAAAATCGATCGTCGAGAAGCAAAACGAAAGAAGAAATGCTCCTCATGAAACAAGAAAGAAACGGAAGATCTTACGAGGAGAGGTTTATCTCCAATAGCTTCCTCGAATGTCTGTGGCACTGGCACATCTTCGGCGACCTGTGACGCAGCCGATGAGAAATTCCCTGCCAAAGAGAGAAGCGATGATGAGAAAAAGAAGAATTTGCGATTCCAGCTCAAGAGAAATGCACTTACCGCGCGTGCAAGGAGCTGGCCAGATCGGCGCCTTCGCCGAGCGCCATCGCCTCGCCAGCGCAAGCATATTCCTTTAGGGCTTATGCTTTAGCAAAAGGGCAAAACATTTCTCCCCCCATTTCTAGGGTTTCTTAATTCTAGGGATCCTCGGCAAGAGCGCGATCTTGCACCATGGCGACCGCGTCCGTGGCCTTCAAATCCCGCGAGGATCACCGCAAGCAGATGGAGCTGGAGGAGGCGCGCAAGGCAGGGCTAGCGCCGGCAGAGGTAGACGAAGATGGGAAGGAGATCAATCCCCACATCCCGCAGTACATGTCCTCGGCGCCGTGGTACCTCAACGCGGAGCGCCCCAGTCTCAAGCATCAGCGTAAGTGGAAATCCGACCCTAACTACACCAAGGCCTGGTACGAGCGGGGAGCAAAGGTCTTCCAGGCCACCAAATTTCGAAAGGGGGCTTGCCAGAACTGCGGTGCGATAACGCACGATGTCAAGAGCTGCATGGACAGGCCCCGGAAGATCCAGGCAAAGTGGTCCAACTTACACATTGCCCCGGACGAGAAAGTGGAGTCTTTCGAGCTGGACTACGATGGGAAGAGGGATCGCTGGAACGGCTACGACCCGCAGACGTTCTCGATGGTGATAAACTACTGGGAGCAGAAGGACGAGGCGCGCAACAAGTACCAGAAGGAGCAGCAGCTCAAGAAGCTGGAGCAGAAGCAAAACAATCCGGATGAGAAAGAGAAAGTTGGCGACAGCGACGAGTCGGACAGCGACGAGGAGGCGGAGGTGGACGAGGCCAAGGTGGACGAGAGCAAGCAGATGGACTTCGCAAAGGTGGAGAAGCGAGTGCGCACCACCGGAGGAGGCAGCACTGGAACTGTGAGAAACCTGCGTATCAGGGAGGACGTTGCCAAGTATCTCCTCAACTTGGACGTGAACTCGGCCTACTACGATCCCAAGACGCGGTCGATGCGAGAGGACCCCCTCCCGGACAGCGATCCAAACGAGAAGTTCTACATGGGCGACAACCAGAACCGGGCCAGCGGCCAGGCGCAGGACTTCAAGCAGCTCAACATCCACGCGTGGGAGGCTTACGAGAAGGGGCAGGACATCCATCTCCAGGCGGCTCCATCGCAGGCGGAGCTGCTCCACCGGGACTTCAAAGTCAAGAAGGAGAAGCTCAAGGGGCAGCTCAAGGAGGACATAATGGAGAAGTATGGGAATGCCGCGGCCACGGACAAGCTCCCGGCGGAGCTCCTGCTCGGGCAGACGGAGAGACAGGTGGAGTACGATCGAGCGGGGCGGATGATCAAGGGGCAGGAGAAGGCTGTCCCGAAGAGCAAGTACGAGGAGGACGTGTTCATAAACAACCACACCACGGTGTGGGGGTCCTTCTGGAGGGATCACCAGTGGGGATACAAGTGCTGCCGGCAGTTCATCAGGAACAGCTACTGCACCGGCCAGGCGGGGATCGACGCGGCGGAGGCGTCGGCGGAGCTGATGCGAGCGAATATGGAGATGAAGGAGGCCGTCCAGGAGAAAGCTCCCGTGATTGAGGAGAAGAACTTGGCGAGCTGGGGGGGAGACGTCGCGGAGGACGTTGTGCTTGACAGGAAGAAGCTCAAGGAGGCGCTCAAGAGGGAGGACGAGCGGCTGCGCGAGGAGAAGGACGAGCGCAAGAGGAAGTATAATGTGACTTACAGCGACGAGGTGACGGCCGAGGATATGGAGGCGTACAAGATGAAGAAGGTCCACTTTGATGATCCCATGAGGGATTTCTTGGGCAAATAGAAATTAAAACTGTAGATAAGCTTGCAGTCATAAAACTATAATCTTTGTATTTTAATTGTGATGCAAGAGATGGTCAGAAGTGGTTGTGCAAGAGTTAATTCTGATGTTAATTGATGTTTTCATCCAGAAAAGAGTTATAAATATAAACATAAATATAGAAATAAAACCATCTTGTTACTCTTAACATTAAAAATATCAAATAGTATTGTTATATAAACAGGAAACCAATTTTGTAAAATGCATTCAGATTAGTAGAATGGTGAAGCTTGTTGCAATCGCTTTTGCTGCTTTTTGTTTAGGTTTTGTTTCATGTGTTGTTGAGGGAAACCATCAGGCATTCAAAAGCAAACAATATGAAGGAAGACATCAATCATTGTTAAATGCTGATGCAAATTCAGTTGTGCTTCATGTTTATTCAGTGGATGATCCAAATGCTCATCCAAGAGCTGGTGATATTAATTTTAATACTGTTAGTGCTGCAATTGATTGGATTGCATATAATTCGTCACAACGATATTTGATTTTGATTGGACCAGGAATTTATAGGTAATTTTATTATTTATATAGTTGATTTCTTATAATTCTATATATGAAAATAAAAATGCAGAGAGAAAATTACTATACCAAAATTTAAAGATTTTATCCATTTGGCGGGTGTAACACAAAATATATTTGATACGGTGATAGTTTATAATGCAAACCATGGTTCGGCTAATGGTACTGGTAAAAGTGCAACTTTTGATGTTCTTTCAAATTATTTTATTGCTGAATATATCACTTTTCAGGTAAAATTTTATTATTATAGTTTTATAACTATTACAAATATAACAATTTTTAAATTTTTTTTTTAGAATGATGCACCATTCGCAAATCCAGGAGATATAAATAAGCAAGCAGTTGCTTTGAAATTATCTGGTGATTTTGCAAGGATTTCTAACTGCTTTATTCTCTCTAGTCAGGATACTCTTTTCGATGACGAGGGTAGGCATTTTTTTCAGAACACATATATAGAGGGAAACATAGACTACATCTTTGGTTCTGGAAGGTCACTTTACGAGGTAAACAATTTATTTTTTTTAAAATTTCTCATTCTGTTTCCTTGCACTATAGAAATGTAATCTCATCTCAAATTCCAACGCTACAACGAGTGGCTCTTTGACAGCACAAGGAAGATCCTCTACCACTGATTTCCCTTCTGGATACTCCTTCCACAATTGCTATATTGGAGGGACAGGAAAGGTCATACTAGGCCGACCTTGGGGAAATGAAGCATTCGTGGTTTTTATCAATTGTTATATGGAGAGTGTGGTGGATCCCATTGGCTGGGCTCACTGGAACGATGTCCATGGCTCATCTAATAGGTAAAACGTCACCAAGCAATCATGTTTATTATTTACTTTCGTTTTCTTCCAGCACTGCTTTCTTTGCCGAGTATCAAAATTATGGTCCAGGTTCTTCTACTTCAAAACGTGTAAATTGGACTACAACTATTACGGAGGACGACGCTAAAGCATTCAGTTCTCTAAGCTTTATAGATGGCCAGATGTGGCTCTGATATAATCTAATATTTTGTTTCTACTTTTAAATTCATGCAAATCTCGTCACCTTTAAATCATGACGTGGGCTACAATTCGGTAAGCCTGTAGCGATCTGGAACAAGGCCACAACCTGAAAAAGCCTCCACCATGGTTTTCATTTTCAAGCCCATATATTACAAGTCATTAGATCACTAGCAGTCAAACAAAAATCTAAAAAAGCCGCTCTAGAAAAGCCACTAGTGCTTTGTCTTTATGCTCTCCCTCTAGATATTTAGATCATATACTTTGCTAGATCCCAGTGATGCATCTACATCTCTTGGCGATGTTGCAAGACCTGTTACTTGACAATGCTCTGCTTTAAGCCATTCTTGGCTCGGCCATGAAGCTCCTGGTGTGTCTTCACCAAAACTTTTGCCGAGGAGCTCGCACTTCCAAACAGCTCCGGCAAGCAACTCTCGGTACTGCCCAGCGTGAACGAAGCTCTCGATGAGTTGAGCTCTGCGAGTTTCTTCTTCTCTTGATCCACTTGCTGCCGGAAAAGCTCCAAGGAAGCTCGTTTCTCAGCAAGATTGCCTGGCGCATCCTTTCTACCACCAAGAGCTTTCTTCTCCAAGTTTTTTACGCCTGCCACCTTCTTGTCCAGATCCTTCACCAGACCAGATACTCGCTTCTGGGCCTTGATTTGTTCCATCTGATACCACTCTATCTTGCTTGCTGCCACTGTTAACTTTCGTATCACTTGGCCGGAACGCTCCTTAGACAGGTCGTTCAAGGACTTCTCCCATTCCTGGCACAAGAAGTAGATCTCTGGGATGGCCAAGTGCATTACCCGTGATTTCTTGCGTGACAGACTGTGGAGCTTGTTGAGTTTGGAGATGCTTGCCTTGAGCCACTGCATTATGCTGCTTATGTACTCCTTCTCCTTGGTGATCAACTCGTTGAGCGAGAAACTCCAAGACAGGAGCGCCAGCTGAAGCTTTTGTGCCGTCTTCCTCTGGCCGGGATTGATCTCCTTTGCTGCTGCTCCTCGAGGCAGCCTCAAATCAAGAACGGCGGCTCTCTGGCGTTCATGGCAGTCTTGGATGCTTTTCCACATATCGGCAAGCCTGTACGCGCAAGAGAAAGAAGTTTAAACTCGATACCAGGTTAGCTGAAAGCTTACCCTTGGACGAGCTCGAGAAGCTGGTAATGGAGTTCTTCATTGGTGATCTTCTGGACGGCTGCGGCGGTTGCTTCCATAGCTTGGACTGCCACGGACATCTGGTTTTCGATGGCTTTGACGTCGGCTCTGGTTCTATCAACAGTCTCATCGTGAACTCTGTTGACATCGTATTTGCACAGCAGCTTGCGCTTCTTGTTGAAATCGGCATCGATTGAGTTGAGCGCCTGCGTTACCGTGATCACAAGTTAGTAGAATTCTCTCGTCAAACCAGGAGACGACAAACTAAGAACTGTTGATCGTGGCTACAGGTGAAAACCGACAGCAAAAAAGTAGAAATGAAAAAAGAAAACAATTCACTAACTAGTGCGTTCTATAACGAAAGACATAAACTATGCCTCGAGATCTATGAAGCCAACTCTAAAGAAAACTTGCGAAAGATCCATACCTTGACTTCCTCGTAAAGTTTGAGCTCCCAGGCCGACAATCGCTCGAGAGTGAGCGCCTGACTCCATCCATAGTTGCAATCGGTGACTTGATGGTCTCCATTCTTCCATGTCAATGCTAGACCTAGCTCTGCGATGCAATCCAAGCAAAGAAACAAAGAGATTTCGAGCTCTTAGATCACTTCCACAGCTGGGATCGAAAAGAAATGCGGGCGCCATACCTCTGCCGGACTGGAGGATCCCTGCCACAGCGGCTCCGCTCTGCGAAGCCCTAAGAAATTCTTGGTAAACATACCGGAAGATCTTCTCTATTTCGTGGAGAGGAAGCTCCGCGGGGACGATCGCCAGCCGTCGATCGCCGGGTCCATCGGACGATAGAGACGCCACTGAAGCGTTTGAATCTCTTCTCTCTCGCGTGGCCGGCGATGGATTGCTGCAATGGTGCTCGATCTCCCGGATCTTCACGTCGTCACCCTCCATCTCGATCACGGTGTCCTCCTCGTCGTCGCCGCCGTGGATCTCCTTGCTCGACGAGCAGGCCGCGATCGATTGCTCCACCTGCTGGAAGAAATCGAAGTCCCAGTAGCGAGATGGCAAGCCCGGAGGCGGTGGAGGCGGCTTGATTCCAGCGAGGAACTCGTCCTCGAGAACTACCCTCTGGGATGCTGTGGGTGTGTACTCGATCGCAAAGCTAGATCTAGCTGGAGCTGGCGCTGCGCGAAACCCATCGGTGATCCCGAGCTCTCCCGTGAGGAAATCTTGGAGAGCGCAGCCGGTTCGCGCGAGAGATTGGAGGAACTCGGCGTGAGATTTGGCGAATGCTCGCCCCGCCTGTGATGCCTGGCGAAGAAGCTCCTTCCTCTGCTTGCATTGCGACACTGCCGCGGAGTAATTGCAGAGATCCTCCTCGTCCCGCGGCTCTTCTCCAAGATCTTCCGCCTTAGAACAGGGGCATCCCATTATCCCTCTCTCCTCCTCGATCACCCGATCGATCAATCACCACCCTCGAGAAAACCGCTCGCGATCGCGCGAATTGGGAGCAATGCTACATCAATGCTGGCTAGAATCGCAACACAAGCGCACAGAATTCTCGCATAGAAACTGCTAGAAGATCTAGATCTGCGAGACAACAAGTTGTTTTTCTTTAGTGTTGTGTGTGGTCTCTTCTCCTAGAGGCGCAATGATTTCTCTATGTGGCGGCCATGGCCCCTTAAAAATACCACGCCACAGAAAAAAGAATATCCCCCACCACGAGTCTACCCAAGCAAGCAAGCCATCGGAGGAAATATAATAAAGCAATGGTGGCGAAGCAATGAATTATTCCCATAGACCGACATTGTGGAGTAGTGCCGGATTCGAAGACCTCGCCAAAGATTTGACAGTGATATTTGTGCTAAACGAACAGCGATTAGTCGTAAATTAAAGCGCGACAAAAAACTAGTGGGGGGAAGCTTTACAGCTTTTTGCAATCAAACGTGGGCGCTCATGGTTCGATACCCTTTACACCTTCTTGATTTGAAACCTCGAATATCCCGAAGTATAAACCAAAAGCATGCCAGCTGTTTCTCTATTTCGGGTATGCCGACGTGGAGGAATCCTAGCTGGCTGGGGGACAACCAGGGCTCAATGAGGCGCGGCCGCGTGGCAGCACTGATTAGTATGACACGTGGCAAAGATTTACTCGACGTGGCTATCAGCAAAGCCGTGCTTGGAAGGATAAGTATATATCATAGGTTTTTACTTTAGTCTCGGCCCTGCATTTTTTCGGTGGCGAGCAAGAGCGCGGGCGGAGGGAGGGCGCTGCGTCGCGGCTAGGGCTCGATCGATCGGCGCGGAGCATCAGGTGATATTTTTCGCGAGAGGTTGCTGCTCGGCGCCGAGAAATGCCCCCATCTTTTGGAAATTTCTTGATCTTACTCTGGCGCTCTGCGTGTCTTGTAGATTAGATGGGGTCTCTAGATGTTGCGAGGGCGGAGGTGGCCTTCTTGGTCATGTACCTCAACAAGGCTGAGAGCAGGGATAAAATTTGCCGAGCGATCCAGTATGGAGCAAAATTTCTCAGCAATGGTGAGCCAGGTCCGGCGTCTCAAGTCGACAAGTCAACTAGCTTGGCAAGGAAAGTGTTTCGCCTCCTCAAGGTATGCTTCTTTTTTCTTTCTTAGAAGAACTATTCTCTTCTACGATGGCTTGGCAAAGGTAGTGATGGATTTTTGTTTGCGCAGTACTTGAACGAGCTGCATGGTCTCATTGCTCCAGCTCCCAAATCGACGCCTCTCCCAATTGTTCTCCTTGGGAAGGTTTGGTTTTTTCTCTCAAGAAAAGTTCCTGCCGTAGAATTTTGTGTGCTCACCGATTTAGAATGCAGGCTAAAAACGCTTTGGTTGGAACGTTTTTGTTCTTGGATCAACTCGTCTGGGCTGGACGAACCGGCATCTATCAGGTTGGTCTTTTTTTTCGTTTGAGTGGACTAACGTAAGCTGCCTTATAGAACAAGGAGCGCCTGGAGCTCATCTCAAGGATATCGTTGTACTGCTGGATGACTGGATCGTTTTGCACCTCATTGGCTGAGGTAAGCTTGGAATTCGTGAAGGAAGATATCGTGCTTACTCACATCCTTAACCCAGGTGTCTGAGCTCGGCCGCCTTGCGGCTTCCAGGAGAAAGCTTGAGAGGGAGATTCGGCGATTAAAACAGCAAGGCAACCCGGAGAACGCGCAGCTGGTTTGCATCACTTTACACTCGTAGGATGCCATTCTAACGCTCCATTTGCTGGTGACAGAAAGAACAAAAACTCGTCTCTGTGAAACAATCTCACGAGAGAACCTTGAGCCTTGTCAAGGCTTCTCTGGATATAGTTGTCGCGGTTGGACTTCTTCAGCTTGCTCCAAAAACCGTGACGCCTCGTGTGACTGGAGCTCTGGGTTTTATCACCTCATTGATTTCCTGCTACCAGGTCCGATTCACGTCGAAACGTTTTTCACTTTGGCTGATTTTCTTACTTTGAGTTGATTTGTTTGCAGTTGCTTCCGCCTCCACCGGCCTCGAAGCCCAAGAGTTCGTGAAAGTGAGCGCCGTGAAGAATCAAAAGGGAAATAATATTGAACTATAAGAACAGGAGTAGTTTCATGTACCATTTCCGTTAATCACGCCGAATTCTTATCTTTCAAGGTAACTAAAGGTGAGACCGAGAAATAGTAATTGCAAGGACTGCTCGAGCCAGACTAGGCGTGTTAAAAGTTTTCCAAAGTGGACTACATGCAGCTCTTCGTTCCTTATGTTTTGATATTCAAAGTTGCCGGCATGCAACTTGCCCAGATAGGGCAGCCGGAGGTACGTTTGTATTATGTTTAATTTGGCCATAGTAACCAAAGCTCGTGGTGTAATCTTTACCATAATCGCTTGCGTCCGAGCATACGCTGTCAATGCTAGCAAAATTGCCTTTTTAAGAATCTTGGAAGAGACACAATGCCGATAACCCTGAGATTCGTCCCAAATGCCTTAAAAGGGCATTTGGAAATGCGAGTTTTGAGTGCTCCAAAGTAAGCCACTTTCCCACTCAAGCGCACACACATACACACACACACACAGAGAACAATAGAAAAATAAACAAAGAAAACCAGTGAAATCTCACAAAAGTACCAGACAATGGTATCTTGCTTCCTGCATGTTAATTTGGCCTATCAAAGAGATTTTAGTAAAAAGGGATTTCTTGTGGGTGTTGTTTGTGTGACCTAATGGTTTGAGGGGAGAGGGAGCAGCAAAAGGCTGTGTATTAAATGGGGTGGGGTGGTATTTAGGCCAGAGTGGTGGTTCTCTTTTACAAGCAGGTGGTTGCCAAGAAGACCAAAGGGATTTTTCTGGTATATGTGGGGTTGGTTCCTTTTTTTCTCTTCCTCTTTGGTTTGGTTTTGGGGAGAGAAATTTAGTTTTTGATTTTGATGATGTGATGAGATGATTGGGAGGAAGCAAGCTTTGTATACGTTGTAGGAAAAGGAGGAAGAAGAAGGAGAGGAAGATCTTAGAACACAAAAGCTTGGGAAGAGAGGAAAAGGGAGAGGGAGAAGAGAGAGTGTAAGGATTGATTGGATAGCCCAGTTGGGAAGACCTAAAGGCGAGAGCTCCTCCAGGGCGGGGGAGAATCTTTGGGGAGTTTTTGGATTGCTGGCAATGTAGGTGGGAGCCCATCAATCCGAATTGCGACGATATGGGCGAGCGGTGCTGGCTGGAAATGGAGAGCTTCCCTGCGAGGCAACGGTTTCACGTAGAATCCGAGCGAGGGAGTGTGGAGGTGTCTTGGAGCAAGCTCCAGAAGCTCCTGCCCACCAATGCTGTTGCGACGAGTGCTAATCTCCTCGCCACCACCAGGCCTGGATTGGACTCTCGAATCGCTCCAGAGGTAGTACCTAGCGTTTTCTCCTCTTTTTTTCCTTTGCCTTTTCTTCTTGTTTCGTGTTTCTTTGTGTTTGTTCTTTGTTCTTGTAAGATTCCAAAGTTTTGGTCGCTGCTCAGATGATCTTCGAGCGAAGCTTATGTGAGTTTCGTGGAATTGTAGGTGGCTGCTGCGCACAAGGATGGGCGGATGAACGCCGTGATCGAGAAGATCGAGAGGCTCTACCAGGTAATGTGTTAGTAAAAAACTCGAGTTAGTTTTTTCTTTTTCAGTGCTCCTGACTTAGATGGAACTTGGGATTTGTCTCAGGGGCATTCCGAGGATGACGAAGGTGGCGACGAGGACGATAAGACGACTTGCGTGCCCGCGGAGGAAGATTACGACACGGAGGATACTTTCATCGACGACGAAGATCTGGTAAGTATTACTTGTAGATTACTTCTTTGTTCTTTCTCTAATGCTTGAAACACCGTCTAGGACGAGTACTTCGAGGTGAATAGGACCAAGACGAAGCACACGGGCTTCTACGTCAACAAGGGATCGCTGGAGAAGAGGGCTGTCGAGGGGAAGTAAGTTCTCTCTTAGCTAGTTCGTCCTTGCGGATAGAAAATGGCTTATGTGCTTGCTCTAGGAGTTTGGATGAAGCTTCTGGTCTCAAAGTCTACAAGAAGAGGAAGAGGCCGGCGCAGGAGAGGCCGCCAGCGTCGAAGAAGGCTAAGAGCGACGACGAGGACGCAGTGAAAGCTCCACAAGCGAACAACAAAAAAGCGAGCTTCACTAAAACGATCAAGGCTTGCGCAACCAAGGGCCCTCTAGCAGAGCGAAACAATGGCTTGTGTATCGATCCCAGCAACACCACCATTGCCAGCGACGAGATCGTAAGATTTTTTCGAGCTTCCTTTGAAAATGGTTGATGAGTGACTTTAACTAATCTATTGTTTTGTGAAGAAGACTCCTCCGAAGGAATCGAGTCCGGGAAGGAAGACTGGGCCGAAGCTCACGATGCTGGACAGGGCTATTCAGGAGCTGGAGAAAGAAGTGGCGGACCGTAAGTAGCTTTAAGAAAGAATTGCTTGAGGCTTAGATGATCTATGACAGGATGTCCACCCTCGATGGAGAAGAATCACGAAACCGAGTACAAGAAGCGGATACCAAAGGAGGTTAAGGCACGGCTCGCCAAAGTTGCAAGGCTAGCGGTAGAGTTTATTAGTTTTTAGCAACGCTTGCTGTGAACTGAAGGTTTTGTGCAGCAAAAGCAAAGCAAGATCGGCCCGGAAGAGCTCCTCAACGTCCTGATGAAGATCATGGGACACTTGATGCAGATTAGATCTCTCAAGGTAAGATGTCCGCATTTTTTTTTTTCATAGCTAAATCGCTGCCTGCCTTGTGGTGTTCTAGAGAAACTTAAAGGAAATGGCTGAACTTGGAATATCGGCACAAAAGGAGAAGCAATCTAAGCTGGAGACAATGAAGAAGGAAATCGTGGACATGCTGAAGTCTCGAATCACTCCACAACAATCAGCACAGGTAACTCTTTTCTCACTCTCTTTTTGAGCGAAGTTTTGCTCATTGTTTTCGTTTTTTCAGCAATGCGAAGAGGCAACCTGCGACGGACGCTACAGATGGGATGCGCCAACCGAGGACAGGATCAGCGATTTCTACGAGCTCTACGTCGAGGGGATTGACGAGCACAAATCCGCAGCAACCAAGAAATTCTACGCCGAGGTACTGTTTCCTTTCTAAAGAAGAAATGTTTTTCAATACGCATCACTCGACCAGCTTGCGGAGCTATGGCCGGAAGGTTGGATGGACAGCAATGGCATTAAAAACGCAGTGCTTCGCGCCAAGGAGCGAAAGAAAGGAGCCATGAAACAGGTCCACACATATGATCTCTTTCCTTTTCTAACATCTCATACGTTCCAGGCAAAGTTGGACGAGAGGAAACGCAAGAAGGCGACGGTGACGACGCCAAAATCCGTGAAGAAGCTGGAGTCTCCGCCAAAAACTTTGGAGCTCCAAGAGCACTACCAAGAACAACGTAGGGAAGAACACGAGGAAGCTCGCGAAGAGGTAGTAGTAGAGGGTGTGAGGAGCTCCATGTCCATAGCTGTGATGAATCCCGCTAGCAGCACCACGCCGTGGAGAGATTGTCCATCCGGGAATGGAGGAGTAGTGATGCCAAGCTCGCTCCGGCAGATCAAGCGAAAGTTGCTAGACAAGGCGAGCAACAGGAGCTTCTGCGATAGCATCACTCCTCCTCCTTCCTCGTTGATGTGGATGGTCAAGGATCCAAAGCCTGGCTGAGTGGTGTCTCAAAGTTTTTTTTTTCTCTTCTTGGCTGATGGAACACTTGTTTTGGATCCAGGGAGTGGTGGTTTAGAAGAGGGGGAGTTTTTTCTTTTACACGGTCTGTGCAGAGAACAAGTGAGAGCGCCATTTAAAGTTTTGATACTTTGTTAACAAGATTATTTTGTAAGCTCGAAAGTATAGAATACAAAAAAAAAAAATCGATCTTACTTCGCAGCTGACTTTGGCTTCTTTGTTTTTCTTGCTGTTGCTCTCTTCTCTTCTCTGCAAAGGCAAACAAAGAAATAACATTACGATGGATGGATGTAAGTCGTGAGGAATGGCAACAGACCTTGCACGGGATATTTCTTCTTTGGAGGGCAGGTTTTTCAAGTCCCGCCTTAGAAGCCGCTTCCTCTTCTTGCCTTGTGGCTTCTCCACGCCGTTCTGTTTGGCCGGAGATGCATCTTTTGGAACAAGAGTAATAGCAGGCTTTTGCTCCACCTCTTGCGCGTTTTCAACCTCGGCTTCGTCGGTTTCCTTGTTGGCCTCTGGAATTTTGTTGCTCAGCTTCTTTAACTGGAATAAAACGAAACAGAAGATAGCGTCTAAGTGCAACTAAAACGATTAAAGCTTTCTTTCACCTTGGCCACAAAAAAGCCATCCATGTTGTGTACGTGAGGATAAAAGCGTCTAGTGTTGGCCAGTGACGGATGAAAACGTTTTTCTCTAAAACGAATAAATCTACAAAAAAGAGAATGTTGGTGAAAGTACGTCACAAAAAAAACGATCCATACCCTTCCTTGCCAAACTCGAGTCCAGTCGGGACAACCTTGACATGTCGCTTTTTTAATGCGTAGTCAACTACAGCTTCGTTCTGGTCACAAAATTATTAGCTGATTAGAGACACATTCATGGGAGTGAAATGCTTGCCTCTGCAACCGTAACGGAGCAAGTTGAGTACACAAGATATCCACCGCTGCTAGAATTCGCATCAACAAGGTCTATGGCTGCTAGGATTAACTCCTGCAAGATAGAAGATTTCGAGTAAGCGCAAAGCAGAAAGACGGGAGTTACCTTTTGCAAAAAGGCACATCGCTGTATGTCCTCTAAAGATTTTGTAAGCTTCACAGATTGGTCTTTTCCCACGATCTGGAATAGAAAGTAACTTGTAAGAGTGGCCAAAACTGAAAAAACGAGAACTTACTCCAGTCCCGCTGCAAGGAGCATCCAGTAACACACGATCAACGGAGTTTCGCCCAAGGACTTTTGGCAACTAAAGCACTTTAACTCAGTTCAAGAAAACTAATGCAAAATTGTTTTTTAGCGAACCTCGCGCCCGTCATAATTGCACACAACTGAGTTAGTCACACCCATTCGATAAATGTTGGCCGTAAGAGACTTCAATCTTTGTACCTTTAACTCATTTGCATATATTAAACCTGACAAAAGACCAGTAACTCGTTACATGGACATGAAGTGACAGAATTACCTGTATTTTTCATCAGCGCAGCTATGTAAGTTGTCTTCCCTCCCGGAGCGGCACTGAGAACACCAAGCTGAAGCTTAACGCCGAACAAAAGAAACTAGAATCTTACGCGACGTCAACTATCCGTTCTTTTTCTTGAGGTGCCAAGGCCATCACCGGAAGAAAGGAGCTTGCACTTTGAAGCTGCAAACAAGCACAGCGTTCTGTAACTAGAGGCAAAACTATATATTTCCCTACCATATAGTGACCAGCCATGTACTCAGGTGTTGCTCCCACGGGAACTTGAGAGTCGTATACTACAAGACCAACCTGCGAACTCAGCGTCAAACACCACACATAAAGACACCATTTCACTTCACCTTAGACCATTTCCCGATTGGATCCAAATTCACGCCTCTATTGATGAGAACTCCGGCCAAATCTCGCCGCCTTGTCTAAAACACGAAAGAAGATAAGATGCCGAGCCGATACTGCATGCAGGTACCTTCAGGGTGTTGGTCCGAAGAGACACTGGTCGGGGCGTCTCATTCGCTTCTAAAAACTCTACCGCTTCAGCTACTGGAAACATCTGCAAAGGGGGAAGAAATCTTAACAAGACCAAAAAACTTCTCAGCGAAAGTTCTACCTGCATAAAATACTCCGCAAGAAACTCATTGTAACCATAGTACGATGCCACATCCGCAATCAGCTGCTTGGTATAATCCTTGCGAGCCCGGCCCTCTTGCCTCAGAGCCTTGAAGTTTGACAAAACTCTGACAACTTGAAAGAAAAGAAGAAGAAATCACGACGTGTAACAACATAGAAAAGCAGACTTACTGTCTTTGATCCTTCGCTGAACGCTGGGAAGATCAGGTGGCAAGCTTGCCTCAGCTTCAAGGTCCTACACAGCACAATAAAAATGATTTTTTCTAAGAAAAGCCACGAGAACGAACCTCCGAGGTAGGAAGTCTAAAATCATCCGGCTCGTCCCCCTCCGCCTGGATGTTCGTCTGGAGCTCGGCATCAGCGTCTGCTTGCTCTTGAGCCCTCTTCGCATCTAATTTCTTGGATTTACGCTCCACATCGAACTCATCATCCTCCTCTTCGTCATCATCCTCGTCGCTGGTTCCTGAAGGAAGAAAAAATGTAAGTGCTTGGAAGAGATTCTAGACAGCAGCAAACCTTCATCCCCGTCCTCCTCCTCTTCTTCGTCTTCTTCGTCTTCATCATCCTCGTCGAGTCGCTTCTTTGGCTTTAGCCACGCCTTGTTCTCATCAGTGAATCCCTTCTTACCAGCCTTCCCATTTGCATTTGCAGCAGCAGCATGATCGCCCTCATCAGAATCGGAAGAATCCGAGAGGAGCTGAGTCTTCTTCTTCTTCGTCCCCATTCCTCGCGCCTCCACAACCCTAGACCCTCTTAAACCCTAAATCTCTCTTTTAGGGTTCTTGAGGGTCAATGCCAGTCATGGGTCAGCGCTGGTCCATTAGAGAAATGGGCCGGATCTCGCGATTGCGGGCAGTGGGTTTTCCAGCGGAATGCAGCCGCTCAAGACGCTGGTGGCGGCGGCAGCTATGGCACGGCAGTGGCTGCGATCGAGCGCAGCGCGCTGGCTTCCTCCCTCGACCGCCGCCGTGAGCCCTAGCTCCTCGCTCACAGCACACCAGGAAGAAGAATGCGGCACGAAAGAGGTAACACCAGAGCCAGCTCCCATGGCGCAGGAGCAAGAGCTCCGCGATCCATCTCCAAGTTTGAGGCCGCCATGCATCGCGATTCTCCCCGAGGCTCCACATTTTGTGGAGGAGCGCGCCATGGAACTGGAGGAGCATTGCGAATCCCCGGAGAGTTCAGCGGAGATATCACTTCCAGGATCAATGGAGAGAACTACACAAGACGATGGCAGTGATGATACCATTGCCACCATCCAGCGCACCGCCTCGCGAGTGACCAAGCTCGTGGAGCTCTCGGGCGGCCCGGGAAGCGCCAAGATCAAGAGGATCCTCTGGGAGAAGCGCCGCTCGAGGTCCCGGATCATTGCCCAGGTCCTCCAGAATCTAGACGACGCCGGCGCCGCCATCAAGTTCTTCCGCTGGGTGGCCTCGAGCAAAACCGGGCTGGGATTCAAGCACACCCCACACACCGCCAACTCGCTACTCCTCACTCTCATCAAGCTCGGCCAGGCGACCAAGGCGCACGAGATCTTCACGGCGGGTCTCCCGGCGGGATGCCGGCCCGACCGCACGACCGTGTCGACCGTGCTGTACGGCCTGGTCGACTCGGGGCGGCTCCAGTGCGCTTGCGAGTTTTGCGGCGAGATCAAGCGCGTGGGGGTGCTGCCGTACGGCAAGGTTCTCAGCGTCCTGATCCAAGCGCTGTGCGCCGCCGGGGACGTGGATCGCGCGGTCAGGATCGGGCGGGAGCTGACGGTGGATCCGGCCGACTTCGCGTTTACGTACGGCATTTTGATCCACACGTTGTGCAAGCTCGGGGAGATTAGCGCTGCGTGGTCGCTCTTCTACGAGGTGAGTGTTTGCTTCTCTTTTGCTTCTTGGTAGAGACTGATAGTTATAGTTTCTCGATCAGATAGATAGAGACATAGTTCCTCAATAGATAGAGATAGATCATAGTTTCTCGATGAGATAGATAGAGATAGACACTAGTTTCTCGATAGATCAGAGATAGATCATAGTTTATAGATAGAGATAAAAAGATCATAGTTTCTGGATGGTTTTGTTTGCTTGGAGTTTTCCTCGATCGAATTCCTCGTTCTGATGGTTTCTCTATTTTGCAGCTGCAAGACAAGGGCGGCTCTCTCGACGCCCAAGTCTACGCGTCGCTCCTCCACGGCCTGTGCAACGCTGGGGACCTCCAAGCCGTGCGCGCCCTCCTCGACGACATGGCCTCGCGCCACTTCCGCCTCGACGCTGCCATCTACAACACCCTCATCGCCGGCCTGTGCAAGGCGCGCAAGCCCCGCCACGCGCTCGAGCTCCTCCACGTCATGGCCGCCAACGGCTACGATGCCTCGGTGGTGACTTACACAACCCTCATCGACGGCCTGTGTAAGTCGGGCGACCTGGACGCCGCCCAGGCGCTCCTCCAAAAGATGGCGGACGCCGGCTGCGCGCCAAACGTGGTCACCTACACCGCGCTGATCGACGGCCTGTGTAAGGCGCGCCGCCCCCACGACGCCATCCAGACCGTCAAGCGCATGCTACGTAGCGGCTGCGAGCCCGACCTGGTGACGTACAACTCGCTCATCCACGGGCTCTGCATGGCCAACCGGATGGACGATGCCGGGCTCGTCCTCCAGGAGCTTGTACGGAATGGATTCGCGCCAAACCACATCACTTACTCGACGCTGGTCATTTGGAACTGCCGGCGGCGGCGGCTGGACCAGGCCCGGGGCTTGATCCGCGAGATGATCCTGCGCGGCTCGGTCTGTAACCTGGTGGTTTACATCGACTGCATATTTGGGTTTTGCGAGGCGCGGTGCCAGTCGTCGCGGTACGAGTGCCGGGACGGCGACGAGGTGTGGGAGCTGTTTGGGGTTTTGGAGGAGATGGTGGTGGAGGGGTGCCGGGGAGGGAGCATTGTTTTCGAGGGGGAGAGCTTGTACGACCCCATTAGCCGGCTGGAGAGAGTGGAGCAAATCGCCGAGTTTATGTTCCACAAGGGGTGTTTTGGGAGTGATGAGAGGTATGCCACCATACAGGGGGCGCTCACTTGCATAAAGAGGCTCAAAACTCCCAGCCAAGAGTGCGCGCGTTTTCACAGTAATCTCCCAGACCCTGAAAGAGGTGAAACTTAAAGTTTTTGGGGCTTTAGATTCATACAGTGTAACCGCTTTAGGGTTTATATTTAAAAGAAGAATATGCTTACAATTTGAAGAATATTCTCGAGCAGTTTTGTATAGGGTCTTGGTTAGGAATATACCAGAATATGCCCACCTGGAGTTTTGGGAAGATATTTCTTTCGCTTGGGTTCAGGGTTTATGGCTATGGCGATGATGGCAGCGGCGGCGGCGTCGCTACACACAGAGCCCACCGTCGCAGCGTGTGCTTCTTCTTCTTCCAGTAGCTATGTAGCAGCTTGCTCTTCCTCGTTTTCCTCGAATCGATCAACGCACAATGCCGATGCCTTGATCTGGGTTCTCAACTCCGACGCCACCAGGCTCCAGGAGGCATTGGAGCAGTGCTCCCGATCGTCGCTGAGCAGAGCCACCGTGAGCAGCGTTCTAAGAAATGCCAGGGACTGCGAGAGAGCTCTCACCTTCTACGACTGGGCAGCCACGCGCGGGGGGTTCCAGCACGACGCCGCCACCACAGGTACGCTGGTCCGGATGCTCGCCAAGAACAAGCGGCACGGCGAGGCGTTCTCGAGGCTTGCACAGGCGCTGGATCGAGGGCTCCGTCCAAACGCTGGAGTTTTCGCCGCGCTGCTCAGTGCTTGCGTCGCGGCCGGGGACCGGGACAAAGTCCGGGAGCTCTTCAAGCAGATGGAGCGGGCCAAAGTCAGTGTCGAAACGAAGAGGGTGAATGGGATCTTACATGACTTGTGCAGCGGGGACAAGATCGAGCAAGCACTGGAGCTCCTCCAGGAGATGATAAACTCGAGCGTCGCCAACCTCTACACATACAACATTGTTGTTAGCTGCCTGTGCCGGCTCAAAAGAGTGGACGAAGCCCAGGTTTTGATGAGCGAGATGATCGAGAGTGGACGCATACCTGACGTTGTCACTTACAACACCTTCATCTCCGGGCTGTGCAAGGCCGGAAAGCTCGACAAGGGCCTCGAAATGCTGGAAGAAATGGACCGCGGTGGGATTTCCCCCGACGTTGTCACCTTTTGCAGCATCATAAGTGGGCTCTGCAAGGCGAACAGGATCGACGATGCGTTTCAGGTGTTTAAAGGAATGCTGGAAAGAGGATGCGTACCGGACTCTCTCACGTACAGCATCATGCTCGACAATCTCTCGCGAGCAAACCGCCTGGACACCGTCGAGGAGGTGCTTGAACACATGGTGAAGTCGGGGCACTATGCGCTGTCGGCAACTTACGCTCCTCTTATTCACGCACTCATCCGAGCAGGAGATATCGAAAGCGCTTCCTGGGCCTACGAGCAAGCCATGGAAGCTGGTTGCGTTATGGAGGTGTACACCCACAACGCTTTCATCGGAGCTCTCTGCAGGTCCGGAAAGTTTCCATTAGCCAAAAACATCTTACTGGGAATGATCGAGAGCGGAAGCTTACCGAACTTACTGTCTTACAACTTTGTGATCGATGGTCTCTGCAAATCTGGAAACGTCGACGACGCGTGGAAGCTGTCCCGCAAGATGCTTGACAGCGGTTGCTGCAAGCCCGACGTCATCTTCTTCAACACGTTGATAAGCGGCTTCTGCAAGGCAGGGAGGCTATCACAAGCCCAGCAGTTGCTGAAAGAGATGAAAGCAAAAAACATCTGCGTACCCGATGTGGTGACTTATAACACAATGATCGACGGCCAGTCCAAATTCGGCAGCCTCAAACAAGCCAAGTTGCTACTCGAGGAGATGCAAGCCGTGGGCTGCAAGCCAAATGTTGTGACTTATGCGGCGTTGATCAACGGCTATGCCAAGCATGGCATGTATGAGGAAGCCGAGAGCCTCTTTGACGAGATGTCTGCCAAAGGCTGCTTCCCAGATATCATCACGTACAACACGGTCCTCAGTGCCTTCAGCAAAGCCGGGATGATGTCCAAGGCCGATGGAGTGTACCAGCAGCTCAAGAACAAAACCAGCTACTGCTCTCCAGATGCAATCACGTACAGGATCCTGATCGATGGATATTGCAGAGCCGGGGACACTGAGCAAGGCTTGACGTTGCTCCAGGAGATGACAGCTAGAGGTTGGAGCTGCGACTCCTACACGTATAATGTCCTCATTGCCAAGCTTGCGGAAACCGAGGAAGTCCCTTCCAAAGCTCTTGCAGTCTACCAGCAGATGCTTAACCAGGACTGTGTTCCCAGTGCCTCCATTTTCAACTCGCTGGTCAGGCTCTTTCTCAGGACAGGAGATGTAAACTCTGCGCGTAGCATGGTCCAGGAGATGAACGAGAAAGGCCACCTTGTCGATGCTAGCAACCTGGAAGCCCTGAACAAGGAGAGTAACGACGCTTCTTAGGCTCTTAAGAACTCGCACTCTTTCCTGTAATCCAGCTCCACGACTAAGTTGCTGTCGTCAGTCTGCTGTTTCCTCATCAGTGCGTAAGTCCTGCTGTTGGGAGATAATCCTCTGGAAATCATCTCCTGGAGAAGCCTGTACGCCTCGGAAACTCTCCCTGCCCGGTTGAGTGCGTCAATCAAAGTGTTGTAGATGACTTCGCGTGGTGCCAGCCCAGCACTCTTCATTTGCTGGAGCAGCAGGAGAGCGTCGTCAATGCGGTGGCCTCTACAGTAGCCGAAGACCATCATTCCAAACGTTAACCAGTCGGGAAGGATGCCCGAGCCTGTCATCCGCTTAAAGAGCTTGTGAGCCTCGTTTATCCTACTGCCCTTGCAGAGCCAGGAGAGTATCGCGTTGTAACAGCCAGGCTTTGGAACGCAGCCAGAGTTTTCCATCTCGTCCAGGAGGCTGTAAGCCTCGGCCAGCTTTCCTGCCTGGCAGAGCCCGTCTATCAGCGTAGTGTATCCATACACGTCCAGACGTATCTTCTTCTCGGTCATGGCACGAAAGAGCGCCAGAGCATCGTCAACTTTACCATACTTGCACAGCCCGTGCAAAAAAGTATTGTAAGTTACGTGGTTGGGCTCATGACCTCTGCCGGTCATCTCCTGGAGTATCTCAAGGGCCCTGTGAAGCTTCTCCTCTTTGCAGAAGCCATCGATCAAAAGGTTGTACGTGACAATGGTCGGAGAAACTCCCATTGATCTCATGGTCTCGATGAAACCATACGCCTCTGCTGACCGTCCCTCCTTGCAAAGCGCGTCCATGATCCCATTGAAAACCAGCGCATTTGGAAAGCATCCCCGCTCCCCCATGACTTCCACGAGCTCGAACGCATCTGTCAACCTGTTGGCCTTGCACAGCCCGTCCACCAGGATCCCGAAAGTCACCACCGTAGGAATGCAGCCTTTCTCCGCCATGTCGTCCACCAAAAGAAACGCTTGCGAGAAGCTCTGGACTCCGCAAAGGGTCTTGATGATCGCGTTGTACATAGACGCGCAGGGAGTGCAGCTCATGCCCTCTAGAACCTGGCAAGCGTCGTCGAGTCGTCCCAGCCGGCAGTATCCATGGACCAAAGTAGTGTAAGTGAAGCCATCGCCTTTGATCCCCTTGGCCTCCATCTCTAGCAGGAGCTGGCGAGCCTCGTCGATCCGGGTCTGCTTGGAGAGCTTGTCCATGACGATGTTGCACGAAACGGAGCTCGCAGCGTGAGAAAACTCTCGCAGCACCCACAAACCATCGTCAACCTTGAGCCCCTTGAGCATGATGTTGAGCATTCTCGTGTCTGGAACCACTCCCAAGCTCCGCATTTTCTTGAGAAGCTCAAAGGCCTGGATTGTTTGCCCGCTGTCCGAGAGCCTCAGCATCACCAGGCTACAGAGAAATTGGTCTGGCTCGGGCCCCAATCGTGCCGCATCCATCAGAAGCTCGTACGCCTCTTGATACCTCATCGCGCGGCAGAGAAACGAGACTGTGGTTCGAAGATTTCTGAAACTGTGCGTGTAGTGTGGCCGGGAGCCCGCCCACCGGTAGAAATCAAATGCCTTGCGCCATTCCTGGACAGATTGCAGCACCTCATAGACCACATTCTCGGGTAGCGACGATTTCCTCAGGGATTCCAGGCCCTGGATCCAATCCGGGCGCGAGAGAACCGCAAGAACTTCCTGCGAACGCTGCCCGGGCAGCACCTGGCGGCCGGAATCCGAGCAGAAGTACCTCAATGCGAGCGTCCGCGCGCCTCGATCCGAGCGCCTCCACATCGGAAGCTATAAACCCTAAAACATTTCTGATAAGCCCTGGCTCCATCCAGCCGTCCACGTGGCTGGAAAGCCAAGTGGATACCGAATATCCATGGCACTCTCCAGAACCATCCTCGCTCTTCTAGGAGCGTCCAAGTGGCAGTATAAAAATCTCTTCCCGTTCCTCGCAGTGGATCATTCACAGCGATAGCAAGTTTCTTTAGCAAGGTTTGCGACAGAGAGAAGAAAGAAAAGCGATGGCACTCACTCCCTTCTTCAAGCGCGGTGATCTCACCAGCATTTTCGACAGCCCCCTCGATCGCTTCTTCGATCCATCGGCGATCTTCGAGAGCGGCCCATCTCGCCAGTTCGCCAAGGATGCCAGCGCCGTCGCCAACACCCGCGTGGATTGGGTTGAGACCCCGGATGCGCATGTCATCAAGGCCGATCTTCCAGGTAATATTCTCCGAAATCTTGACAATCCCCGTTCTTCCTCTCTTTTCGCCCTTCCTCGCTTGATCTTCTTTGTAACGAGTCGATATTTCGAGAGATCGAGAGGAAATGTCTGAGGTTTGCTGGCGTTCTCGCTTGATCCATCGATTGATCTTTCGATCTTGATTGCTCTTTTCTGATCGTTCTCTCTCTCTCTCTCTCTCTCCCCTTTATCTGTCCTGATTATGTTCTCGTTGATGATCTTGTCCAGGACTGAGCAAGGAGGAGATCAAGATCGAGATCCAGGATGGCAACACGCTGGTTCTCAGCGGCGAGCGCAAGAAGGAAAGCACGCAGGAGACGGACAAGTGGCACCGCGTGGAGCGCTCGTATGGCTGCTTCTTGAGGAAGTTCCGACTGCCCGAGGACTCCAAGGTGGAAGAGATCAACGCGAAGGTGGACAACGGCGTCCTCACCATCAACGTCCCCAAATCGAAGGAAACCAAGCCCGAGACCCGCTCTATCAATGTGGCTTAGATCAATGAGTCGAACGAGAGAAACCAGCTTGGGTCGGGTTATAGCTTGATTGTGGTCTGTTTTGTGGTCTAGCTTTGATGTAAAGGTCCTCGAATCGAAGTTTTTCCTTTTATCATGATAAATAAAGTGTGACAACCGATGGTAAAAAATGTGAAAGCTGGTTAAACCATGTAAAGTTGATGGGTGGGTCGGGTTATAGCTTGATCATGATCTGTTTTGGTCTAGATGTAAAAGACAACGAATTCGATTGATCAGTATAAACAAGAATAACACATGTAAATTATTTAAGGAAAAAAAAGATGGGGTCACTTGGACTTCCCTTTTATCATTATAAATAAAGTGTGATGACCTGGTTACACCATGTAAAGTCTTCTTTTGTAAGATCAGCAAATGTGGTGTCTTCATATTTGGTGAATTCCAGTAAATTCTGGTTAAACCGCTCTTGCAAGATTTTTAGGGCATCTCTTGGCTTTCTTTGAAGCAACTCCTTCCCTGCATGCTTTTAGTGGACAGTCGTCAGGGAGGAGGTAATTACTATTCACTATGAGTAGGGCTCACTTCACGTCTCTTAATCTGAGCTCCAGAGGTATCGAATGCTCAGCAGGATGACCATTCATCGAACGATTACTTCATATTTGGGCAAGCGTGAAAGCGCTCGATCGCGAGGTTATGAAATTTAGATGCCCTCCAAGGGCGCCAAAGTGCCAGTTTCGGGCCGTTATTATGCCCATATTGGGCATACGCTCGGGGAGCTCTGGCATGATCGAATCAGCTCACGATCGTGCATGACCGGAATATGCCCCGGACATGGCCGTTATAGAGCATATGCCGTCACTTTTTTGAGATCTTTTTGCCCGTTGATCGGCCGCTGCCCGTGAATTGCGTCGGCGGGAAAAACTATATGGCCGGCCGGCCGGCCGGCGGATTTCAAATTCTCTTCCAAATCCGGCTAACTGGGCTTCCCTCTCTTTTAGACAATCCCTCTTGCTCTTTCTATATAGTGGTTTTTGGGGGTCCTGTGTGTGTGAGCTCGAGAAAGCGGCTGCGGCGCGCCCTAGCTCTTCTTCCTCTCCGCGAGAGAGGTTCGTCGGATTCAGCGCCTCCGCCTCGCCGCTCGACAAGGTATGCGCCGTGATCTTGAGGTTCTCTGTCGATTGCCGCCTTTTTCTCTGGGCGCATTCTTGTTTCGTGCTTTTCCCTGGTGTTTTCTTGCGATGCTTGCCAAATGCGGGCTAGATCTACTCCGGAATAGTGATCTTGACACGAAATATCGGTGTATCGAGCTCATCTTTTCTTTCTTGTGTGTCCTGGCAGCCAAAGATGAGGGAAATCTTGCACATCCAGGGCGGCCAGTGCGGCAACCAAATCGGTGCCAAGTTCTGGGAGGTGATCTGCGACGAGCATGGTATCGATCCGACCGGGACATACCATGGCGACTCTGATCTTCAGCTGGAGAGGATCAACGTCTACTACAACGAAGCCAGCGGCGGCCGCTTTGTGCCACGCGCAGTTCTCATGGATCTAGAACCGGGTACCATGGACAGCGTGAGAGCCGGGCCATTCGGTCAGATTTTCAGGCCGGACAACTTCGTCTTTGGCCAGACGGGTGCGGGCAACAATTGGGCCAAGGGTCACTACACCGAAGGGGCCGAGCTTATTGATTCGGTTCTCGACGTCGTTCGAAAGGAGGCCGAGAGTTGTGACTGTTTGCAAGGTAACGTAGATGGTCAATAGTGTTGGTTTCTTAGCGTTAATTCTTTTTTTTTTCCTTTGTTTTTCTTCTCAGGCTTTCAAGTCTGCCACTCTCTTGGTGGTGGTACCGGATCGGGAATGGGTACCCTCTTGATATCCAAGATACGCGAGGAGTACCCCGATAGAATGATGCTGACATTCTCAGTTTTCCCGTCGCCAAAGGTCTCAGACACTGTCGTGGAACCATACAATGCTACTCTCTCCGTCCACCAGCTCGTGGAAAATGCTGACGAGTGCATGGTTCTGGACAACGAGGCTCTTTACGACATTTGCTTCCGCACGCTCAAACTGACAACGCCAACATGTAAGTTCATCGTCTTCAACTTCGTCTACGTTCTTACTGGTGATCCTTGTTTCTCTTGTTTGTAGTTGGAGACCTCAACCATCTGATCTCTGCCACAATGAGCGGTGTTACGTGTTGCTTAAGGTTTCCAGGACAGCTGAACTCCGATCTCCGGAAGTTGGCTGTCAACCTGATCCCATTCCCGCGGCTCCACTTCTTCATGGTCGGGTTTGCGCCTCTTACCTCGCGGGGCTCCCAGCTCTACAGGGCTCTCACCGTTCCGGAGCTGACCCAGCAAATGTGGGACGCCAAGAACATGATGTGCGCGGCGGACCCCAGGCACGGGAGGTACCTCACAGCCTCGGCGATGTTCCGGGGCCGGATGAGCACCAAGGAGGTTGACGAGCAGATGATCAACGTCCAGAACAAGAACTCGTCCTACTTTGTGGAGTGGATCCCCAACAACGTCAAGTCCAGCGTGTGTGACATCCCTCCCAAGGGGCTCAAGATGGCGTCCACCTTCATCGGCAACTCGACTTCCATCCAGGAGATGTTCCGGCGCGTGAGCGAGCAATTCACTGCGATGTTCCGGAGGAAGGCCTTCCTGCATTGGTACACGGGCGAGGGAATGGACGAAATGGAGTTCACCGAGGCTGAGAGCAACATGAACGATCTGGTGTCCGAGTATCAGCAATACCAGGACGCGAGTGCCGAGGAGGAGTACGACGAGGAGGCCGAAGAACTGGAGCAGTGATATGTCTCGCCCAAAAGGTGGAGTAGTGATTTCTCCAGTGACCGAGCTTCTCCTTTTCCTGACCATCGTTTTTTCCCTGGTTTCTTCTATAGTGGTTTAGATTAGATGATTTATAGCTACTGCTGTGTTCTTTGTATCTCAATCAAGCTTACTTGATGGTTTGTTCTTTCTACGTGGAAATTAAAGTTTACAAATAATTCTTTTATCCAACGGCAACTTGGATTGTGTGTTTGAACGAACGGCTGAGATTTCGTGGGCAGTTGGATGTATATGCCACGTTCGATTCGCACCAGGTGCTGTAGTAAATCCGACACGTCAGCAAGAGATGGGACAGCTCGAACAGCCGCAATTTTTCGTACAAGCTCGTGGAACACGAGAAATTTGAGACATATTTAGGGCGGATTGTTAATGTGCTAGACTGCTGCAGCAATGGCGCAGCTATGGTGAATCGCGAGGCATTGGCGCAGCTCTTCCCGGCGATTTTCCAGCTCCTGGATGAATCTCCTCGCTGGTAAAGCAGTGGCCCCGGGAGGGTTTTGTGGAGATCCAGCCGCGCCGGGGCCCCGGAGCTCGCAGAGTATCAGCATTGGGAAGCGCGGGGCAGTAGAGCAAGGGGGAAGGATTTGCGCTGCGCGAGGGGGAGAAGCTCCATCGACACTGGATTCACTCTTAGGGTTTGAGATGGCGAGCAGCGAGCTCGTCGCGTCGCGGGAGCCGGAGCATGTGATTATGTCGCGAGGAGGCTCCGTGCTTGGGCGGAAGACGATTCTCAAGAGCGATCACTTTCCAGGCTGCCAGAACAAGCGTTTACAGCCGCACGTCCAAGGCGCTCCAAATTATCGCCAGGTTTGTAGCGGGACGAAGTTACCCAAGCTTTCGTCTGACAAAACATATCAAACAGGTTAGCTCGCTCCCCGTGTTTGGCGTAGCTATTCCAACGATCGATGGTATACGCAAGGTGCTCGATTTGATCGGCGCAAATCGGAATGGAGGTCACAAGCGCGTGCTCTGGCACAATCTCCGTGAAGAGCCAGTAAGAAGATTTTTATTCTGTTCGTCATCTTCACGGAAGTTCTCTACTTTCAGGTTATTTACATAAATGGTCGGCCATTTGTGTTGAGAGAGATCGAGAGGCCATTCACGAACCTCGAGTATACTGTGAGTGTAGTGTTGCTTGACGAACTAAAAGCTGATTTTGTCATTGAATAGGGAATTAACAGAGTTCGTGTTGAGGAAATGGAAGCCAGGCTGAAAGAGGATGTTCTTCGAGAGGCTGGTCGGTATGTTTCTTAGCTCACTCGTTTTAGTAAATTGTGAGTGCTATTTTGTCCTTAGGTTTGGCTGCAAAATCCTGGTTTGTGATGAAATGCCTGACGGCCAAATGATCGACCAGTGGGAACCAATAACTGACGCATCGGTGCTAACACCTCTAGAGGTTGAAGGTCTTCAACTGCATTTGCTTTCAACTTAGTTGTTTTTTTCGGAATAGGTGTACGACAGCTTGTGCAATGAGTCGTACTTCGTGGATTATGAACGGTTGCCAATCACTGATGAGAAATCTCCCAAAGAACGGGACTTCGATCTACTGGTTTGTTGCTTTATCCTTGAACAAGCTGAAATTCTTCTTTGTTCTGGATCGAGCAGGTGCAGCGTGTTGCAGAAGCGGACATTAACACCGCCTTGGTGTTTAATTGTCAAATGGGTCGAGGGCGTACAACTACTGGAATGGTCATTGCAACTCTTGTATATTTGAAGCGAAGCGGATCTGCAGGTGTCATTTTACGTTTTTTTGTCTTTTTGATCCGGTTAACTATTTGACTTCTCGTCCACATTAACAATGGAAGATTATATCATGTGAGGAAACAAAGATTTTAGAAAGATTCTAGAGATTACTAATTCCGAGGCAGCAGTATTTTGCAGGAATTCGTAGATCGAGGTCCTTCGGGGAAGTACTTGGCTCTGCAGAGGAGTCAATTGACGAATTTCCTGATTCCGAGGAAGGGTTTAGACAAGGTGAATACACTGTTGTAAGGAGCCTTTGTCGGGTTTTGGAGGTAAGAAATACTGTTTTTTTGCTTTGTTTTTATTCTGACTCTGAAGACTTTCTGTTTTTCAGGGTGGCGTCGAAGGCAAACGACAAGTTGATACTGTTATAGATAGGTGTTCGGCTATGCAGGTAGATGTATTTTTTCCTTTCGAGGTTGCTGTTATTCACAATAGACCATGGCAGAACTTGCGTGAAGCCATCAACACATATCGTAACAGCATTTTGCGTCAAGCAGATGAAAAGAAGAGGGAGTCTTCTCTCTCGTACTTTGTCGAGTATCTGGAGCGGTACTACTTTCTGATCTGTTTTGCTGTATATATACATACAGATCAGTCTGCCTTAACGCAGCCTGGTGGCTTTCAGCAGTGGATGAAGGCTAGGCCGGAATTGTACAGTATCTTGAGAAGGTTTGCTGTATCTTTAGTAGTCACATTCTCGCTCATGAGCATTTCTTTCAGGCTCTTGCGGCGGGATCCCATGGGAGCACTTGGCTACAGAAGCAAACCCCCTGTGGCAGCTGAAAATGGCCGACCATCCAGGATGGAAGCTGTGGCGGCATGCAGAACTGGAGACGTTCTTGGGAAACAAACAGTTTTGAAGGGTGACCACTATCCGGGCTGTCATAATCCTCATCTGCCCGAAAGTGTGGAGGGAGCTCCAAACTTCAGGGAAATTCCTGGTTTTCCTGTCTACGGAGTTGCCAATCCCACTGTTAGCGGCATCAAAGCGGTCTTGGAAAGAGTTGGTGGTGGAAAAGGGGGACGTCCCGTCTTGTGGCATAACATGAGAGAGGAGCCAGTCGTATATATCAATGGACAGCCATTCGTTCTGCGAGAAGTCGAGAGGCCTTACAAAAACATGCTAGAGTATACAGTAAGTCCTAACCGATGGTATTTGTGTTCATATGTCTAATTTGGCTCTGTCTCAGGGAATTGATCGCGACCGAGTAGAACAGATGGAGGCTCGACTCAAGGAAGACGTGCTCAAGGAAGCAGAACGTTATGATGGTGCAATTATGGTGAACCACGAATCGAAAGACGGTTTCATATTCGACAGCTGGGAAACTGTTACTCCAGAAGGAGTTCAGACTCCATTCGAAGTTTACTCTCGGCTGGTCTCCGAAGGCTACTCTATCGAGTATTCTCGTATGCCAATTACTGATGGAAAAGCTCCAAAGAGCTCAGACTTCGACACACTGACTTCTAAGATTGTTTCTGCTCCCAAAAAGACCGTCTTCGTCTTTAACTGTCAGGTAAAATAGACTTCACTTGATGTGTTACTGTAATGCTTACGTCGTGCCTCCGCTGTGCAGATGGGACGTGGACGCACAACAACAGGCACTGTTATCGCTTGTCTAGTAAAACTCCGCTGCGATTATGGCAAGCCTTTTCGTTTACCGTCCGCTCTTCCTGGATCTTCTGTGGACGGTGGATCAGATAGCAGCGGAGAAGAAAACGGTGAAGCCGGTGACGAGCACCTGACTTTCAAGCCAGCAAAGTTGGAAAGGTGCAAATCGACAAGCGTACTCGTAATGGACGACATATCTATTGTGAGAAGACTCACACGCTTACTAGAGGACGGGGTCGCATGCAGGGAGGCACTTGATGATGTTATAGACCGGTGTGCAGCACTACAGAATCTCCGTCAGGCTATTTTACAGTACCGTAAGAGCTTCAATCAACAAAATCTGGAGTCTCCTGGCCGAAGAGCAGCTCTAAATCGTGGAGTTGAGTATCTGGAGCGGTACTGCATGATGATCGCGTTTGCTTCTTACCTCGGTAGTGAAGCGTTCAGTGAAACTCAGCGTTTGCCGTTCAAGGTATGGCTAAACAAGCGACCAGAAATCAAACAGATGAAGTGGAGTATGCGGTTGAGGCCGGCTCGTTTTTTCGCTGTTCCTGTGAGTTTTTTTGTTTTTTACTTTTTTCTTTCTTCGTCTAATCTGTTTTATCCAGGAGGTGGAATTTCGGGCATTGGCTGAGAATTGCGAGGGCGATGAGATTTTAGAAGCGATAGTCAAGTCCCGGAATGGTTCGGTTCTGGGGAAACGGGCTATTCTCAAAATGTACCATTTCCCAGGTCAGAGCGCGGCAAGCTGCTTTGACATCCCTGGAGTACCTCATATGCGTAAGGTCCGTATTCTACAGAAGTTCTTCATAGCACTTCTAACGCTTTATACAGATAGATGGCTTTCCAGTATATAGCATGGCCACACCCACTGCTCAAGGCGCCAAAGCAGCGTTTGCTTGTCTCAAGACAGCCGTTGATCAAGGAAAGCACGCTGTTGTGACCGACTTGAGAGAGGAGGCTGTGGTTTATATTCGCGGTAATCCATTTGTTTTACGGGAGCTTGACCAACCTGTAAGCACTTTAAAGCACGTTGGAATAAAAGGTTCTGCGGTAGGTGTTTCATTTCTCATTGTTTCCTCACATACTAATCTCGATCAATAAGTTGCTCTTGGTTTTGGAAGTGATTTCTTTTGCTTTCTACGGTCGCTGACAACCTTTTTACGCCCTTGACAGGTTGAGCAAATGGAGTACAGGTTGAAGGAAGATATCCTCGCCGAGATGAAACGCTCTGGTGGCCGCGTGGTCTTACACCGAGAAGAGTGTAATCCACTGACAAACAAGTCTGACGTTATCGGGTACTGGGAAGTTCTGACGTCTGACGATGTTAAAATTCCTGCCGAAGTTTATACTGGTCTTGCGGCCGAAGGCTACAAAATCGACTACAAAAGAATCCCACTGACGAGGGAGAGGGCCGCTCTGGCAATGGATGTGGATGCCATCCAGGACAGACTAAACGGGTGAGCTCCTTTTTTATGTTTTTTTCTTTGTCATCTAACTCCTGATTGTTATTTCTAGATCTGGCAGCGAATATGTATATATTTCTCACACGGGATACGGAGGTGTCGCGTATGCGATGGCAATCACTTGCATGGGGCTGCAAGCCGAAGCCGAAGCTAGCTTGGCAGCTTCTTCCTCGGGGGTTCCATCTTGTGTGTATGGACCCATACAAAGGCCTGCCGATGATATAAACGCTTTCAAGCAAGGGGACTACAGAGACATACTCAGCTTGGTGAGAGTCCTGCCAAGCGGACCTTTTTGCAAAGCCGAAGTGGATACCATCATCGACAGGTAAGTTTAGTTTACTTCTTTCTTTTCCCGTCTCACTGTTGGTGTTGTGATAGATGCTCTGAAGCTGGAAATCTGAGAGATGACATCCTCTATTACAAGCAGCAGCTCGAATGCTGCCAGCAAGAGGACGAGGAGCACCGAGCTTACATTCAAGACATGGGTGTCAAAGCTTTGAGGTAACTTTTGGGAATGCTATCCCCTTTTTGCTAACACTATAGTGTGCTCTCGCAGGAGATACGCGTTTCTCATAGCATTCCGCTCGTTTCTGACGAGTAGAACTCCCAATTCCTCGTTTGCTGCGTGGATGCACTCCCGCCCGGAGCTTGGCCACCTCTGCTACAACCTCAAGCTCGAGTGAGTCTCCTTTTCCTTTTTTTTCCACCTGTAATATGTGTATAGTGGTAACTTTTCCTTGGAAGGAAGAGATGCTTTCTTTTCATTTGAGGGTGTGAGACTGTAGAGAAGCTTTTCACCTTGAATGGAATTTTACACTTTGCATGTCTTCTAGCTTTCCAGATTCGTGCTTCTTTTTCTTTCTTGTTCTTTCTTCTTATGCGATGGATGGTGTTAGTAGCAACTTGATCTGCTCCTGAATCGCGGTGGCATTCTCAGCATTGGCAGAATTCGCTGGTGCTCGTAAAGCCTGCGAGAGTTTGGCCTCCTCGCACGCGCTAGTCAGAACTTCCGCGTCTTTCCTGGTGATTTGCCGTCGTCCACTCTAGACAGGGAGAGTCCAGCACAAGGTGAGCGAAAGAGAGCGAAGCTTTTCTGTCACCTTAGAATCGCTGGGACTGTTTCTTCGGGCTGCTTCCCACCCAAGTCCACCACTGTGATCTCCGGAGCTTCTTTCTCATCGCCACCTTTCGTCGCCTCCTCTTTGGCGTCTTTGGCGTCTTTGGGAGGCGCCAGTTGGACGCCATACTCCACCGCCTCGCCCTTCTCCAGGATCACCAAAACAGGATGCTGGAACAATGGAGGAGCACGAAACTGTGATCCATCGCGTTTCAAGATATGGCGCGCTTGCCTGATACTTGACTCCAGCTGCGAGGAAGTTCTTCCTTTCCTTGAGCGCAACCTCGACGCTGGCTCCGGACTCTATCAGAATCTCTCCGATCGACTCCCACTTCGACTGGGCCTCCTCCTGGGCAAGCTCGCATAAATCTACGCGCAAGAGATTTCATCGTCACGAAGCTTTACGTACCCCTGCGACCTTGCGAGCAAAGATCTTGTACGTGTCTGTGCTCTCCACCTTGTTTACCTCGAGTTCCTTCCTTCACAAGACGCGCAGTGTAAGAGTGTGATTAAGATCCTATCCAAGGAGAGCTTACAGAATCTTGGGCTTGGCTTTCGCCTCTGGCCGCTTTCCGAATCCCCCGCTGGTGCGCAGTGCTGCAACAATGCTGCTCTTGTGAGCCAGACGACAGGGGCAGTCGCCGAGCTCCTGGGAGAGTTTCAAACTCGAGCCCATCACAGCACTACTGCTGAAACACCATTCTTTCCTTGTTCCATAGAACCTACTCAGACCGTGTCAGTGAAGAGCTCCCAAGAACTACGAGTACCTGGGAGCAAAGACGCCAATGCTAGCGACCGCCATAGCCGAGAAAAAAACGATATAGGTTTTTCCTGAACATAGGAAATCCTGGGTTTTGTTTCTAGGACGTGGAGAGGATGCGATTGCACGAACATCTTACGCATGCTCCAGCTCTACTTCCCCACCCTCACTTTCACGGAGTCAGCAATCTTCCTTCCAGACTATGGCGGCAGCAGGGGAATGATTACAGTCCAATTCAATTACTACTAATCTCCTCTCTCTCTCTCTTCACCCTGCCTGGGCGGTTGGCCCATGGAGTGAGTCAATATGGAGTCTGTGGATGCGCCTGTGATAGATCTGTCGCAGACAAGAGGCTCGATTGTTCAGGCAGGAACTTGGACTTTCGATTGAGTCATGGGTACAGTATAGATAAATAAACATTCCTTTAAGAGGTAATCTTAAGGTAGTCTCATTAACTAAAAACATTTTCCTTTTTTATCAAAATTAATAAAGGGAATTTAAAAATAACAACAGTGTAAATCACCTTGCCACACACTAACAATAGGAGTGATACAATACAATATGAAGTACAAAAATTTATTAGATTTTACTATAATATATTTGTGAAATAGGAAATTATTTTTAATAAATTAAATCAAATTGATTATTCTTCTGATCTAGATAAATTTTTTGTAAAGACTTTTATTACAACTGACTTTAAAAAAAGCTATTATAAGTCTACAATATAAAACTCTAGGTTTTAAGTGGAATATTTTAATTCCCTGGTATGGCAATGAATATATGATTGTGCAAGGGAGCATTATATATTCACACGTATGTGGATTTACTTTTTTTTTTTCTTAATTGCATGGTAAAATATTATATACACAATCACTTTTGATTGTTATATAAACAATTAAAACATTATTTTATGTATAATATTTTTGTTATAAGGCATGCTATATGTGAATAAAGTATTACACCTCAGATTGCCACAAAAGACTGATGTTCTTTTTTGGCAATTTGCTAATTTATTTTATATATCTAATTATCTTTGTTTTGGCTTTAGTTAAATTCTTTTGCTAAAGTTCTTACTTATTATACCAACTTTGGCTTAGTTTAGCTAGTTATTACATAAGCACTAGAGTGTTAGCTAACTCTTTATAAGTTTTTAAACTCTCTATCAATCCTTTTTCCTAAGTTAGACTGTACTAAAGGTTTAATTACACTCTTTGTAAGCATAAAGCACACTAAACCTCTACTTTTTTAACATCCCATGGTACATAAAACTTGTTTATAAAACTTCTAAATCCCAAGCCTTAAGTGCATCTTTTAGTCTAAAACATTAAAGGGAAACACCATGGCTTAACAACTTGGTAAAAATACCTTAACTCCCCACCTCTATCCTAAAGAGAAGGCCCAAGCCTCTAGAAGGGGCAAGAACCAATACACTTTATGGTACTTAAATGGGGCACTACTTCACTTGAGCTGGGAGCAATATAGTTAATTTCCCTTCTAAAAGTAAGAGTTGTTCTTGAGCACTTCTTTGAGGAGCATCTTTGGCACTTCTCAAGCTTGTGCTTACTCCCACCCAAAGTTACTAACTAATGTTAACCCAAATTTGGTTTAGAAGCACTATTAGATAATTCTATAGCTATGTCGAGTTCTATAAAACTTTTAATGGCTCGCTTATTGATAACTTCCCATGGATTTACCCTGATGCTCAAATGTGGTGAGTTGTTATAACAGATTTCATAGCAAATCCTAAATGATTTACTTAATTCATCTAGTCTAAGACATAACACCACAGATAATCCTCTAGTTGTCTATTCACCTTTTTTGTTTGTCCATTTGTTATGAAGTGTTATCACCACAATACTTAACTCAATACTTAATACTTATTTAAGGGTGATAGGCTATAATGAATTTTAGTTTGGTGCAATACTATTCTAAGAGGGTTTTTTAAAACTTGCTAGTGAAAATTTTATTTTGATCTGAGATAATTTCTTTTGGCTTTCCACGTCCTCAGACCATATGTTCAAAGAGTAACTTTGCCACACTTTCCATATCAATGTCTATCCATTTTTGAAACTTGATCTACCACCATAAATATTGCATCAAACCCCTCACTTGGGGAGTTTCATAATAAAGTCCATTGTAAGACATTTCTATTGATGATTTAAGATTGAGAGGCTTTACAATAAACCCCCACTAGCCTCAGTTATAGCCTTTGCCTACTGATATATCTTTATATAGTATTGAACGTCTTTAGTTATATTTGGCTAGTGATACTTTCTCTTGAGCAAGTTTACCATTTTAGGCACATTGCCATGTCCTGCAAGAGGTTTGTTATAACACTCTTCTAAGAGTACTCTTCTTAGTTCCCTTTATAGGACATACACCCTCGTTTGCTTATAATAAATGAGTTCATTGCATTTCATATAATCAATTTTCTTTCCTTAAGCACCTTGCCTCTTTAGTGGGCATCACATGCCTTTTGGTTCCTTAACAACATGTTTTATGCTAGACCATCATCCTTATACATTGTCTGCACATCATACTAGAAAGTTGTTATTGTGCTAAATATCGCCAATTTCAAACTTGCTTAGAGCATCTACCATGATATTGTTCTTCTTAGATTTCTAGAATATCTCGCAATTGAACTTAGCTAAAACATTAGCCTACTAATCCTATTTCCCTTGAAGTTCGGATTGTGACAAAAACTGTTTTATTGCCATATTATCTATGTATACCTTGAAATGTCTCCCAAGGTAGTGTCATCACGTTTTGAACACTTTAACCATTGCAAATAATTCTTTTTCATGGGTAAACCATTTTTGTTAAGCCTTATCCAACTTCTTCTAGAAGAATGCTTTTGGATAATTGTTTTGCTTCAAGATTGCACCCAATATAAAGTCTAAGGCATTTGTTTCTACCTCAAAGGCTTTACTAAAGTTTAGTAACATTAACACAAGAGCATTCCTCAACTTCCCTTTGATTTTAATGAATATCTGTAGCGTATGTGATCATGGGATGAGATTTAGATATACTATCACCGTGGATCCTTAGAACCTTGAGGGATAAATGGGGATAAAATAGCCACTAAGGGCTTTCTCATCAAGCAATTGCCCTTTTTCCAATTGGCTTAAGAGGAGAGAGATAAGATGCGCTACAGTTGGTATTAGAGGAAATGGCACGGGTTCGATTCCCATTGATTAGTGGCTACTTAAAAATATAATATACTCTTGAGCAAGGTATATTCCTATCCTTAAATTTGAAATCGTACGCATTAGACATCCATGCGTACGTCCTTCCTCTTGTGTGGAGTATTCACGGACAAAGGTATCCACCGTGGGATTGCGGTACGGGTGGATGACTAATTGCCACAAGAAGACAGTGAAGGACAAGATGCCGATGCCACATGTGGATGATATCCTAGACAAGCTTGGTGAAGCACGAGTGTTTACCAAGATTGATCTGAGGAGTGGATATCATCAGATTGCAATGGATGATGCATCTATCTCCAAGACAGCATTCAACACAAGCTTCGGACATTTTGAGTTTACCGTTATGCCGTTTGGTTTGACGAATGCACCGGCCACATTTACTCGGTTGATGATGGAGGTATTTGGGCGTTATCTTCATGAGTTTGTGGAGATTTTCTTGGACGATATTCTTGTTTTTAGCAAGAATATAGAGGAGCATAGGGTGCATTTGCGCAAGGTTCTTTTGTTACTTCGAGACAGCAAACTTTATGCGAAGAAGAGCAAATGTGAATTTGCAAAGTCGGAGGTGGAATATCTAGGCCATATTGTGACATCTAAGGGTGTCAAGACGGATCCAAGGAAGGTGGCTGTGGTGGAAAACTGGCCTACACCGACTACAGTGGCCGAGTTGCGCAGTTTTCT